GTTCCATGATTTTCAGGGTAAATTCTATTTCCTCTTATAAGAGAAAATTCTCTCTATATAGATATGATCGTTAATCAAATACATAAAAAATAGAAATCATTGGTCTCAATCCCAATTCGCAAATGCAGGGCAAGTATAAAACAGAGAAAACAAATTAGATAAAGTGGCATTTTACATATGTTAACTTCCTCAAACTGACGTGTTGTCATACTAATTCAATTCATTTCTCACTGTTCATTCTTAAATGTATTTTTGATGTCGCGGACTAATGCAGATGCATAAAAGTTAAAAATATCGTCGCAAACGGATATCGGACGTGCACGAACAGGAATCGTAAAAATACGAAACGGATATGTCTAAATCGACCTTAATTCGTTAAAACAATAATTTTCAAGAAAGAAACTTACAAGAATCAAACATCTACGCACTTTCATGCTACAACTCAAAAAGAAATACCAACTCGTCACACATCTAACTCCCAAAATAATAATTAAGTACTGCATATTAATATATAATATGGTTTGAATGGAGTATAAAATGTGCGAGTAAAGTATAAAATGTTGGAGCATTTTTCTGAAATATTCGGAAATAATCTGGGAACGAAGTTAATAGAGTCATTCGTGGTATTAAAAAATGTCTGAAATACGGGCACGCGCGGAAGTACTTCCGTTCTTTGGGTGGCGCGATTCTACCGAGACAATAGCCTTCCTCACTCCTTTCCGCCCTCTTTATGTAGCACCAACAAAAGACCCTCGATACGCGACTCTCGTGCGCTCTCACAATGCTTCGTCGTGACATCCGTAGTCTCCATACGCTCTCGAGGGTACACGTTGGAAGAACACATTTTACAAAAAAAAAGGTAGAAAAAAAGAGAAAGAAAAGAAGAAGGCTAGCAGACGATAATTAATAATTTTTGCCCGTTTTTTTGCAGCAAAGGCGTTTTATATTATCTCGTGTGATCTTTTCTCGGATTAAATCAAACTCGATAGATATTCCCTGCAGAACAAAAAAAACCCGCCAAAAAATCGTAAAGAGAGCACGCTCTCGCCAACTCAAATCGTTCGACGCGATCTAAACGAGATTTGCAGCTCCACTTTTCAATTTTGCCCTACCTGAAGGAGCCTTTTCACAGATTCTGCGAGATAGAAGCGACCGGAGTAGGTAGATAGGTAAGTAGGTAGATATGATAGGAAGATAGCAGGATTTCGCTTCGCGAGAACGAAGGAGAGGCACTCGGGGGATAGTATATCGCGAAGGGAAAGCCAAGGTGGCGAAATCGCGTTGCGAGGAGCAGAAACGCGATCGTGTACGGGGCGAGTACGTGGCGAGGAAGCGCAATTTTCAGGAACACATCTCTCGGCGTCGTCTCCGAGACGGAGAGGCCGCGCCGCCAGTTGACGAATTCACCCCGTGAGAGGACCCAGCCGAGGCCACGGTCGGTCGAGCCCCGGTCGAGGAAATAGGGAGGATAGTATAGTATAGTGGGCTCGGTCGGTCCCGGTAATACGATAGAGAGTTAGGTAGCCGGCTACGTTATACCTTGGCAAGCCCATTATATCGCTCTGGGAATCCTTTGGGAAATAGTCTATGGCGTAGCCGGCCCGGGCCTCGATCAACCGTGAAATGTAGTCCGATACGTATTACCGGTGCGGACGATCAGGGAGGAGAGGGTTACAGCCCGATACGTTTCGCCAGAGCATCTGGTGTGTGCGTGTGTGTGTGTGTGTGTGTGTGTGTGTGTGTACGACATCGTACCGTTACCTTTCGCCAAACGGGAGAGAATTACTATGAGCCTACTGCGCGCTCAGGATTCCGCCTTCGCCGGAATTGCGGCAATTTCTCTCTCGTTCGGCCTGCGCCCGTGTAGTTTGTCGTTGCTCGAACACGCGACACGGTAACATATTAACCCGCCGACTACGGCTGGTTAGACGGTACTCCCGTAACGCTACGACGCCCTCAATCGGACCCCGGTAATAAATAAACGTCGATTAAGGACGTCATAATCGAAGGTAATCCAGCTGTGAAATTAATTTCCTAAATTTTCGCCAGCTTCGATTCTGTCTTGCAAAATTTATCGTGGAATATTCGATAGAAATTCAAGAAAGTCTAGGGTATATGATTATATTCAATATCCCTGAAAAGATATCAAAGATTTTAAATAAATGAGAGTTTGTCAGGTAGAGCTTTATTTGCTTCTAAAGAATGTTTAGCCATATCGATTTATGTAAGTTGTTGAATTTTTGAATGCACATTGTAAGTACACGATATCATTCTATTTTTCATAGCTTCACTTTCGTGCCGAATAAAAAAAAAAGAAGTAACCTCGTTACGAATGGAAAAAAGAAGCAATATCGCAGCGAATAAAAAAATAACGTTTTATATTCGAAAAATCGTTTCGTTAATTCCGGCAATCGATTACATACAAGCAGACGAATATCGACTATAGAAGAAAACGACCGCATCGCTACGTTTCGTCCGGCCTCCGACAATAGAACTTTGATAAAAATGGCGCGAATGAGTGTTGGACAATATTTGATTAGATTTTACAAACAAACGCACTCGGACGAACGTTCGACATACATGTGTAACGAATTTACATCGCGCCCCGACGCGATTGCCTCTTTTATTCATTCGAGAGAGCGGGCGCTTGCACCCTCCTCTGTCCTCAGCCCACCCTCGTCCGCAAAACGATCATGAATTCAATGGTTTCCGATAACAACGAGAAGAGAGAGGAAGAGGTCGGATAGAGAAAATATAAAACAAAAAGAAGCGCCCGCGTAATTTACATAGGGGAGCGTTTTGTAGGTAACGCGCGCGCTTCGTCGTAGCTCGGGAAATAAATGTTTCTCCGATGCATACACATTTTTCGGGCGAAATCCTTCGCGTACGGTGTGTCTTTTGAAATCAACAGACTCGGCATGCGACTTCTTGAAGTCGTCCGTAACTTCGAACGTTGTGAATAAGACCGATATTGCGCGGCTAAAAGTAAGTTTCGCGTAGAAACATTTCTGACAATGGTGCGTCATTTATTTTTAAGCCTTACGATACATCGAATGATATTTCAACGGAACACAATTAAATTTGTTACTTTGATTTATCAAAGAAGGCAGCAGCACGAATAAAAATACCGGAGTTTACGTATCTGCTGCTAAATTAAAATAGTTGCTTCTCGACTTCGAAACTCTAACGAAAATATTTTTACCTGATTTTTAATAATAATGTTAATTTAAATCTCAATCAAATCATAAGAACAAGGAACAAAAATCATATAATTTCAGTATGCGTTGAAAATTCAATTTCTAAAGTTTCCCCAGTTTTCCGTTCAACTTTATCTTACGACTGAAGAAAGGGTTATCGTGGGTAATTCGTTCTACTGCCTTACGATACGGTAATACACCTAAACGCAGTCTTCGGCACGATTCTCCCATTCTCGTACTAAACACATGAATCCTAATGCGGTAAAGCCGGGACGCTGCACAAATTCGCGAAACGACGCTAATAGCGGTCAAGCTGACTCCAACGACACAATACCGGTATCGGTGCTATTATCCGCAAGTTTATTGAATGTTAAAGTTCTGTAGAGAGAATTCTCCATTTCGCCTGGTTAAATTTCGCCGTCATAGTACGTCGTTGCTACGTAACCGGTAATTGGCACGTCAGGACAATGCGGTGTATCAGCGAAATTCCGCGCCGCAATGTTCATTTAATCAGAAACTACAATGGTAGCCGATCGGATTCCTTGCTGCTGCGCGATCGTTTAACGAATCAAACGTCGAGGATGGATAGAACTCTCTTTTGCTCGTAGCACAAGATTGACTTGATACAATAATTCTAACTAGATAGAATGCGAATGATTAAATTGCATTTCCGCACGAAATATCGCTGTGCGAATTAATGCCGATTATTTATTTAAATTTCAACAAATCTCTGTTATGTTTCATATTTTGTAATTTGTGCGTATATAAAACATTAAACATGATTATTTTTACGATCAAATATCTCCAGATAAACTATTTTTTTTTATATGAATATAAATATTTTCAGATAAGTATATATTTTCAAGTTCTAAGATTATGTCGAGAATATACTATATCTTAATTATAAATATTAATTTCATAAACATTTTTTTATTATACATAATTTATGTAAAATATATATCTATATCTATATATAATAATTGTAATCAAACAATATATTTTTATGAGATTAATATTTACAATTAAGATATGTTCTCGTGCATCATAAAAAATATACTCATCTGAAAATATTTTTATTCCAAAAATAGTACATTTGGAAATATTTGCAAAAATAATTATGTTTAATATTTTTTATATGTGCCTCTGTTTCATGGCGCGAATAATATAATTAAAATATTTAAAGATAACAAAAAAGGGATTTGCAACGTTATTACAAGGAATGAAATTGTTGTTAAAAGCACGTATAAATGAGACTGTCTATCGTATAAGAGCCTTTTATATACGCATTGGACGAGATAGGTGCAAACGGAATGATTCACGCGAACGACAGAAATAGAACTATTTCCCCTCACGTTCTCGTTCTTCAGGGTCGGAGAAGAGCCTTGAAGAGCTCGTGGGATCAACAGTCGCTGTAGTACGAGGACGAGAAGCTCGTGTTTTCGCAAGCGCATGAATTTTTTTCGACTCAACTCCATGGAAGTCGTATAAATTACGGCACAGCGATTTTTTAGTTTTCGATTTAATCCGAACACAAAATGTATCGAAATTTCATAGAAATTTCGAATCATCAAATCGTATAAATTTTTATTATAATGGATTAATAAGAGAACATATTTTTAAAATGTAAAGCTATTTTTTTTTGCTTATTACAAGCAAAGAAAATGAAATTAATATAACGGATATTGTAAAAAAAAATTAAGAGAAAGTTTAATCTTCATTATATTTCAAGATCCACAGAAGCGATATTTGTTTCATACCAGACACTTAATGGAGGACTATTTTCTTTTCTTGCTCGCACTCAAGATATGGATAAGTTTTCTTCGTTCGCCGAGGACGTGACACTCGCCCGCTTCTAGCGCATCTAGCGGCACTGTCAAGGTAAATAATCTATTTCTATAAGCCACTTGATAGACATTTTATCATAAAAAATATTTTAGAATATGACCTCGATTTTAAAAATTATTCCATTTTCTTTAACAGTCAATTTTGAACATTATTAAATTAAAAAAATTTTGTTTATAGCAAAACTCAATTAAAAATTCAATTAGAAATAATAGAAATTCTTTGATAAATTAAAAAATAATTATTTCTCTTTTCTCTTTTACAATAAAACAAATTAATCAATAATTTCTTATTATTTTATTAAAATTTTTCTCTCCTAAAAAATAAATTGTCTTTAATTTGTCTGATAATTAAGCGAGTATTTATATTTGCAATTTCATGAAACAAAACTGTTAGTTTTATCACAATTTAGAATCATTGTCAAAATTTATTCTACAGGCTCCATTACGTCGCTTAAACTTAACGGTCCATAAATATTTTACAGTCGTATAGGATTTATATTTAACATAAAATTAACGCGGAAAACGAAAATAAACAAAAATGTCAATGGACCAGCGCGTGCCAACGATAAATGAATATCCTTTGCGACGCGGCGAAATAACGCTCGCGCAACTGCCATGGATTCGCGTGAGCAATTACGAAATATTTAACGATTATCCCGTAGCGTAAATCCGGCGTTAGACGTCCGTCCGGATGCATTTATCTAGATAATTCAACGCGCGAGAACGACGGAACGAAAAGAGAGCTAACCATCGATCTTCCCTGGCGGTTTTTCTGCTTGCAGCTTGCACATCGGGACATTCATCGTGTTTTGTTTTGTTGTAGCCTCACCCACTCATCCCCTATCCCCGTACAGGTTCCTGCATCCGCGACTTCGCCCTCTCAGCGTTCCCTTCGGGCTCTTCTCCTCCTCCCATCGTCGTGTCATCACTATCCGCCGATCTTTCGCGTAGTCATCTCGAGGACTCGTCGCCGTTCGCCCTCCGCCACTCGCCCTCCGTTTCATCCCCTTATACCAGCATTCACCCCCCCTCCGTCATCCCTCTCGTCCACGCGACATCGACTCACCCCGAGACGACGACGCCGACCATCGAGAGCCATCATCGTTTCTCAAAGGTCAGTTTCAATGTAACTTTATTACGCCTTTATTGTGACCCTTAACAGTGTTTGCTGTTATCTAAATAAAATTTATATAGATGATCATCTAGATGATTTGGCGTCATCTTATGCTTATATAGATAATAAAAATATGTATTATCTATATCTGTATCTTAGATGAAAAAAGTATTATCTTTATTAAATTATGTAGAATAATTTTCAGATAATTTTGGTTTAGAATCATAGCACATAAAAATACTTAAATAGTAGAACTTAAGCAGTAAGCGATACAAATTTATAAATAAAAATATGAATACATATATTTTTATATCCTTTTTATAATTTACATTTACTAGCAAATTATCTGGATGAGTTGTCACATAATTTTATCTTTTATCTATATATATTTAAAACAAAATTATTTTTATCTTATCTAAGATGAATTTACATATTTTTATCTCGTATTTATCTTGCTAATTTTAAAATCATCTAAGCACAACACTGATCGTGAATACCACAGAACGAGTGCTCTTTTTAACGAGGATTTTACGATCATCTATCGAACACTTCTCTTTGCGATATGGATATTGAAATGGAAGAACATTATTCGTGTCGCACAAGTTTCTAATTATCAACATTAAATATCTAGACGCGAATAAATCTGAATCCCTGAAGTCTTTATTGAGATAAACTGGAGTTAACAAATTAAGTTGAAAGGCAAAGTTTAGCTATTTATTTAAATATTCGAAGTTTCTGTTCGTGTGTTGAATCACTTCTAATTAACTTAATGCAGAATAATTTTATAAACTCGAGAGTTGAAATTTCAAATACAAAATATTTAACTTGGGTAAAAAAAATGGTCGTTGCCTCGAGCGACATTATAAAACTGCTATCATTCTTCTTTCGTTTTCCTTCTATTATCTGTCGTTGAAAGAACTTGCGGTGGGTTGGTTCTGCGACACCCTGCATAACAGCAAAAAGTTGTCGCAACGGCCACGTCACCTCGCTGATGAACGAAGGAAGACGAAGCTGCTTTCGCGGCGTGCCGATATAAAGGGGCTCAACGGGTTCCCCGTGATTTATCGTCCTGCCGAAGGGTGGTCCTTGCGACACGAGTCACGTATACAAAGTTGAAGTTGCGCGACTCGGTGAAAATGATCTTCAATGCCGAAGTTATACGTCGGGAGAGATGGAAGGAGTAAATTTTATGTGGGACTTCCTTGGAGATCGATTATATAGGGGGAAATTTCGGAGGCTCTACAACTGTGTACTCGCTTCGAGGAATCCGCCGTAATTTGCGTAAAACATTTCATCGTCTGTTCCCACGGGCGCACAAAAACAATAAAAGAAATAAAAGTTTCACATTCGTTCTACACACTTTGCGTTATCTCCTTCGCTTCTTCTCGGACACGCTTTTATAGCCGGCAAAGCCTTGAGAGGGTCGCAATCGAATATCGATAACTGTTCGTAGAAAGTACGCGTAGAGAGAAACTCGGAGAGAGAAACATACGTGTATCTATGTATATGTAACTGTATATCTCATGCAATAACGTCCAGTGGCTCCCCGATGTCCTTAGACGGCGCTACGTCAGGCGGAAACGATACGGCTGACCGTTTTTCGTAAAGAAAAGCAGACTAAAAAGAAAGGCAAAGGGTAAAAGCTGAAAACTACGCGCGCGGTAGGAGAAACGATACCTGGGGGATACGAACGAGCCGGATGTCTCTGCGGAACTCCTTACTAAGCTCGTAGCAGTCCTCGCGCGATGCCGAAAGCTCTTTGCGGGAAAGCCCCTCGTATCCTCGAAACGCACGTCGCATAAACGCTTCGCGTAAAAGGTACTAGTCGACGGCCACGAAAATTCATGACAGGCTTCACGTATATTACCCAAAGGAAAAAGATACGAATCTTCGCGGCACAAGTGAGCGAAAAGTTTCTCTTCGCTATCGACATCTTGTTTTCTTGCCTCGCGCACAAGATTGCGCAAAATCTGCGATATTATTTTCTCATTCTTTAGGCGCGAATTATTTTATCATATATTATCAGGAGAATATATTTTCGCATTAATTAAATATAAATACTGAAAATAAAATTTAATTTAGCAAATAAAATATAAGATATATTAATCACTATATTTTCAACTTTCTTTGCGTTCATTTCTCCGCCTATGTTCTTTCAAAATTTATAGCATCTGCATTCAATGGGAAAGAAGATAGAGAGAAACAGTTAAATTGCAATAATTAGAGTTAACCGACATTGGTGAGAATAACTTTAAGATGCTCATCGCACATCGAGACGGTAGCTTTGTCAGTTTTGAGTGTCATGCCCTGAAGTAATCGTGTGCAAAGTATAACGTGTCCTCGTAGCTGAAGAGAACGAGCGGAGAATTCAGACGTGCACGTATACGCATATATATATATATATATATATATATATATATTCTTAATGCATCTGTAATGGACTTGCAAACTATTCAACGCGAAACTCGCGTTAATTTAAGCACAGCTACAAAGCCGATAGTTGTTAACTTCCGGGGATAAGGCGAGAGAGAGAGAGAGAGAATCTTGAGACACGGTACAAGTGCTGATTACCGCGCCCGTTAGACCGGTTGGAAACTTTGTCGAAAGTGTGAAAATTTCATTAATAATTTAATCAATAAAATATAGGATAAAATGTGAAACTCCAAACTTAATTATAAAAAAACTTTGAAGGCCAAGCAAAGATTTAATACGTCATCGTTATCATCTCATTCTTTAATTACGCCATCATCTGCGAAGGGGTGCGGTGTATAAAATTTATGTTCCAAATTCTTTATTGCTCCGATCGATGAACTTGACGCTATCGCACGGAAAGAAAAAGTTCTTTGGCATAACCGTTCCGTAATAATTAATGTATTAATTTTTAATTAACCTAAGCCAAACGACGCTGTCCCACGAAATTGATAACTCGCATCGGAGTGGTCGGGCGACCACCGCAACTTTCCCGAAAGTAACAAACGATGGCTCGGACGTGTCAGACCTAGTGATTAACGATAGCTCGCGGTTCGTGTTCTCCCGCTCATTGCTAACGATCACCGTCGATGTCAACGTGATTCATTTCATCAATTATCGCCGGCCGGATCCTCGTGGGCGCGATGATGATGGCCGGACAATTCATCCGATGATTCTCGATCGCGAGCATAGATCCCCGGTCGCGGGAATTTTACGAGCCTGACCGATGACATTTTATCGAATTCTTATCGAGCGGAACATTAATCAAATACAATATGATGCGCACGTGTAATAAATGTCTCCTTTTGTGTTAATTGTACACGGAGTTTTCTCTTAGAATTTTATAAGAGTTTCTCTGATTAATATTCATCGCAATAAAAAATATTAATATGTACATAGTGAAATTAATTGAACGTATATCTTATATCTTATTGATAGATATTTTTATTATGGTAAATATATATATTGTCCCACGATTTTGTCTCATGATTTTGAGGGTAAATTCTAAGAGAAAATTCTCTCTCTGTATATAATAATTATATGTAACGATCATAAATCTTCGAAAAAATTTATTTCATAAATATATTTTTTAGATATTGAATGAACTAAAGACTTTTGTTGTATAATGGATAATGATTATATACGCATAGAATTTCTTTGATCAATAATATTAATAGTAACAGACGTAATATGAGATATCGAATTATATTTGGGCAAAGAAAATGATTAACTTCTAAAGACTTTGAATTCTGCTCGAGCTTAATTGCCGAGAGGCAGTTTCAGTTTCAAGCTTTACATTTACTCTTCAGATTGCTCGTTGATTCACTAATTAAGATTCGAATGTAGCTTCGAGAATTTGTCAATAAGGCGCGATCCTTCCGACACCAAATGGTGCAAGAACCGAACTCGACGAGTCTAACGATCATGGATAAGAGCTTAATGGTCCGTTCTAATTAGAAGGAAGGCCCATTATCACCGCTAGCTACTTGACAAAACCGAGTCCGTGGACAGTCATCTATTATCTAATTCTAACTGCTTGTAACGCGAATGTGCAATTTTCAATAATTTACGAGCTCGAAAGAATAGAAAATAAGAGAAGAATGATCGAAATAAATGGTAACGAAGTCATTAGAAGGACTTGATCCTCACGCTTAAATAATTGCGAAAGCGGTTAATTAAAAGTTTACAACGATTAGATAGTTTCTCAAAGTTAATCCCTCCCAGGCATCGGCTCGTTAACTACGCTAATCTCAATTAAACTCTATCTCTTTCAAGCTGCGCGATGCAAAGAATTAAAAGGCACTACGAATCCGAACAAGTACCTAAGATAAATGTTTCGTTAAGAAATGAAAGATTTCGCGCAGCCTCATATTCTTTAATAACGATTCCGTTGCGTGCCAAGATTTTATGTATTAATAAGATTTGTTCGCCTATATTGCACATTTATTTTTCAACATTTCAACGCCCAGATGTTGAAATAAAATGTATTATCCACAGATCGCGGGAAAACACATCTCACGTATATATATATATATATATATATAAAAATATATATATACCTAATGATTTATTATTAACTATACTTCCACACTCGGAGAACTTAATCATTCAGTGCTCAAGTCCTAGCGAAAGCGAACTCTGGCCCCTTTTGTCTTCTCCTAATCTAACAGTTTCCTCGAGGGAGCCTGGTGACCCTGATGCTCGTAGATAAACCTAATGGTTCTGTGCTAATTAGGCCGGAAAGAGCCGACGGTATTAGCGGCACCTTTCGCGCTGCAGTAATAATTTGGCTCGCTACTTCCTGCCGCAGGAGAGCCTCAGGGGACGAAGCGAGCCGCCGACCAACATCATCCTCGCGCATAATGCATCCTGGACCGTCGTGAGTCAAAATTTCGCGAGATAGCCTGGACGAAAGCTGTATCGTGCTGAGCGTCCTTTTCTGCGGAATAAAAGGCCCGGAAGAGAGCGGCAAGAAGAAAAGTTTCAATCCTGCGCTCGGAACTGCGCCTTCGTCCTGCATCACAGAAAAGGTGAGAACGGAAAGGTGCGAGTTTTTCATTTTAAAAGAGAAATGTTGGCCGAAAGTTCGCCAAAGACATTCTTCCTTCTTCGAAGCAGACGTGCGATCGATATTCGCCGAGCGAAGGGCATAAGTCAAAAGTATCCTACTTTCTTTTTTCTTTTTTTTCGAGAAAAGAAAGTTATTTGAATATTTTGTTCTCCCAACATGTTTCTTCAGTTTGCCACTTTTCGCTAACATTTTCTACACGATTTCGCGTAGTGTGATGATTTAATTTCAAAATTAATAAAATGTCATCGAAAATTTTCACTCTTACTTCATTTGCACACAGTTCAATAAATACTAATTAAATTTAGTAACAAAATGATTGTTTTATTAATTTTATTCTTTTTTGATATCTTTTTCATCTTCGAGTTTGTTATTAAAGTCATAAATTTTTCGAACAGAACATTAAGCGAAAAATTACGTAGCTTCGAGTATTAAACAAAATTTTGATAGGAAATTTTGAAAGGAATTTATTTTTCTGGATCGAAGATGGGATGAGAAGTGGACGAAAGAGTGTTCGAAAAATGAAAAATTTTTTTTGTTTTTCAAAGACTTTTATTTCTCACAAAACGTGCGTGTTGAATAATTCTTATCGTTTGCTTACAGACTGTCACGTAGCAGAGTACTCGCACGTTTGCCCGGAGGAAATCCCCCACGACTTCCTCCACGAACGGGATTAGAAAACTTTCAACGACGCACCTCTCATCACTTCATCTGCAAGAAAACTTCGACCCTCCGTTCGACGGGAAGAAATCACGAGGCGCTAAAACGACGCGAATAAATGTGGAAGAAAGTATTATTAACAACTCGCTCCGCCACTTATTACAATCTTTGTTCTCTGGTTAAAATATTCTCCCAGGGACATTTATTATCTTGTTGCAAATCTTGAGTACAAACTCTTGATTATAGTAAATCGTTACATTGACAAATGATCTCTATAATCATTAAGAATATATCCGTGTATATTTATTTTTGACTAAATTAGTTTCTCTTGGCTTACTAGAGTAAAACTATTCTAAACTATTCTAATATTTTTTCTATTATGGCTATTACAATATTTTTTATAAAATATTTCCTTCAATAGATATTTCTCGCAATTATTAAAAGAATCATTGGACCAATCTCTATTATTTTCTTCCACAAAAATATGAGATTCAGAGTTTGACAAATATCATCTTACATCGTGGAATCGATGTAAAGTCAATGTCAAAATATCGCGATTGCGAGAGCGCACTTGTGATTTCTGCTGCGGATAAAAGGAAAAGTATATCACGAAAAGTGGATCTCGAATCGCTCCGTTTTCAGGGAAGTTTGTACGGGGAAAACGGGGAGAATGAGAGAGGAAAGCCGTCGTAAAACTATACCATAGGGCACGTGCAGATCGACGTACTACCAGGGGCATGTCGTGATATCATTTTACGGGATTGCGCAGGAAGAGGAGGGACCCGCGAGGATGATCCCGAGTACTGTAATAGGATTTCCAGGATCAGAGTTTTCCGCAGGAGGGACCGCGGTATCTTCCGGGCACGCCAAGTAACGCGGGACGTTCAACTTCTACAAACAGGACGCGCGCTTTAATTAGCGGAGTGTCCTACAATTACATAAGCTGCTGCAGCGAAATTTTAACTAGGCAACTTTGGATACCTTGGTCGATAATGCATAACGAGACAACTAATCTCGTACCGTTAATTACACGCGTACGCGCGTTCGCGTAAAGGCCTATAATATAATTCAAAGAAAATTTTGATTAAGAGCTATATTATATTTGCAACTATCTCGTAAAAAACCACTTCTTGTTTTTCTTATTACCTCTACTTTTTTTTAATGAAATATGCTTTTTATTATCTACATCAAATTCTCTTATAAAATCTAGTTAAGTTATTTTAAAATGTTGTTCATATAATTTATTTAAATTACGCTTATGTACACTTGCTCCAATTTATTATTCGGATTATTATATACATCTCGCGTTTCATAAATATGTATACATATTTTACATACTCATGTTGCGAAGAAAAACTCTAAAGATTTGGATTTTGTATTATATTTGCGAATATTATATTTCCTTATCTCGAACGTATATTTTTCTTATTTTCGCCGCAAGATAACTTTAAATTATTTTCCTTAGTTATGTCAAGTTTAAGTTTAAAATGCGAATGTATTTAAATCAAGCCTCGAGAATAAACAATAAAATCCTAAAGATACTAAAACTGTTCGTGGAGATACTAGAATGGTTAGAAAACGAAAAATTCGTTATATAGCCCGGAAGATACGTCGCAACCGTTTTGTATGCTAAGAGAGGACTTAGCCAGCCGCGAAAAGGCGTTCCGCGACTCCCGAAGAGATTTCGCCGAAAAGAAATCCGGCCCCAACGACGCGTTCAGGAAGCCCCTATTGTACAAAGTAATCTCCTCGTACCCTCTTTTTAGGCGCCCGCGTTTTAAGCGTAGCACATCGACTCTCGACCGATCGAAATGCCAAACTATTTTCACTCATGATTCGAGAAAGGCGAATAATAGAAGATAACGTGATGAAATCGTGTGACGTTGATGGTTGTTTGCATTATGTACTTTCGACAAAATTGAATTAACTTTAATTGAAGCAAATAATTGCCTTAGCTTTCTGCTATCAGAAAAGACAAATAAATAATAATACTTGTTATTTTTAGAGTATTTCTGAATTGTAATGGATGTATATTTATAAAAAATACATCACGTCTCATTAAATAATAAAAAAATGGATATGAAAAAAATAATTAAACGAAAAATTGATAAATTACATATTATTTATAGATTATTGATTTTTACTATTTTAAAATTGTCGATACGCACACAAACCAATTCTTATGATACAAACGATATATTTCGAGAAAATTTACAGCGGAAGAAAATTTTCTATAAAGCTAAAAAAACATTCGCGCAGATTACAGATGGCAATAATAGTTGATGTCGATCGACGGATACGTTTGACATTTCCATCAACGAGAGCGAACGTATGCGCTTACTTTTTACATCTTAGGAACTTACACGGTTTCGTATAGGTAGTTTTGTGGGCGAACAAGCGAGCAGAGTGTTCCGAGCCGTTCTCACGCGATGAGAAGCGGAAAGTACTTTGCGACTCTAGCTATATAAACCAGACAGATTCTCGAGCGAAGAGAAAAGAATATAAAAAAGAGAGATCGTCGTAGCGAATGATGTCCGTGCAAGCTTACTAGTGCCGCCGTGCTTTTTTGTTGAATTCGTTTCGTCGCTCGTACCTATCGAACGATTTGTATGAAAGTCATCGTGAGTACATCGCGAGATTCGCTGTAATGATCGATATTTCGTGACGTCGACGAGCGAGTTTCAATTTTATGGCAGCGGAAATGCTAATGAATAAAAGTTGTACAAATAAAATTAAAGTCCCCTTCTCGTTGGGAAAATATTATTTCTATCTACATAATTTCTTTTGAATTTTTAAATATTTAAAAACACAATGTACGTATAATACACGTTTATTGTAAAGAGATTTTAAATAAAGCGATTCTCTTCGCTTCCTTTTCAATAAACTCACAAAAAACGAGGAAATATAATATTGTATTAACGAATAATACATCTTGATGTGTTTGTCAAAATATTTGACTTGCGTGGCTTTAAAATTTTTCGACTATCGAATATTGCAACTTGGCTCGAACGCGCGATTATCGGGACGAGACGGCGAGTCCGCGAATAGTGAACAAAAGAAAGAATGTATTTTATGATATTTTATGCATAAAAAAAACGATCGTAAATCGATATAGCGTTAGTACGAGGTAAACTTAAGTAGAAGTGTATAAATAAATAAAATGACAATTTGAGCGTGCAGTTTTGCGCTCTGGACTACGCGCGTTGCGAAACGAACGCGATTTTACACGTAAGAGGAATCGATTTTCGGTCCATGCGAGAGAGAGGCTGGATGGGATCGTGGAACGGTGGTTCAGCATCACGCATGCGCATCGCCATCGCATCGGCGATTGATTAACGCGATGAAATGTTTACTTTATCAATTATGACAGCCGACAATTAATACTTTATCGCGTTGGCTGTACTTGATTCTTTCTATTTCTCTCGCGCACATGTGGGTGCTCGATCAAAAAATGCGGTCAAAAAAAAATCTCCCGCGAATCGTGCAAATTGTAGATGCGATATTAATTAAATACGGTTCGATCGATGACACTTTCTTCGCAAACCTGATAATCGTTGCGAGAATCACCGTTTCGCGAAAACGCCCAATCATTGGTATACTAAGCGCTACTGTAAAATATTGTATATTGTTTCTCGCGTTGTTTATTTTTCAATGTTTTTACTAGAGACACGTTTCTACGGTATTTACGAAGAATTACCGCATAATGTTACTAAAGACGCAATATATCCGCATTGCTCCGTTATATCGTATAGATGTGCGACAAATGGCTTTATCGTGACCGAACGAACAATATCCGCCGTTCTGAATTATTAAAAATTACGAAACAATGTGAAACAGTGATAGAATAAAATGTAGGAGAATTGGAAGCATATGAATTTATATCACTGTGCATTTGTGCATATTTAAACAAATATATTTTCGTTATCGTTACTGTTATTGGCAACGTATTAACGGTAAAATCACATTTTAACAATTGAAAAATTACATTCGGGATTATTTTATCATTATAACAATTTAAAGCTCAAAATTGATTTGGACTAATATTAATTTTAAAAGCTACAGCTTTCACATGTTCATTCATCATAATATTCAATTTCAATGTTTATCAACCCGATGGAAATCGATGTTTTTTTACGTTCCAATTTTTTTTTTATTTTTCTAATAACAATCTCAATTGCTCAATTTATATCGCGCAAGGGAAAAAGCGATTTTAAGTATTTTTTTTAATAATTTATAGTAATAAATAATTCATAAATCGGCCAAGATTATCGTATTGTCCAATATATCGCTATCTTATGGTATCACGGAGATAAACGGAATAAAATGCGTTTGTAAAACTGCAGCGTATCTCCAGCAGCTTTTGCAGTGTGTGAGCTAAAAACGAATGCGGAGCAAAACTAGTCTAGAGACATTTAAAGAGCGCATGGCTTGGATGCGAAGAACTATTACGACTGTAATGTCCGTCTATGGCGTTTAACCACGTGCTTTTGAAGAGAAACGGAATATTTCGAGAGTAGAAAAAAAACCTTTACAATTATATGCAGTTATATTCACGTGAAACATCGCCACGCTAGAAACTCAAATCATCTCTTGCAAAATGTAAAATACTATTCATTAAACATTCCTAATTTTAAATGTTATCTTTGATGTGTTCGTTAAAAAAAATGTAAAAAGAACAAAAAGACAGATGTATTGGTTGCCGAAAAATATTATTGCAATTGCTATGTTAAGAGAAAATTGCAAGAATGTAATATTAAATTTCAGATAGATAAATATTTATTAATGTAATTTATTAATGTAATTTATTAATGTAATTCACATAAAATATCTGTAAAGACGGATCGTTGAAATTTAAAATGTTCATAAAAGTGCATCGAAAGTTTGGGATATTTTTTACAATCTGGAAAGTGTGCTATTTTCTCAAAAGTTACCGTATATCTCGAAGACGAGCCAAGCGGACAGGAGTTGTGACATGTAACGTGAAGCGAACGTTTTACGTTCCGCGATAGTCCTTATAGCGAATTGACTACGCACCGTGGACTAATATGGCTAATTCTAGCAGCACGAAGTATTAACGTTAATAGCGAAATTATTGTAAGGGAAACTAACGCGGCGAATTACTAATAAAAGTGTAGATCGCCATTGATGTTTCCCGAAATACGATCTTCTACGATCGTATCTCGGCAAGACCGAGATATGCTCATAATATGGCAAATATAAATGAGAGAAGCGATATTTTCTTTTATTCTGATAATTGGCTACTCTTTGGAGCGTTACATTTATGATGATCGCCTATGATAATGAACAGTATATGCAATAAAAATGTTAATGCTTTCTATGTTTCAAAGTATTGATTTTTTCCCTATGTTAAAAATCGAGTTTCACACATATATATATTAGTAATTTTAATTATCAATGCTAAATGGATAATAAAATTACAATTACAAATTAATGTAAAATATACAAAATTTTAAAATTATAATACACCGAGATTATAATAAATTGAAGCAGAAATTTTCATGTAAATATATTTATAATAATGTAACAGATATCAATTATCTAGATATATAATCGGATACATACGGGAAATATTTATTCTACTTAAATTTGCACAATACATTGCAAAAATAATTTTCCTCGAATATTTTTCGTAACAGTTTCAAAAAAATTTTTCACGTTAAGTTTTATAATTATCGCAAATCGCTCTTTATGTGAGGCTTATTGCACATTAAAAATAAATTTTCAAAGCGCATGCCAATTATATTCAAATAAAAAGCAATTACTTTCGCTCATTTAGATTTGTCATCAGATCAAGCACCGAGTATTGGGCATCGCGGACAAACAATAGCGTATATAAGGCACAAGATGATTTTTATTACCAATTTCCGCTCGTACTCGAGCGAGGCAGATTATAATGAAATATGTTACGTTAATTATTCAGGCCTATAAATGTGTTTGTAAAATACAATTTGCTTAAATTAAAAAAGCATAAAACACTTAATTACGTTTGAATTATACGATTCCGTTTTAAAATGCTTTAGACTCCAAAATGGAGTGTAATGTAAGGAATCGTTAGGAAATGGTTGAAATTCCATGTGAGAAAAGCTTTACGCTGAAAGATTCTAACGCTAGGCAAATTACCATGAAACGTCGACAAGCAAAAATACTTTATTCTAGTCGTATTTCTCATGCTTTGCCAAGTAACCAAATGTAACTCCTGTGTTAAGTGTAATGATCAATTATGTTTTAATAAAATCTGCCAAGATTCTTGTCAGTGCTCCATGTGCTTCCTTACCTTTCTTATGCTCACAATCATCTTTCTTATTCTTATAATCCTATTTTTTTTTTTATATTTAAAAAAAGTTTCAAAATTTTATTTATAACTAAAGTCTAAAATATTCAAAAATATAGAGATTATAATAATTTTAATGCACAAAAATTAATTTTAATAAGCTTATTAATATAATAGTAGAAAAATTAACTTAAAACAATTATTCATATACTGTTAGTATTTAATTAACATTGTTATCAATTGAAAATATATTTAAACATGTTACTCTTTCCTTTTCTAATACTCTTAAGTATACAGGTTGAGCTATTTTAATCAACGCACGTAAATATCTCGTATAATAAGCAAGATGGAAAAAAATGTTTCGAACAAAAATTTTTTGACTATGAGAGAAACATAAAATAGTATTATTGATTTGACTTTGTATAATCATTTAAAGGTCACGTGAGAGTCACCTTCAATTTCTTAAATAGAACCTGCTATTTTTTATTACATATTCTTATAGTTTATCTAAAAAGCTTTCCAAAAGTTTGATGATGTATTTTTCAAATTATAAAAGTTTAAAGTTTACAATTTTCTGGCATAAAATGTAAATATTTTGTAAAATGTTCAATTCAAATCAATGACACCATCTTATGTCCCCCTCATAGTCGAAAAATTCTTGAGACTTTTTCCATCTTGCTTACTATACGAGATATTTACGTGCGTTGCTTAAAATGATTCACCCTGTATTTAAAATATGTTTTATCAAAAATATTGTGAAAACATGTAAAAGATAATTGATGTATCAATTAAAATACCATATTGGCTGTTACTGTATAGTATGTGATTCTGCTGTTGAACCAGTCATAATAATCAATGATCAAAATCATATTTAACAACAATTAATAAAAGCAGTCTTTGGTAGATGATGATTAATACGTGACATAAAATTGAATTTGAATTTACAATTACCACATAGAAAAACAAGTAAGCTCACGTATTTTTATAACTGACTATAGTATCCATTTATGTATAGAAGTTGAAAATGATCTAAGTTGTACCTCTTGACTGTTTGCAATAAAAACTGGCTGAGTCTCGTCCCACTGATTAGGAATGTTACAGTCAGGTACTGTGTATGCAAGTATGTCGAAGGAGCATAGGCAATCCAAGAGAGGCAGAAAAACTCACCGTGCCTGTAAAAATGCTTCATATTAGAAGGAAACATCTAACAAAACATCTAATGCTCTGTTTAAAATCACTTCTCAAACATTACCTGTAATTGACGTATCACTTCACGTATTTCCTTCTGTATAGTTTTCACATCCTTTGTCTCTCCATCTGGCAGATCAGTCTTGCCACTGATTCCGTTAGCTTTTTTGATCCTCATTCTCGACTTTAAAGTCCCATTTTTCTAGTACCTCCTTCGTATTAACATTCGTTATAACAAGCGTGATCTTTTGCACTTTACGTTGAATGAGCCAATCTTGAATCTGACCAAGAACAGTGTCTAGGAAAGATGTGATCTTCTCGTCCATGGACGTGAAGATGTATAGGCCGAAGTGTTCCGAGGTTTGGAACGTCTCCGGTGGATATATTCCTCTTTGATAGAGTATACTATTGACTCCATACTCTGCAAACAAAATGAAATTAGAGAGGTTACAAACATCTCTCGCCTCGATTAACCGATAAAAAATTATACTTACTCAGATATTGTGTAACCAATTCGGCGGATCCTTTCAGAGTAATACACCTGGCTTTCTGCTGCGTTTCCGTCATAATTCAGGAAAAATCACTTCGCACTTTTTCGTCTAGAACCCGAAGAGTCACACGGATGCCGGTTTACGAATTTCAAAAAATATCTCCGAGATTCAACGAACCTCGGATTCGATCAATCGGGCGCAAACGCGCCAAAACGTCGTCGAAAGAGCCAATAAAAGCCCTCGCATACAAGAAAGAAAACTCGACTAATCATGTGAAGAAAACCATGTTGTTACGTCATTCACGATTGACGCGCGATTGGTCAATTTCTTTTTGGCGCACTTTCATTGTGGACAATGAAGCCTAGAAGAATTCTAGAAGCCTATCTATTGATGCTACATGAGCCATGATTAAACGCCTGCAACGCTGAGAGCAAAAGCCAACGCATATCAGAAAAAGAGTTTGCGGAAGGAACGTCGACTGGAAAATCTAGCTGCAATCAACGATTTTTTTCTCCGGCATTATGAGTACTCTTGACGAAACGTTCATATCCGGACTCGTGTACGATTATTTGTTGAAGACTGACGCTTCGTTGGCGAATGTCTTTCAGAAGAAGACAAAAGCGGTAAGCTCCAAAATCGTTAATGACTAATCGGTGTGTGAACACGCGGTAACTCCGAATGCCGCCATTCGTCATCACCACGTGAACGCGCCACGCCGAAAAAAGTTTTCTTTCAATTATTTCATTATTATTCTGCATCGTATGCTGCTTATATATTTACTGCTAATCGCAGAATAAATATTGCGAGCGATTGCGACAATCATATTTTCAATATTGATAACCTTACAGACGCACATCGAGATATCCTTGTTCTTCCCTCGCTTTTTAATTTAATATTCGATTGTAAAATAAAAAAGTAGTAACTATATAAGTTAATATTATTATTTTATTGAGAATTGAGATATTAAATTGTAACGGGATGTAAAAAATTAATCGCTTTTTTATTTTCAGCCTAGTCTGTCGAAAGATGTCCAACGATATTTGATGTATATAAGTATTACCAACAGTTGTCCTCTAAAAGGTCTCTGTAGTTGGACAGAATAAAGATAGTAGCTCGGAATCGAGTTCAGAGAGCGAGGAGGAAACACCGAAAAATGTAACGCAAGTGAATGGCAAAGGAGCGGTGATTAAAACAGTACCACTTAAAAAAGTAACAAAAACTTCCTCAGAAGAGTCTTCTAGTGACGAGGAAATGCCAGCTCAAAAAACATCAGAGAAAGCAAAGACGAAAATCAAGGCATCTCTTAAACAAGAAGAAGAGAGCTCTGATGAAAGTTCCGACAACAGTCAATGTATCCCTTCTCTACAACCAATTCAACATGATAAAAAGAAACAGTCAAAACCTGCTCTTAAACAAAAATCCTCCAATTCATCTGATAGCGATTCCGATTCCTCGGAAGATGAAGAGCCTACTGTTAAACAGTCAACCATCAAGGCATCAAAAGTTATGAAGAAAGACACTTCCACGAGCGAAGCCAGCAGCGATGAGGAAGCTAAACCAGCACCAAAAGCAGTTCCTCTAAAAGGACAGTCGCAGAAATCGGCTTTTCTCAGTCAAACATCTACACCAAAAGCAGGTGCAACTCCAAAATCACAACCACAAAAGCAGATTAAATCGGTTAAAATTCAGAAACATCAACCGAAGACGATAGCGATGAAGAATCACCTATAAAAACAGTTATGAAGAAAACATTAACGCCAAAAAGTCAGCAGTTACTAATGAGGAAACTTCGAGCGACTATAGTACCGAGGAAGAGCAACCTGCTAAGAAACTATCAACGATAAATGTCACTAAAAAAAAAGAATCTTCCTCGAGCGAAGAGAGCAGCGGCGATGAAAAACCAACTCTCAAGCAGAATACCACTGGTAAAGTTGGTCCTGCAAAGAAAAAATCGTCGAGCGAAGATTCAGATGATGATTCCGATAAACAAGAGAAACCAACGACAAAACCATTCAGTCAGCCTCTTGCGAAACGCTCGGACATTAATAAAGCATTGAAGAAGCAGGAATCTTCCAGCGAAGATTCAGACGATTCGGAAGACGAAACACCAGCTGCAAAACCTACACCTGCAAAAGCAACCACCAAGAAGGAATCTTCAAGTGATTCTGATTCAGATTCCAGCGAGCCAGTCAAAGAAACAAAAATTCAAGTAACCAAAACTCAAAAACGAAAACATTCGAAAGATGAAGAAGAAACAACGCCGGCAAAATTTAAAAAAAATTATGACAACTTTGTAAAAGCTAACGACAGTTTGAACGAAGAAAACAAGGTACGTCTATATGCAAAATACGATTCAACACATATTCTGTGCAGTCTTTGCAAAAATCATATTTGCTTATTGATATTATATCGAAATATACAGAATATTACAGCATATTCAATGAACATTTAGTTGTACAAATGATGTATTATTGCTTTGTCTATGCAACAATTAAGCATTTTTAAGTAACAAAACATTATTTCTAATACTTATTATTTTGTATTTAGCCAATGAGATTTCAACGTATAAGAAGCGACGCGATCACAGTGGATCCTAAACTGGCTAATAATTCTTTCGAAGCAAAGGTAAATGCTCGGAAACCGTCCGAGAGACACAGGTCACTCGCCCTTTTTCCGAAAGCTTGAGACCCATGTTCATGTGGCTAGGTTTCCGTGCATTCACCGAATCTTAAACTTTAAATATTATGGAATTATGACAAATAAAAAAGCCAAAAGAAAATAGAATTAATATAATAATATATTTTCAAGAACATATGAGGGGGTGCGATTGACCTGTTTCTCTCTTTTGTTCTAGGAAGAAAAAGATGATAATAGTTTTAAGAGAAATGACTCGGAACGAAGCGGATTCAGGATGGATTCAGATGGATTTAGGGGGGGTAGAGGCGGTAGAGGCGGTAGAGGTGGTAGAGGTGGTAGAGGTGGTAGGGGTGGTTGGGGGGGAGGGCGCGGATTTAGAGGCGGCGGTAACGATAGAGGTAATCGTTGGAGCAACGATGGAGATAGGGATGGCGACAGAGGCGGACGTTGGAGTAACGGTGGCAATAGGGATGGTGCTGGGGACAAGGATGGTGCCGGCGACAGAGGCGGACGTTGGAGCAACGGTGGCGATAGGGATGGCGGTGGTTGGAGTGGTCGCGGCGGCGGTTTTAGAGGTGGTCGCGGCGGCGGCGGTTTTAGAGGCGGTCGCGGCGGCGGTGGAGGCGGCTTTGGAGGCGGCTTTAGAGGCGACTCCGACGGTAGAAAATCTTGGGGAAATGATAGACCGAGAAAGTCGTGGGGAAACAGCGGGGATGATGATAAGGGAGGTTTTAGAGGCGGTTTCGATAAAAAGAAGTCCTTCGACATCACGGCATCCCCTCAAAATAAAAAAATCACTTTTGATGATTAACAAATGATTGTATATAACGGTAAGAGATAGGTCTCGCAATTGCGTTATCAATAAATGTACTTTAATCTTTGAGGACATACGCAAATGTATAATTATAATCCTTTGTTTTCTTTGCCCGACAGAAAGGTGCACGCGGATCATGGGGAGAACGAGCTAACGAAGTGTTGAAGCATACAAGGGGGAAGTTATTCCGACATGAGAAGCAAAAGAAAAAGCGCGGTAGCTACCGCGGTGGACGTATAGATACACATGTTAATTCCATTAAATTCGACGATTAAACAATTATACATCCACATTTCGTCATTCTTTTACTATCATATTTAAATCCGTAAGATGTTAAGTAAATACTCTCTGACTTATATACTATGAATGTTTATATAAAGACCGACATGTGTTGTATAAAGACAGCTGTGTTCTAAATTTTAAAAGAAAATTCTGAAATAATATAACTTTGGTTGGCGCTTATTTTATATATACATATATACTGTTGAATACATACTTATGTATATATATATATATGTATATGTATATATATGTGTGTGTATATATATATATATATAGAAGTGTACACATAAAATGGTATACTATACAGATTGTTCTAAACCCATATGCATAATATATAAATATTTCACATTAAATTAATGAAATTCAAATTAGCATTTTATTATCTATATATATATATATGTATTATAAGTATTTCATCAATTCAAGTGTATATTATATATTGCATTTATACTTTGTATACAGCAGTCTTTAATCTCTGTTACTTATTTACGTTTTATTCGGAGAAACTTTGCGTACTCGATCACCTTATTTTATTTTATTTGTCGTTTTATTATGCAGTATATATTTGACAAAACCACATACTCAACATGCTCGTAATCGCTGATCGCTGATATTCATAAAATAATGTTGTGCACTATTTGATTTAAAAATTTGATTGTTAATGATAAGAAGCAATAGAGTTTGCATAAAACTAACAATACACCGCAAGAATATATTTTGAAATGTGTGATCAGATAAATAATGACATGTATATGTGTATATTCTTTCTGAAACGAGTAAAATATTCGGTGGCAATAGATTTTATAGATTCTAATTTCTGGGAGATGAATCAGCATAATAACAGCTCAGTATTACTTACTTTTTGTTCTTTATTCACACACATGTTAAGAAAAAATAATCATTAGAAGGCAAATCTATTTTATGTTCATTTGTCCAACCTTTGTAATTTTAGCTCAAAATGCAATTTATGCTATGAACATAAGATATAATTTGTTTTACGTAAATCTATTAATTTCAATATTGTTAATTTATTAATTGTAATGAAATTTAAAAAAAGAAAATTTTTTAAACAGTAGAACTTTATATTATGTTAATGATTTTAATGCTAATTATATAAAAAATTAAGGTATTTTTTGTTTTAACGAAAAGAGGAACATCTCGTGTATTTCTTCTATATAAGAATAATATGTATGAAAAGTTAAATTAATAATAATTATTTTTCGATTATGAATATACTGAATAGTCTATTGTATTTATTATACTATATAATTTATATTAGATATTAATATAATAATGATACAAAAGTCAAAAGAATATGAAACGTTAGATCATCGTATCATACTCTCGCGCTTTACGCGGGAAGATAAAAAGAATTTTGCTTTAACATAATTTTTAAATTGATTTGTTGTTTATTTTCAATATAAATAAGAAGATTCTAAAAGTTGTTCGAGAAAACATGAGTTTCTTTCATGTTCCTTTATAACATAAAATTTATCAAGTCAGAATTTTTGTCATGCTGAGTGTTAAATCTTTATCCATTAATCGTAAAGTTTGCATTTTTCAAAATATTAATATCTATAGCGAAATACTTATATAACATTAATCAGCAAATTTTTCAATTGGAAATTGATTGATTGCCTCTTTTTTAAGAACTAGATAATTTTTCTAAATGACTCATAGTTTTCTCTCAATCCTATTACGAAAGGAACTTCGCTTACTCTGCGTTGCCTGATCTGCACGACCTGCCTGAAAAAAGGAGCCGCAACGGAGGCTACCCTCTTTCACACCGGATCATCTTTCTTCATCAGAAGGCGGAAAAAGGTTTAGAGTCAGAATAGAGGCCAATATTCCCAGCCAGAGAGAAAGAAAGAGAAAGAGAGGTCCCCTCTTTTACCCCGACTCGCTGCCCAAGCACAGAGAGCGGTTACTTACGATTCTACAGTCAACCTCTGGACATCCACCTGCGAGGACGGAGGTGCTCGACCTCACTCGACATCCGGTGCAGTGACATGAACGGTGCTTGAGAAAAAGAGAAAAAAACGAGAGACTTGTGTGTAATTTTCATAATCCCTTTTTTGATATTTATTTATTTATTTATTTATTTTTAATTCATACCGATATATCTCACGGACGTTCCGGTCAATTTTAATGTAACGTGGAGGTCGCCGGACGGGCCGAGAAAGGACTTGTAACGCAATCGAAACAAATGTTCCTCACGGTGAGTAATAGTAAACAAATTTTTTTCATTTATTTTAATTTAAACATCATCGGCGCTAATCGATTTTTGCGAAGATATAATAAATTTCGTTTGCCTAGAGTTTGCGACAAAGAAAAATGTCCTCTAAGTTAGCACGTGTATGTAGATTGGTCCCAAACATCCCTCGCACAAAATTTACGCGGGCTACAAAAACAATCTACAAGGTAGACAAGTCGAAACGTTTCAAGACAGACGATTCATGACAGAGTGCCACGATGTAGTCTGAGGCCGGGTGCTTTAAAGTTTATTATCCGCAACACATAAAATTCATGACGTTTAGCTATGCAGCTGCAAGTTGCGAATTGTTCTCGAGACAGAATGGTTTTATGCGAAATTTACAATTCAATCTCATCGCTTCCCCTCCTTATAAAGAATTCAAAGTCAAAAATTCTATAATCAGCGACCGACAAGAAAAATTGCAAAACGAAACTGAGTTACATATATTTTTTGCTGATACTAAATAAAAAATATATTGACTTGCCAAATTTAATCAAGACATTTTATATTCTTTAAAATCTTTTAGAATTTATTATAGTATTAATTTTTGAAAAAGTATTGTTTAATGTCAAAAATGCATTTGCATCTGATGTAATTTATTTTTTCATTTGCCTTTTATAAAATACTCTGCTTATAAAATGAAACAAACATGCGATTGCTCATTTCATATAACATCGCAAGATGAAGAAAGAATTTCAGTCTTACACGCGATACGACAGTTATAATAATTTATTCACGAAATGAATCACCGAAACATGTATACCGTTATAAGAGTAAGAGGATAAGTAAACCCAAGTACCCTCGATAAAATCCGACTTACATACAAGAGGAAACGACGTTTTGGACGATTCAACATTACCGTTAGATTTGTTAACGCATATGGACCATAGAGACCATCTGTTCCTTAAAGCAAGCAAAAGCGTAAATTCGTTCCTTAATCCAACTTCTCATTAATGAGGAAAAAATACGTATAAAATAAATATAAAGCGAATTGTTGGATATTGATGAAAAAACAGATGCAAGAATAAATATAGATTAAATGTTTTACTAGTAAATTAATATAATAGCGATAATAATTGTGAAAAATTTGGGGAGGATCTCAAAAATATATTTTATTAATTATAATTATCATGTATTGTTCTGGAAAAGAGAAACTATCCGAAAAATTATCTCAAAAAATTACTTATATTTTTTTTATTTCACATCAATGATTGTTCCAAACAAAATTGTTCCATTTTTGTAAAATAGATAGACGCGAGGAACAGAATATTTGATTAATTATCGGTTTCTGTTAAAACAATAAGGTAGTATATAGAAAATATATATATCTAATCTGTTTACAAAATACATTTCTTAAGAATGTATTCTACGACTTACAACGTTAATCTATCACGTATCGTAAGGATGAGAAGAGACACACAGAGGACGACTTTAAATTTGTCAATAATCCGTTTTTATACCCAGTCGAAAGAAGAATTAAACAGAATGACGTGAGAAATCTTTACTTGGAAATAATCGTAGCGTCTCCATCCAAAATCGCCGCCAGCGTGGAGCCGGCGGAAATCTTTCGATCGCGGGTTCTCGAGTTCAGACGATTCCCACGTGTACGTCACTTCCTCTTGATAATCATTTACCCAGGCATATTTTGACATAATGATAGAATTTTTTTATTAAATTAGATATTATTTAAAAATTCTATAAATATAATTTGCTGATCTTAATTAGCTTTGCTTTGATAAGTTCTCTCGAACATGTAAAAATTACATTGAATTTCTCAGCGGTTCTATGTCTGAATAATTAACACAAATGTTTTTTTAACAAAAAAAATAAATAAATAAATTATTATAATTTATAAATACATATCGCGGAAGAGAATATGTGCATGTAAAAGAGTCTCAAATATATATTTCGATCTTCCAAGAACTATATTATATAGCATCATCTATATAGGTATTTGTCAACTCATCGACGTCCCGATTCGCGACTGTGAGATTTCTTTCTCATTAACGGACTCGTATTTTCTCGGAATCCTGACCAGACAGAATATTGTGTAAATTCGAAACTATATAGATAATCAAAATCGCGTATGCGCGACCCGTCTCACCCGTGATTCTCGTGCGAAAATCCAGGGCGAAGCGAGAGACCGTAAAAAGAGCCGGCGCGCTTGTCCGATCCGCATCGCGGATCCAAGAAGAGCGCGTGAGAACGCTTTTAATTAACCGCAAGGTCGCAACGGTGGAGTAAGTAACGTTATACAGCGGGACGTATCGGAACGGAAGACACGGTCGCGAGATCGAATTAGTTCTCTTCTCTCTCTCTTTCTATTCGATATCGATCCTTTCCTGATCCACAAAATGAACCGCGCTACGGGAAGCGCCACGACGGGACTTTGATTAATCGTTAACATTAATCGAGCGCTGATCGAGCGCCTTTTTCGCATCCGCAAAAAGAAACACGGCTCTGGTCGTTGTTTCGCTTCCCAGGACCAGGGATATAATGTCAAAAGCGAGCGATGGAGCGGAAAGAGTAATCAGATTCGCGCACGGACTCCTCGGGGGAGAACTTTGGCTCGTATAACGAAAGAAGTAATCATATTGTTGCGCGGATTCACGTAGCCGTACCGGCAATTATTGTCCTTCTCTTTCGAACTCTTAACGTCGACACATACATCTTGAACGCTTTTTTCATGCGCCAGGCCATAACGGTTCATCGATCTCCGCGTACCAATTTTCTCTCGATATCGTTAATGGAACTCAATTCGTGGAGTTTGTAAGCCGTATTACGATTTCGCGGATATATACGCGATGGAGAGAGAGATCGAGGAGAATCGATGCTGAGGATCAAGGATTTGTCGAGGTAACAGGTATATGTACGCGCGAACGCACATGGACGGTCACGGCCATTGACCAACCTTGGACGGTATCCGCTAATGATTTCCTTGCTCTCTCTCTTCTACTCTCTGTGGGCTTGTTATTGAAATGTGTCTGTTAAATATAGCTAAATCGTTCTCTCTAGAAGAATTTTTTTTCAAGATTTTTTCGACTTATACACTTCACGATTCGATAATATTGCGATCTTATTGTTAGAACTCGAGTTCGCGAGAGGTCAAGAGTAAATGACACAAGGTATGAACATATAGCCTGGTAGAAAATTTTGCAATAGCTTTCTGAAATAGTTGTGCAGAGCAGTAAATCTGAAAAATACGAAAATCTGAACGATTTTTATATACATCACAAAAGTATAGGTACAGTTTTTTCGCAACACAGGATCTATTAAATAATCTATAGAAAGGAAGAAAATCAAATTTTAGATTCGCAGGAAATTTTATCGTTTTGAAAAAAAAATTATATAGAAATACAGAGACATTTAAACTTCTCTGATTAAATTTTTTTTTCAAAGAAAAGTTATCATGATATTACTTATTGTTAGAGAAAGACTTTGATTAAAAATTATCAAGTTAAAGGAGGGTCTATCTAGAAATAATAATCCGCCATCTAGAAATAATAATTTAGTAAAAATATTCAGACTTTTAAAAATTAAAACTACTTGCACACATTTAAACTATGATTCAAATGTCATTATAACTTTTTTAAAAATTCTTGTTTTTTAATTTTTAAGTTATTTTTAAAAGAAAAGCGGATCTATGTGATAGCTGGTCAGTAGCTCTTAATCATGTCAAGGTTAATTGCGTTCGCCAGACGAGGACTCGGATCAACACGCGCACGTTGAAAAGCAATATTCCTCGCTTATTATTCCGCGTTGGTAACGCGGGCACGTATGAAAATCGCAATCAAAATACGCGATCAACGAGCTTCTTTCCAATCGCTTTCACTCGTCGTAATAGCGAATACATAAGCGGTATAACGGATTTGCAACAACCTAGAAACCCCGAATTGCATATAGGGAGTCGTGCATCGATTATGCGATCGCAATTAATTATTCTTAATTCACGTTTACTCTCTTTCTCTATCTTTTCATCTATATATATCTTTTTTCTCTCCCTTGTAAACATTGCAATTTTCATGTACGAAACGCCGCGAAAGGAAAAAGAATACCTGGTCGACGCGATTTTTTTTTCTTTTCACGGTGAACTTCACCTGCGAAACGGAAATCCTTTCGACGCGGATTCCGAGAGGGAAATGATGGCTAGCCCCGTAAGAACCGGTGATTTCCCGAAGGCAAACCGACGATCATCCGTTACATCAAATTACTCGTTGCTTGCGCGTACTTACGTACGGTGTTCGTACCGTAAACAGGATTAATTAGAGCGATATATATCGCGATAACTGAGAAAATATGACCGAATACAAACGGGAATCAGCCATAATATATCCGCTTCTCGGTAAAATAATAGTCTTTTTGCGGCCAGTATATATAGAATCTTATAGAGAATCTTCTCTCTGAAGAAGCTCCAGAAGAAACTCTAATCACTTTGTAATCACTTTCAAATGCTGTGTCTTAGCAAAATGAACAAATAAAAACATAACTATAGAAAAAGGAATTTTTAATCATATTTCTTTCTGTCTTTGGAAAAATTAATTATCTAAAATAAAATTTTGTATCCCTCTTTCACTCATTATACTTGTTAAGATCGATAGTTCTCATCATAAGGAGTGTAAATAATTTTTTTGTATAAGAAAATGTTTAATTATATGTATATCATGAAAAAAATTAGCTACCATAACTAAATTTTAGTTGTCCCTATAGTTTAACGGAGAATTCTATAGCTAAAAAATATTTATTAGTTATCATAGTTAGCTATAAATATAACTAATATTTTAGCTATAGAATTCTCTGTTAAACTATAGAAACAACTATTTAGTTATGGTAGTTAATTTTTTTAAATTAGCCAAATTTTAGAATTTAGGTATGATCACTAAATTTTATATGTAATATAGGGACAGCTAAAATTTAACTATAGTAGCTAATTTTTTCGTGATTAATTATATTGAAGAATGTCTATCGAAAGCAGTCTGACTTACTGCTCCATACAACTGTTTTAATTCAGAAAGCTATTGCGAAATTTCCAAGCTGTAAAGTATGCTCACACCTGCTTGTGTCATTTACTCTTGCTCTTGACCTCTCGCGAACTCGAGTTCTTAGATTGTTCGCTCGCTCGCTCGTGTTTATCCTGCCTACGCATGCTGACGCAGCATCGCAGTTCACATCGCCAGCGATATCAATCTTTATTAACAAAAAGATAATGTCATTTACCGGCAAGATTTCGCTCGCGGCGCGTAGCTTCCCCTGACGCGACTATCACTTTATCTAATGCAGCTGTCACGTTACGTTTGCGGTCTACCACTCTACGAATAAAATATTGGAATATGTACAATGTAAGAGAGACCCAATGTCAAATATAGCTATATATCTCCACGCACAGTCACTTTAAATTCAAGCAATACAAACTAATAAATTAATTGTGTCCGTCAAAATCATTATATGTACATTTCAAGCTACAATTTATACGTATAATTTTATTTTATAATCAATATAAGCTGTCAACAATGATTTTCTCTTCAAATTTTGAAAGTAGAGATCGGTATAAAAATTCTTCAAGATATTAAACATATGTCAAAAAAGAATGCGTCATGAAATATATCCAATTATTTGTAGGGGTGTATTTCTAAAATGCATGTAAAAATATTTGAATCTCTAACATATACTTTCTTTGTTATTTCAGATGTCCAGGTATCTCGGTCTGATACTTATTATTACGGCGTTTACGCATGCATATGACGCCAAGAAATGCGAGGGCAACGGCCTAGGTCTAAAATATGTTTGGGGCGACGCACTCACCGATCCGAATGACTGTATAGGACCAAATAATATGGAATATCCCTCGTAAGTGGCAAAATTTTATATTTTTAAATTATGATTGAAACGAATTTCTAGCACAGAAAATCTCAGAAAAATAGAATGCAAAAAATTGTTCATATTTGATCATTTACAATCATATATGTTTAATCGATCTGCAAAAATCTGTCGCTATTATCAAAAATTTTTTAAATCGAACTGTTATTACTGAAAATAGATATTTAGCGTATAAATATTTTATTCACGATTTTCCACTTTAATCGATCTTTCTGGTAGGAAAACATGAATGAATTAAGTATATACGATGTTGAGAGACTCATTAGACTTGAGTTAAAAAATCAGGCTATATATAAATACCAATTAATTGGTAGCATATAAGAGAAAAAGATGTAATGGCTCTCTAGGCAAAGAGTGCAACAGATAGTATATGTACCGTTCTTGCAGAACCGCGATATCGAGGAGCTTCAAGAATTTCTGGCCGGGCAGTAGTCGAACCGCGCGATCGCACGGACAGCCACGGACGATTGATCCCGAACGGACAAGGCAGGCACTTTTGTACAACTACAAAACGGCCCGCGGAGATTATTCCATCGCCGGAAATTCTCGAAATGGTGAGCCCGTGTTTGAACGCAACGTGTGTTCCGCGAGTTTCATCTGAACACGCAGCGTTTCCTCTGCTGCTTCCAAAAATCGCGCGAGACATTAATCCTGCTTTATCTCGACCCTCTAAAGTAGTATATTTGCTCGCGAAATTATTAAGATATTTTTCATATTTTTATTTAAATAAATGCTTGCATATATAGAGAACTATATGATCCGCTAGAGAAATTAAGTTTGTAAACTCGTTAATTTTTCATTAATCGATTTATGTGCAATATTCGAAAATTATTATTCGATAGTCTACACGAATAAAAATATAGAATAGCATAAATTAATAAAAATAATAAATGTTATCACTTCTCTCTCTCTCTTTCTCTCTTTCTTTTAATTTTGAAGAAAGCAATGTATGCTATCAATTTTTTTAACAAAATTAAGTTTAATGTAATCTATAAATTATATATATATTTAAATTACTATCTGTACGTGTAAGCAGACATGAAATTTAGATAGAAAGGAAATACTACATTATGTTCGAATAAAAAAAACTTTCAAAGCGGATCTTGAGATCTATCTAGGATCTATCTAGAATCTATCGTGAAATCTTGCTCAATCAAATGCGGAATTGCTATGGGAATGCAAATTATCCGAGAGGCGCGCGCGTATATTTGCTTTAATATTTGTGTAAAACGACACTATTCCCACACAAACTGCGAAAAAATTCGCGACGCTTAACGTTTGAGGCCTTCACGAAAATTAGAACGGCCAGTCGCGGAGGTAGATACCACGACCGACATGTACAGCCGTTTACGATCGCGGCTTGCTCATGGTGCCCTGCAGCCTTGAGTTATGCAGCTGTCCTTATGACACGAAAACCCGCTTCCAATCGCTTCGTGTTCCCTGACCGATCGACGCCGGGGTTTCTGCGAAATTTGCGCGGCCGAGATGATCCGCCGCGATGAGTTTTCCGATTGTGGGAAGTCGCGACTGATCCAGGTGCTCGATCCTCTCGATAATCGAGCTGGTGCGGTGCACCAACTCCGGGACCGGGTAATAAGGCACCGTGTTATCCGACCAATACAGTTATCGTTGTGTTCATAACGGGACCCGCCGACGACCCACTCGTCGTTTCGAGTGTACGTACGTGTATGTTCCTCGGGATGTTATCCCCGACGAAGACTGCTGATTCCGAGAGCGAATCTTGATCCAATTGTTCAACCACGGTAAACTCAATCGAAGATATGAATCGTTCGATAATTATGCCAAGTTCGAGCAAAAAATTTGATACAGTGCTATGCCTCAATAAATCAATCATTACAGATTTATATTTCAATATTTAAAAGAATAAGATATATGAGAATATATTATATAAAAATATATCTTATTTACATCAAAAAAATATTGTAAATCTTCTATGAAAATTTCGTGAAAAAAGGAGATATTATTTTATTTAAAGAGAGAAAGAGAGAAGCAAGAGAGAGTATTTATTATTTGTAATTTTATCTTTGGTCCCAATAGCAAAAGCAAATCGAAATTTAAGCAATATGACATTCTTCGCGTGCTATGGAAACAAATTGATTTATATAATAAAATATTTAATATATACTTGACGCTGCTTAAATCTTCATAATTTCATAGGGACCAATCCCGTACTATTACGGGACCATCTCGCAATATACCGTATTATAACGTTCTGGTGCTGTCGATAAACCGCAATAACGTTATGCGTTAAATATAGATATTTGCGTATATAAGTATAGCATATAGAAAATACGATAACCAGCGTCAAGTACATTATAATGCATGTTATATTATAATTGCATATTACGAGGCGTATTACAAGAAAAATTACATAGCGACGAAGTAATCGTCACTGGGTTTTCAGGCCGGTCGTTTTCCACGAAGGAAAGTTGCGGATCGCCCGCCAGACTCTGCAAAACGAGGTACAACACCACGGCACCTATGTACGGCATCAGCCTTACTAGTGGACAACCGGTAACGATCGTTCAAAAGTTTCCTGATCTCTTGCAACAGGTTGTTTTTGAAGTCTGCGAGTGAGTATATTGTATACATGACTGAGACTTTTGAAGAATTTGAAATCAATTTTTGCATTCACCCCAGTATCATAATAGTGTACATTAAATTTTTAGCAAGCCTGTAATTAGCTTAAAAATTTTTATAAATTATTTTAATGTTTAATTTCTAAATAGACTGCTCGCATTTTCTCTCCTTACACGACAAGTTTTTCTATTTGCGACGAAAAAAATATCTTTGTAGACTTGCCTGGAAATGTTGCAAAGCAAAAATTGATTGCGAATTCACCTGTAAAATATCTGATGATTTGGAACACCCTATATAGGCGCCTTGCTAGGCATACAATACGATTTCTGCAGTTAATTTATGTAGATGGGATTCGTGTTTGCGGTCAATATTTATCGATGCAATATATTGCACGAAATTTTAAACAGTGATTTATATAAGAAAGCAGCGGGATATCGGGCCAGATTGAAATTCACTTGGGCCGTCTGCTCGCTGAATTAATTCGAATGTGGCACAGTAGGCTGAACTGGTTTACGACTGTGTGTTCGTGATCGACATACGCCTACTTTTTTAGCCTTTTTTTACACGAAATTCCTTCCTAAAGATAACTCAAATGTAGCTCGCCTATAGCATAAAACATCACTAATTATAAATGAAGATGTACGTACGTATTGAATCTATAATGCAATTAAAGTTGAAATCTCACTCGCGACCAAAAAGAATACTTCAAACTTTTACTAAAGAGAAACGTCTATCGAAATATACATTGAAAAAAAAATGGTGAATTTGATGAAACCGTTCAACTAAATTACTATTTTGTTAATTGAATATATATTAATATTTAATTCAAATATATATTTTGTTAGATTTAATATGTTATATTTAATTTTAATATTTTATGTTTAATATTAACAAAAAAATATTTAGTAGAACGATTTAGTCAAGTTAACAAATTTCTTTTCAGTGTACACATTAAAAAAACTTCATATTCGGAATAAAATTATATACTAACATGAGAATGTATTTAAAAAGATCTCTCTCTTTCTCAAAAAGAAAAAATTACTTCACCTGTGAGTGTCACGCAACCGTACGCCATATAACTTTCCGTAATTTTACAAGCATCTCGAAGCTATCGAAGTCTATTATAAACCCGAAGTTATGTCAGCGATGCTTATGTATTTGAAGACCGCGGAATCAAAGTTCTCGCGGAAACACAACTCCAAACACAAGTCCGGTGAACGAACCCAGTAGAATCTTTCATCGGTCGTTGTTTCAGATCGAAGGAATGCGACGTGGTTCACGGCGAATGCACGCAAACCTACGTACCGTACCTGTTTCTGGTGATTCCTCTGGGTCCAGTGACCTTGACCGGCCAGGATTACGTGCTGGTAGAGAGCGGTTGCGTTTGCAAGCCGAGAAATACGGCGAGCTCATCCACCGACACGCCACCAGCTGTACCGAGCTTCTAATCTCATCAAATATCGCAAATGTCACAAGATTCACGGACTGTCTCTCCGCCGAAACGAGGGGATTCGCTGCAAATAATTCGCCTTTTACCGGAATGATATAGAGCGATTTTGAGCCAAAATCCTCGAATGATATCTTCGGCAATCTTCATCGATGCGACGCTAGATTTATTTCTGAAGAGAAATCTAATCAAAATATGTGGAATTTTACTCTGGTCGAAATAAATATATCTCCTTTTTTACAAAAGAATTATATTTATTTTAATCGATTATCGGATTTAATTGAATTATATTTTTTCTTTAATATATAATATATTTTTGCTCTATATTTTATATTATATTTTTGCAATCAAAAAGATTTGTGGAAATTTATGACTTTGAAATTGGAAGTCAGATATTTTGTCAAAATGAAATAAAATCACGAAATGGAAAGCTTGGCTAATAATGAGTTAATTAGAACACAATGCAATGAAGATTTCTTGAAAGAAATATTTCTAGCAAATGAATCACTCTTCATCGTAGTGTCTTTGCGTTGTACTGCATTTGTGACATTGCATTTCAATTCATAAGACCTAGACGAACTATTATTATAATGTGCAACGAATAATCCATCGTCTGACCCGAATTACGGAAGACAAGACTATTGACGCAGTTGATGGATTTCATCGATGATAAATTTTTACATAACATCACTTCAAGACTTTCGAGTACTTTTCTGGGCTAAACTCGACGAATAAGTCGAATCAGTCTATTCGTCAAATACTCGAACCGTATTTACTCTTCATGCTATTTAAGAAAAAATATATTACACATATATTTTATATTTTGTTTTTTATATAAAGGTTTTTTTATTATAAAAATACAAAATACAGCGAATAATAATAAGTATAAATTAAATTATTATATAATTGAATCTCCTGATACAATTTTAAAGAAAATTTTTTACCTAAAAAGAATAAAGACTTTAATTTATATTAAACGTGTAAAAAAGCTTATTTCAGAGAAAAAATAAAATACATTGCTTGTCGAAATTAAGTAATTCAAAACAAGAATAAATCAAATCTATAATTTGCAAAAGGTTTACTTCAAGTTTCATACCTAAAAAAACTTAATGAAAAATTATTATACTTTTGCTATGAACCATTCCACTGTGATAATCTATCGATACCTCGACAGAAAACGATAATATACACTCGAACAAAATCGACCTATAGTACAAAATGTTTCTATCCGTGCTGGATAGCTGAAGCGCAAATATGGTTTGAGTCAGCATCCTCCCTGTTCTCATCCTTCTATATCTTTCTCGTGCCAAAAACCTCGAAAGGACACTTATTCCACCGGCAAATGAAAAAGCAAATCGGGACAGTGGACGGCCGCGGCGTTTCGCGGAATCCGGTCTCGGAATTTGATCGAGTTCACTAGACTCGCCGCCTCCCTGAGCCGGTTTCGAGCAGGTGCAAATAGCGTTTCAGATGAGCTTGGGGGGTATACCGTCTGGTGACGGGAGGAGCATCATCCACTGGCTCCCTTAAGCGTTTTTACGTCGTCATAAAGTTATATCACGCGTGCTATTACACCGCAATAAGATGAACGCGTTTTGCGGAATCGGTTGAGGATTGCGACTTATCCGAACGGGCGATCGTCGCTGTGTAATTTATCTTTACGATGTATCTCACACTTATATAATCGTCCTGCTCGACCAGATTTTTCGTGCCGTTCGAGGATATTTAATGGACGGTGAAACCCGGACACAAGTTAATACTATAGGTTGCACAAAAAAAGGGACACAACAGCGAGATTTAATTTTAGTGTAGCGCGTAATATTTCCTCGGCAATAATTTAATCCAAAATGTCATATTTATTCCTCGTCAAGAAGTACCTTTCAATTATACATATATATGTAAATTTGTTTAACGCGAAGAATAATCAATATATAATCTTTTATTATTTTTTTTATTATTTATATATCTTGTAATTTTTTTGATAAATAAGTTGCTAATAAAAGTCTGTATTAAATTATCGTTATTTAGCTGAAATGCGCACAAATCGAGTCTAACTCATCAGTAGCAATTGCAATAACATCGATAAGTGTTCTCCATTTGCCGGTGTGTGTCATCATGACCACTGACACTATATATATCGACTTCAGCCTGCTGACCTAGAGAGAGAGAGAGAGAGAGAGAGAGAGAGAGAGAGAGAGAAAGAGAGAAAGAGAGAGAGAGAAAGGGTCAAGATCATCAGGACGATGCACGGGGGCAAAAGCGGGCGCACTACTTCCTGTTTATAGCTTGTATCGCAACTCGAGTCTCTTCCCCTGAAATGCGATGGACGGGCGCATTGCCCTGTTTGCTCTTCTGGAAGAAACCGGACTTCGTAACAAAACCTGCATCGTACATACGTACGTCGAGAATAGAGAGAGCGTACTGTGAATTCCGATGAGTCTGTAATGTACCGTTACTCGTTGCTTCGTGGGTCCCCTCAACCGAGCATCTTCGCTCTCTCGTGAAGACGACGAAATGCGCGCAGCAGCCGAAAGTCGATATATATCGATGAGCAAATATTGTGACAATCGCGATTCTACACGGGAATCTCCTGACCTTTGTGAATGCAATGCAAATCCGAAAGTACCATTGAAAAGATACCGATGCGTTTCCTGCAGCATCCAATTGCGAAGCGTGACGTAATATGCTAATTTAAGATCGCATTGTTTCTGATTTAACTATCGACAGTCGCCCGACTCGTGTCTAAGGAAAGAATAAATTTTGAATTCGTATAGACGTACGCACGATATACCTAGATGGATACTCATCCTCATTTTTTTATCTTTTGTATTTATAGTTGTAATATGCATTCATGTATTTATAATTTATTATTAGATTATTATATATTGTAAGTCTTGTCATTGTATATAAATTTTTTTCTGCCCTCCTATATTTTATATTTCTAATAATTACACATTCCTAATTAGTTTAACTAATGATTAGACAATATACAAAGTGATTTCAAGTTCGCGCAGAATTAAATTCATGAGACTTATGAAATAAAAATTGATATTTCCTTGACTTTTAAAAATCTCTAAAATAATTTTATATTCATAAAAAAATAAAATTTAATACAAAAGGCATCAAAGTCAAAAAATATTCTGAATAAAAAAAACAGCGCGATGATTTTATCGTATAATTTATGAGCGGACTATTCTACATTGTAAATCACGTCAATGTTTTTTCCTTTCACGTTCCCAATTATTACGCATTCCTTATAATAGATTTTCTTGTCTTACGGGAATAACTACAGTAGCCACTACTATATAACGTACCGTGTCACCGTGTATGATTTATGATAAGCAAAAGAAATATATCCAAGCATGCCACCAACGATCGAGATTCCTGGCGACACAGGAAGACACTTCGCGCGCTTTAGCTTGCTATGGCATTTTCTATTTGTAGTGCATAACGGTATCAAAAGAGTTGCATACGTATACAAATAGGATAACGAGCAACTTTAGTGCTCCTCTCCAATCGAATGCAAATGAATTTTATTTGCGGAAAATTCATTCTAAAATGTAGATCCGTGAAATAAAAAATATAGTACTTACATTTCGATGAAAATTCAAAGCTACAAGCAATTAAGGAACGTATTCCCTCTGTTCATTATTAATAATGATAAATATTAACATGAATTGTTAAATTGTTTATGTTAATTTTATATTAATTAAAATTTAATCGCACAATTTGGGTAAAAAGTTATTAAAACATTTTATAATAATCTCCAATCAAATGCAAGTGAATTTCATTTGCGGAAAATTCATTCTAAAATGTAGATCCGTGAAATAAAAAGTAGTACATCCGATGAAAATTCAAAGCTACAATAAGCGATTAAAGAACGTATTGCTCATTATTAATAATGATAAATATATTAACATAAATTGTTAAGTTTTTTATGTTAATTTTAATATCGATTAAAATTTAATTGCACATTTCATGTAAGAAGTTATTAAAACATTTTATGATAATCTAAATATATATATATAATAATGTTCTCCACTATTCTTTTAAATTATAATTGGAATAAATGTGCAAATCATTATATATAATGTATATGTATATGTATAATGTATATGTTATATATTAAGTTTATGCGTGCTTTTATACTTTTAACAAAAATAAAATGTTCATCAAACAAGTACGCAAGAAAAATTAAGATATAGCCTATTATTAATAATAAAGAGATTAAAAACATTAACCAATTATTGATAATATCGCAACAGATTTTAAAAACATTTAGTATTTGAATCGAATAGATACAGAAATAAACATTATACATTTTAACTCTGCTGTTGCGTTAATAATTTGAAAATTCTGAAATTGTTCAGATTCATAACTCTCTAGTTTTTCAACACAATAAATATAATTAATTAATAATATAAATTAATTTTTATTATTAATTTAATAATTTATATTATAAAATTACGTCAAACTTTCAATGCAAAACATTTTTTGCATGCAAAATTACAGCAATTTCTTTCTCTCAAAATTGGAGAAGATTTGCACAAAATTCTTACCTAAAATTAAAGTAAAAATCGATGAGACTCACCGATACGATGCGCAGCAGCGAAGTTGCGTAATCTGTGAAGTAAAAAATACATGAAAATTAATATATAGTAAAATTTAAAATAATTGATATTTCGAAAAAGAATTATTTATTGGGTTCCTTTTATTAAAAATAAAAATAATAGTAATAATAAAATAAATAATAGATAAAGAATAGATAAATTATATTTACCATATAGTTGCACCGCTGTTGCCCGATGCCCCTCCTCGGGCCTCCTCCCCTTCTTCATTTGACGACGAAGAAATCGCGCAGGAGCTTCTCCAATTATTTCTTCGTCGATCGCAAATTTCGGGGCGAAAAAAAATTGACCGACAATATGGCGGCGCGACTCTTATCGAAACGACCTACGATTTTTACGAGAATATATACAAGTACAATTCGTCGCGTAACGATACTTCGACACGATGACACGGAAGTTCGACAGGAAACGCGTAATCAGCCGCTTAGAATACGCTCGACAACGCCGAAAAACTCGTAAAATTTTTGCGTCGAAAGCGCCCGATATTCTCGCGATCCATCCTCGGAAACTCGCGCGCGCGAACTTTTGGCGGCCTCGAGAGAAAAGCGACTCGCCGAGCGAAATTTGCGCCCAACGAAGTCAAAGGCCAAAAGTCAATTTCGCGCGCGTGATTGAGATTACAATGTCAGCACAAGCAACGCGATCGGATTTATACGATAATTAACACGATGTAAAGGCACTAATTAATATTCACGCTCGTATTAATACTCACTTTCGCGGACCGACGATGATAAACGCGCGAACGTTAAGCGTGAATAACGAGAAAGTGCACCAGAGGGCAGCAGCATTTCAAATTGTGTTCGGAAATATTCACCTAGAGTGAAACACTGATCGACCAATCAAAATGGAGAGATCCTCTGTCTCCGATTGGTCAGTCGAATTCTAAATTTTGATGGACAAATTCCAAGAGAATAGCCAATCAGCAATCGTCTATATTTCTACCTATGCAGTTCGACATCTTTAGATTTTCGCTTAAATATAGAGTATCTATTCTATGTTTCGTGTTTCGTGGTTAGTACACGTCACACGTCATTGGTTAGCGTAAATGATACAACCGTGTGAAAATATTTGCAAAATTATTGTCAAATAAATACAAATTTGGACTGTGCAAATAATATGGAAACGCTATATCATCAAACTAATAAATTAATACAGGAAACACAGCATCTTTTCTCGCAGTTGGAGAGAAAATCGTCCAACGTAGATTTGCAGGAAATAAAGGAAATTATAGAGAGCAAACTCAATCTTATCAACAGGTAGTCAGAAATTATGCATTGTGGTTTTTTATATGTAACATAAAAAACCGATGTTTCCGCTAACAATTAAATTTACATGTATCTTTCTTTAGCAATTGCGAGCGTCTTGATGTACTATGCCTCAAGGGACCTGTGTCGCAAAGGCAGAATGCCAGAATGAGAGTGGATCAGTTGAAATATGACAGTCGTCATCTCGCAGCTGCCTTAAATTCCTTGTGCAGTCGTATGGCACGTCAGCAAAGAGAAGAAGCAGAGAGGGAGGCCTTGCTTGCCAGAAAATTCACCAGCAACGACCATGTGGACATATTAATCGATCATACTGTACAACATAATAGCAGTATGCACAACGCTATTCATGGTGTAGACGATCTGTTAAATCAGGGAAGCAGTGTCCTGGATAATTTGAGATCTCAGAGACTAACATTGAAAGGAGCTCACAAACGTTTGATAGACATTGGTAATACCTTAGGCCTTTCCAACACTACTATGAGGCTCATCGAACAAAGAGCCAAACAAGATGGATTTATTTTAGTTGCCGGTATGACTTTCACATGTATAGTCATCATCTTGGTGATAGTATATCTAACTTAGATACATTCCACAATTTATTAAATACAATACATATTTGCAGCTGTTAATAGTATACATTTATATAGCTATTAGTTTTGCTGTTTTATTTAATTGCTATCGTTCTTTAGAAAGATTATAAGGTGAAAACTATAAAGAATCATTGTATTGTATTTATATTTATATATTGTATGTGAATATAAACATTAAGTTAATATTATGTTAGTGTATGATATACAATGTTATTTATTTTGTACATTCTGTACTAAAATGTTTACAAAAAAACATTATACATTTAATTGAAAACGTTAAACATTATTTATTATATTTCTTTAAGTACTGATTAAGCTGTATGTATATTTTAGTAAAAAATGCGTAAAAAAATTCTGATATACAATACCAATACCTAATCATAAATTTATCTGAAAAAATTAACTATAGAGAAGACATTTTTTACAAATACTTTTATTATTGAATTATATATATTACTTATATATAATTATTTAAAGTTTCTTTGTTTCTTTTATCAAAAATAAAATCGTAAAAATGCATAAAAGAAAATAATAGACTAAAACACAAAACTTATTAAGGTGCTCTCACATGTGCGTAATTTGCGTCGACCAATCATATCGTTTCATTTGGAGCTACTTTATCCCAATCTGACCTAACTTAACCTAACCTAATTCGTCGTGGAGACACGTGTAGTTTTGGATGCAAGCTTTTGCAATTGTATGCACATTTGTGTATATCCAAAAGTTTCAGAATTAAGATTATTATATTTTTAATTTGAAAAGGTGATTGACAATAACAACAGCGATGGATGAAATGTTGAAAGATGCGCGTTTCGCGCATATCGCAAAAGATCCAAAATTTCGACGCATTCCTAAAGCTGAAAGGAAAGTGAAGATTGATCATCGATTCAAAGACATGTTTAAGGATAAAAAATTTACGGTAAAATATACTGTCGATAAACGTGGTAGACCAGTTAATCAGACCACTACTGAAAATCTCAGAAAATATTATGATCTATCTAGCAGCGAAGATGAAGCTGCATCTATATCATGTACTATTAAAGAAGATGGCAAAAAGAAGGAGGTAAAGGATAATTCAAAGAAAGCAAAAGAGAAATGTTCTAATGATGAATCTGATAATGAATCCTCAGATGATAACGAGAATGAATCTGTTCAAAAAGGATTTTCCAAATTGGATTTTGATGAAAATGAAAAACAGCTGCATAAAAGAAGAGGAAATGAAAGTAACAAACTTACAAATAATATTAAAGAGAGATTGAAAGATCTGAGTGTAAATTATGCCAGAGGTGAAGGTGTCTTGTTGACTGATAGTTCCTCTGAAGAAGAATCATCTGAAGCTAGTGGTATTATTTTATTTTATTGCACATTTATATAGTAATATATCATATTTAATCTTTAATCTGCATTTCTTAATTTTTTTTAGATGTCGAGGAAAAGATTGAACACAATTGGGGTGAATTAGACAAGGAAGCTGAAACAACAGATGAAATTACACATAGATTAGCCATTTGTAATATGGATTGGGATAGAATACGTGCTGTGGACTTGATGATTTTGTTAAATTCATTCTTACCTAGTGGTGGACTTATCCATTCAGTTGTGGTAATAATATATAATAATAAAATAGATGATTATAAAATAATAATTATAATTAATTTTATATATATAATTGTATATCTTAATTTTATAAATTTATGCTTTATAATTTATTAATTTTTTAGATTTACCCATCAGAATTTGGTCAGCAGCGAATGAAAGAGGAAGAGATTAGTGGGCCAATAGAATTAAGAAACAAAGATATTGACACTGAAGATGAAATCGAGGATGATGTATGAAATAAATATTTTTAAAATGTTTTTTAAATATTTTCTATAATTTGGTAATGTAATGTCTTTCATTAACTGGTGCTGTGATTGTCTCTTTAGAATGAAGAAGGTACAACATATCATATGGAGAAGTTGAGACAGTATCAATTGAATCGATTAAAATATTATTATGCTGTTGCTGAGTTTGATTCTGCTGAAACAGCCAATAAAGTATATATAGAATGCGATGGTGTCGAATATGAATCGACTGCAACTAGAGTAGACCTCAGATTCATACCAAATGATATGACATTTGATCAGGTATCTATGAAAATCAGAATATGCAAAATATATAAGTGTCTCAAAAAGTTAGTTAAAACGTATAATTTTCAAATATGGAATATTTGTTGAAGGAACCTAAAGACATATGTAAAGAGATACCAGAACCTGTGAAATACGAACCAAGACAATTTACGACAACGGCTTTACAACAAGTTAAAGTTCAATTAACATGGGATGAAACAAATGTAGATAGGCAAGAGTTTACTCAAAAGTTAAATTCTGGAAAATTACAAGATATCGATGAAAACGATCTACAAACATACCTAGCGAGTGGTAGCGAAGATGATTCAGGTATATGAGATCATTATGCTGTTATTTATTTAATCTATATTTGATGTTATATTTTACAGAGGAAAAGGAAGACATAACAGAAAAAAATTATAATGAGAATAATTTGGAATCAGAAGTAAATAATGATCCAATTGGAAAATATAAATCTTTATTAAAATCTATTGAAGAAGAAGAAGAAGCAAAGAAGAACAAAGATGTCGAATTGGAATTTACATGGGGTTTAGGCAGCAAAGAAAAGACTGAGAAATTGGTCAAGGAAAAAATGAAGAATAAAGAAGAATTTACGCCTTTTGAACAATATCTAGAGAAACGCAAAGCCAAAAAGAAAGCCAAGAGAGAAGAAAAGAAGCTTAAAGAGGAAAGTCAAAAGAGTGATTCAGAAGACTCTTTGCCACCTAATGTAGATATAAATGATAAATATTTTGCAGAAAAATTTAGAAATAATAAATCATCCCGTAAGAATAAAAACAAAGATAAGAAAACTACTGATGCAGATTCAGTGAATGAGCATGAACAAAATCAACGTAAAGCCGAATTAGAATTATTACTGATGGATCAAAACGAGGATGGTAAAAAGCATTTCAATATGAAGCAAATTGAAGAAAATGCTACTATGTCAAAATCCAAACGAAAACGTCTCAGTAAAAAGAAGAATTTGGAAGAGGAAATAAAAGATGACGATTTTGAAGTTAACGTTAAAGATTCAAGGTTTGCCGCTTTGTTTACATCACATCACTTCAATATCGATCCTGCAGATTCACATTATAGAAAGACAAAGGGTACAGAAGCTTTAGTCAATGAAAAGTTAAAGAGAAGAGTTGATAACGATGAATCGCATGCAGATGTAAGTAAAACATATTTTTTAGCAACAGTTTATACATTACTTTATATATAAATTGTTTTAAATCTTTCAGAATAAACAATGTAAAAGACCAAAAAGCGAAAAACTATCGACAGAATTGCAAGCACTGGTTAAATCTGTTAAGAGAAAAACGCAAAATATTTCACAGTCAATAAAATGATAATTTAATTATTATACGTTCTCATTGTATTAATTATTACAAATAATTATATGCAAAGAGAATATATATATATATATATATATATATATATATTAGAAATAATTTTCTTACATTTTATTATTTGTGTTAAGAGTTCTAAACAACTTATTAAATTCATGTAACACAAAAGTGTTTAATGTAAATAAAAGAAATTATAAATTGATGCTAAGTCATATAAATTGTTGCATTATCATATATTGTAATAACAAAATTAAATAAGATTACACAGAGAAATTGTATAATAAAATATATAATAGTACATAGTGTTAAAATATCTATAAAGATATTTTTTAAAAATACACAAAAACTACTTTTATAAATAAAAAGAAATATTCTTTTTCTATATTTTTAATTATAAAAGATAGTATTAGTCATAATTTAATTCATTTAATATTGTTAGAATATTATATTTTGTGCATTTTAATTTATTTTGATAAATTTAAAGTAAAAATCAAATATATATGGTCTGTAACAAAGCATTAGAGAGAAAAGAACAAAAAAGGAAGGACAAAATAAAATTAGACCAATGGAATTTTAAATACATCCATATAACGAAAGGTGATTAGCTAGCATTTCTAGTCGCAATAATTGTGAACATGCCATTAGTCGCTAGGGAATTTCGTCACCGTCGAGTTTCCGCGTCAGTTGGCGTGAATATTTAGTGAACGTTTTACGATTTGGCAAAATATATTTTGAAAACCATAAAGAGGGTGTGTATATACACTTGTGTATCGATCTCGTTCGTCGAAAAGTTAACTAACGTAGCGGAACAACACATACTCTTGTTGCCCGAGTTGTATCACACTTGTGCGCCGCTTGATAAGTCATCGGGATCCCAATTCGCGAGCAGGCTCAGAAAAATATTGGTTATGTTCGCGCGATTCGGGTGAAAACAAACGAGCGAACGATGTAGCGCGGTAAGTAAAGCGACGATGCTGAGATAATCAATCATGACCCGGCGATGATGTCGCGGAAACTTTACGCACAAAAAATGCACTTGCAGTGAGGAGAGGTGAGCCATCGTTTCAGACGGGAAGCTTGTTCATGCATGATCAAATAGAGGAAAAAAAGTTCGCATAAATGTACGACGGCGTAAGCAGCAGGTGTAACAACGTCCTCTGCGCGGAACGTCAAAACAATGTCCGAGGGTTCTAAGATGGGCCTGTTTGGCTCCAAGGACAGGAATCAGGAACAAAGAGAGAAATCTTCCAAGGACAACTCCCCGGCTCGTTATGCACCATACGGCGTTGACAGCGACACCGAGACATACGACACCGAGGCTCTGAGCATGATGGATATCAACGACATCATCGGCGTGCAGTCCGGTGAACAGGTCGGCGACTCGACTTTAGAGAGCGAAATCGCCGCCCTTTCGCAGATTATTACGGAATCCAAGATGGAATCGACCTCGCACTTGGCGGACCCGAAGGCAGAGACGCAGCAGGACGCATCCGAGGCACCTAGTGCTAATGTCTACGCCACGAACATTGATAATATTGATATTTCGAATGTCGACGAGTCCAGTATTACGTCGGGAAAATGTGCAGTTAGTGAAATCTGTGAAACGCAGAAAGCAATGCTTGGACGTACCCATAAAGATGTAATGTGCGAAGAACTGTCATTGATTGCCACAGAGAAGAGTGTTTCGGAGGATGTAGAAATGGATTCTGTAATTGCATGTGATAAAACTTCCGACGTAAATATCAACGAGATAATCGGTGATATTTCTGCGGTTTGTACAGAATCGTCTTCCAATGATACGTCATGCATTGAAACTCATTCTTCAACTGTTACGTTAAGCGATACTTTACAGGAAACTAAGCAACAAGCAGATGTTGCTTCTCCCAAGGATCATGAGAATGATATTGTTGAAAAGGATCAATCAGTTGATGAGACAAATAAAAGTCAAAAGACTAATGCAAAGTCTGTGGTGACTGTTGGTGGTATTAGTAAGAGTTTGCAATTGATAGGAGAAGCGTATAATTCTGAGGACTCGGAGGAAACAGATGTGAACGATAGCGACTTTTTGAAAGAGACTCCATCACTTTCTGAAGAAACTTCATTGCTTGTTTCTACAATGCAACAAGGAAAAGAAATTATTGAAGAAAATTCTGAAGTAGTAGATGTATTGGAACAAAATACTGAAAAATCTCCATTGTTAAATGATAATGCAAGTGCAACTATTTCAGAAAAATTAAATGCAAAAGTAGAAGATGTTACTGATAGCCAAACATCAAATATAAGCATTGAAAAGTCTGAAGATTCTAGTCAAAGTGAATTGTTGCAACAAACTTTAAAAGTGCAAGAGAATATATATGAATCTAAATTGAATGAAGCAGCAAAAACTGACAGTGGGATATCAAGTAGCATGCATGAACAAAATGAAAATAACATAGAAATAGATAAAGGAAATACAACGGAAGAAATGTCATTAGAATATAAATCTTCCAAAACTTCTCAAGAAACTGTAGATACATTTGCAAATACTTCTACTACATCATCAATGGAAATAATGAATATAGAAGATTGTCAAAAAATGGAAACTACAAATATTGATTCAAAATTAAATACATCAGTATTTATTCCTGAAACAGCAAAGTTAGATAGTTTAGTAATTTCTAATGAAAAAGAATTTGAGCCAAAAAATATTAATGACAATTCTCCTTTCATTGATGATGATGATGATGTAAAGGATGTATCTAAGTGCAAAGATAAAGATACTCTTTTAGAATTTGCAAGTGAAACTCAGGATTCTGCAATAACTGAAGTGTCTGATAAGAAATTAAGAATAACAGAAATGATAAGTCAAAGTGATAATTTGCAGGAAGAAAATGCCATTATTGAAAGCTGTCAGACAACACAGGAAATCACTTCAATAACGAATAAAATTAATGATGAATCTCAAGAAACAGCTGATATAAAAACGGATCTTGCATCAATGGCTACAGCTTTTGATAATCAAGATAAAGTGGACTTGGCTAATGCTGAGGAAACATCTGTAGTAAGTGATGAAAATATATTTCAAACTGCTTCAAACATAATTAATAAAGAATTAGTTTTAAATGAAAATACATCATTAAGTCATGTTGAAGAAAAGAATATGACAATTGAACAATCGTTAAGTGAAGATTTGCTAGGTGGTGAAAACTTAGATTTATGCTCTACAAATCTAATAGCACAGAGTGATACAAATTCAACGAATGTCAATAATTCTGTGGAAGCAACCATTCGTACAGAAGAGAATCTCCTTACAGTTGAATCAATAACTCCAGTCAAACATGATGAATCAATTAAACAACTTCCATCTATATTAGAAATGTCCGAAATTAGTAATATTAATGATATTGTATCTAATAAACTTGAAGCTTTACCTATTCCAATATCGCATGAAGATTCAAGTAACACAATTGAAAATATAAACAAACCATTATGTGAAACTGAAAAAATACAAGATGTAGAGATGAAAATATTAGAAGTAGTGTCTATGAACGAGAATCAAAATGTAACATCGCCATTGGAAAATAAACCACAGCAAATATGTGATCAGTCTGAATTGCATGTACCAGATGAAGAAAGTAATTCCTGTACAAATAATATGAAAGGTAAATTAATTGTTGAATATGTTACATTCTCTGATATGTTTTCTGAAAATGATATAAACTCACCATTAACTGATTTGACTATTCCAGGAGATGATGTAATATGTGATCAATCTGAATCGCATATATTAGATGAACAAAGTGATTCCAGTGCAAATAATAACTCCATGCAAATAAAAGGTAAATTAACTGTTGAATATGTTACATTTTCTGATATGTTCCCTGAAGATGATACAAATTTATCATTAACTAATAATATGATTGTTCCAGAAGATGATGTAACGAGTTCCTTGTGTAATACAACGCAGAAGGAAGATAAAATTGGGAAAAATATTACTACTGAGATATCGAACGAGTCGAAAATTAGAGAAGACGAAACTTTTGTGCCAAATTTAAAAGAAAAAGATATTGTAGAATCTGAAAAAAATACTAAGGCTGAAACTCATGAAATGAGCTTAGTTCTAGAATCTGATATTTCCACATCTGATGTCCAAGCAGCAAATTCAAAGATTGCTGATTTACAAACTGATGAAGAAATGAAACTGCATGATGAAATTGCAAAGATATCTGAAGAGTCAAAAGAGCTGTCCAATGTTAATGCAACGCCAATAGAAGAGGAAAGTATGGAACCAATTGTAGAGAAATCTATTAACGCCAATGATGTACAATCGAACATTATTAATATCATCAACATGTCTTTACTACAAGAAAACTCGAATGAAAAAACGAATACGGAAAACTTAATGGAAAAACTATCTCAGGATTCAAAAAGCGTGGATGCTCCGACCATTACACAAACTACAAGTACTTTAGAAGGGCTTTTGAGTTTGAATCTTATATCGGATAATGAAAGTTCTACATTAAAGGATATTGAAGATAAAACTTTAATAGAAGAGACAGTAAGTAAAAATGTCGATATAGATCTTCTATTCGAGCGAACAAATCAAGGCGACACAACCATGTCGGAAAATTCAGATAGTATAACAAACGTGATTGCTAGTTTAACTAATCGAGATAATGAAACGAGCGAGGTTGACATTAATGCAATAGTTGATGATAAAATTACTGAGAATGAAGATGATATCTCACTAAAAACGAATAAAGACGTAAATACGGAGTCGGTAAATGAGATCACGGATGAGGAAAAGATGAAAGAGCCTCTTGAAGCAGATAATAGTTTGTCACAGACTGATTTAGACATGGATTTCGAAGATAATCGATTAGAAATTCGATCGGTCGAAGATTTGGAGGAAAGTGAAGCCAAATTGGAATTGCCACAGGATATTTTGTTAGAGAGCGTAATGCCGAGAGAAAATCTTTCCCGAAGTGTCGACACTCCGATTGTCGAGAACTCGCAATCAAGTTCAGAGATATCCGAATTGGAGTCTGCGGTGAAGTTCCTGCAGGAGTCCGAGGAGCAAACGATAGATTCGCCGTTGGTACTCTCGCCGAAAATGGTGGAAAGCGTCGTGGAGGACATAACGAAACAGGCTAATGCGGACCTTTACGTATCCGATGAAATTGACAATTATGCGAATGCCGAATCGGAATTGGCGAATTTGCGAAACGTCACTGCCGCGGATTCCATCTCCATCTCGGAAGCTGAGATTATATCGGAAGCTGCGAAGCTGGAGAACGAGCGAAAATTTGCAGCGCAAATACAAAACTCTCCCGATATAGAAGAAAAAGGTGTCAAAGAGATAAATGAAGAGATCAAATCGAATGAAGAAACGAAAAGTCACACGTGCTCGAAGATTTCGTCTGAGAATGTTCCTTCCGCGCATACGGATAGTTCTCTGAATGTGCAAGTGATGGAATCGATACACGAAGAGAAGAACATTATTCCTGATATTAGGTCGTTGTCGAGCGAAGGTATTTTGAAGACATGCGAGATGATCCCGAGAGTGTCGATACTGGAGGAACGACTGAAGGAGCCGCCGAAGATCGAAATACCGGATTCAGCTAAGGTATTGGAATCTTCCATCAGCTCGAACGATAGTCTTCTCATACCGAAAGATGCGAGAGCTATCGTCTATTCGAAGATGTTGGAATCACCGAAATCGGGCGAAAAGGCCGATACGAAGGGCGTCGAGACGCCGCGCAAAGACTTGGAGAAGCACTCAGATCCCGAAAATATCGGTTCGCCGAGGATAATCCTGAAGATTGCCAAATCCGCGATCGCCGATTGCAGCGAGCCACGATCGCCGAAGAGTCCGAAGATTCGTTCGGCCACGAACTCGCCGAATCCAGAAGACAGTCCAGGTCAGAAGTTGGGAAAGATCAAATTGAAATTGTCGAAAGGTGGTCATCCCTCTATAATATCCAATGAAAATTTTGAGGAGATCAATCAGTGGCATACTGATAATGCACCATCGTTATCTCCTCTCGGTATGAAAATCAAACTGTCCAAATCTGGGGATGCCTCTATCGTCGGTTTGGAGAAACACGAGCATCCGGACGAGACGAAGTATAAAATCGAGGAGCCGAAGAGAACGGAGTCTCCCATCGGTATGAAAATAAAACTATCTAAATCCGGAGATGCTTCGATTATTTCCGATTCCAGGCAGCAGGATTCCACTAAGGAGGTTCTCACGAAGCACAAGGAAAAATTGGAGATACCGCAAGGAAGCCCGAAGAGAACGGAGTCACCGATCGGGATGAAAATCAAACTGTCCAAAAGCGGTGATGCTTCTATCATTCAGACTGACAGGCAGGAATCTTTAGAGGAAATGCATAGGGACAAGCGGACCGATTCTCCAATCGGTATGAAAATTAAACTGTCGAAAACCGGTGATGCTTCCATCGTATCTCCGGATGTTTGTGAAGATGCAAAGGATTCATCCATGAAGGCGAAAGAAAAGCAAGATAATTTAGAACTACCGAAGAGAACCGAATCTCCAATCGGGAAAATCAAGTTAGCTAAGTGCAAAGGTGGTGCATCTATTATTTCTGTAGATAATACTGAAGATGTAAAAGATAAGTTGGAAGTACCCGAACCACCTAAGCGTACCGAATCACCGCTCGGAATGAAGATAAAGTTATCGAAAACCGGAGACGCATCTATTATACATTCTGAAGTTACAGACGACTTAAAGGAGACGAGACATAAAGATAAATCTGAGGTAACACAAGATACGACAAAGACGTCGGAATCCCTCGGGTTTAAGCTCAAGATGTTGAAGACAAGTGAGATGTTGCCTGACACGATGGAAGAACAAGATGCGCCTCGAAGTTCCGAATCATTTACAGGTGTCATCCCGAAGATTAAAGTATCTAAATCTGGAGACGCGTTACCTGATAAAACGGATACAACAGAAGATTTGCAGTCACAGGAAGAGCAGGCAGAAGTCCCAAAGAGAACGGAATCTCCACTCGGCATGAAGATCAAGTTGTCCAAGAGCGGCGATGCTTCTATTGTACAGAGTGAAACCGTAGCTGAGGATCATCAAAATAAGACTCCGCATGCAACCGATACGGAATACTCTAAAAGCGGTGATTCGCCTCTAGGGATGAAGATCAAGCTGTTCAAGACCGGTGACGCTTCCGTGGTGGAAGCACCAGCTTCTGCTTCCTCAGAGAAGAAGGATAAGCAACAGAGACGCAGAGATGCTGCCGATTCGTCGTTAGAAATGAAGATTAAACTGTCGAAGACAGGTCATGCCACTATCGTGGCCAGTGATAATCACGGGGAATCTTCTACGCACAAAGGATCCTCAAAGGATCCTCAAGCAGCTCTGGATCCTGCAACGCTGAATTTTCCTCACAGGTACATGGAGCATGCTACAGTGCACAAAGAGCCCACGTTAAAAATTCTCAAGACCGGTCATCATCCGACAATTCTGCAAGGCAGTCGGTCCGAGCTAACAATCGAGCCGGTACAGACGCAGAGCAGAAAACAGCCAACGGAGAATGTTCAACAGTCGATGGAAATATCGCCCAAGCGTAAGGATGTAACGATCTCGCCTGTCGAGTGCAAAAAATCGAAATTGGAAGCGCAACTCTCTCAGATCCTGCCGGAAGTTACCATTCAACCGGTAATGAGTCGGGATCAAAAGCAGCAGCAGCAGTCACTATTGTTTGATCCGAAGTCGAGTTTAATCAGTCGACAGCAGATGAACGTCATTAACCAAGAGATCAGTATTACCCAGGTACGACCTGGAATGGCGAAGACGGAAAACACGTCAAGCGTAAATGACAAGCTCAAGGATCTTCTGTGCAAGAATACTACAAATTCGCCGGGCGGCTCGTCCGATTGCGAGATCATTGAGCATCGTCCGGAGTTGATAATCGTGAATGAGAATTCTAATTCCAGCCAGGATGTCGTCATTATAGAGGAGGTGACACCTAACAAAGCGGCCGATATTAAGGTGCCGAAGAAGAGAGGAAGACCGCGAAGAAATCCGATGATGGCTCAGCAGCGTGTTCAACAGTCGTCGCCGCAGATATTGATACCCAGGGATCCCTTGGCCTTGGACGAGGTACAGCAAGTTCCTCCGCAACAGTTGGAACACAGGGAAAACGAGCGGCCTAAGAGAACCTGCAGAAATCAAAAAAGTTATGCTCCGCCCAAGAGAGGCAGAGGACGAGGTTTGTTTCTCTCACCAATATTTTACATGTAGTATGTAGATAAATTTTAATACATTCGTTCAATTTTATAGGAATTATACATAATTTTTTTTAAATTTACAGTTCTATGTATCATTAAATGTACCGTACCGAAAATAACGGATATCTCAATCAAATTTAATGGGTCAACAATGATAATAATAAGTGACCTTGAAATGAATGTGTTTTTAATTTTTCAAGTAATATCACGAATTTGTATTTATTTTAATCAGTTGTGTTAGTTGTACTGTTGTGTTTAGTTTTTAAATTGTAAATGTCTCAAAATTTTATACATTAAATCTTTTGCTCTATTATGGCTCTTTCAAATATAGACTTGACAAATGTTCATTTTATGTATGGACTTGCGAACGGGAATTCAAAATTAGCAGCAAAATTATACAAAGAAAAATTCCCAGACAAAAGATGTCCGCATTATCTTCTTTTTTCAGAAATTGATCGGCGTTTACGCAAAACAGGCACATTGAAGAAAAAAAAACAGCTTCTACTTAAAAATCAAAACAGTAATATAGATAGTAAAAAAAATTCGGATTTAATTTTAATTATCGTAATTATGTAAAAGTTATGCTATAATTTTGATTTTTAGATTTTTAAATAATATAAACTCTGAAATAATTTTGAAACAAAAAAATATTTTCTTGTCATTAATGTCGACGTATTAATAATTCCTATTCTAATAATTTTAACAAGAAACGCTAATTTTTTTCTTTGTTATATTTAGGCCGCGGTAAACGGAAACTGGATAACGTGGAACCCCAGGTTGGAAAGAAGTCTCGAATAGATCAAGACTTATCTGCTATAGAAGCGTCGACGATGGCTGTCATTACTATCGATGAAACAACACCGGCGCAGGAAGATCCACTTCGAAAATCATCAGAACTATACAAGGCACTGAAACAACCGCCTATAGATCGTAAGAGTTCGACGAGTCGCAAAGAAGCGGCGAAGAGAGACTCAGCCTTCAAAGCCTCGGAATCTGAGATCGCGATGCAACTAGATCCTGCCAGATTATCGTACGTCCAGGACGATCCGTCGAGAGCATCCACGAGTCAAACGTCCACTATTGAATCGTTGGACTCGAAAGCTGGCGAGCAGCACAAGAGAGCTGTGTTAGAGATTGTTTCCGAGAAGACGCAGAAATCGACGATGAAGCAGTACGCCGAGAATAAAGGTAAAACGTCGGATGGACTATCGAGAGCGTCTGAAATTAAGGAGATACCTGTACCTCCTCCCGGACACTCGAACTGGCTGACGCCGACGTCGAAGAAGCAAGCGGACTCGACGGCCATCAGAGGCGAAACAGTATCGACGGTACAGGTGATAGACGAGGAGACGAGAATGAGCGCCGAGTCCGGCTCGAGGTCTCAAACACCTGCTAGAAATATATCAGCGCCGGGTACGCATTTGCATTATTAAATTTTAATTAATGAAATATTATGTAACATTAATGATAATAGTAGCATTTCCATTGTTGTGTTATTAATAATTTTACAACTTAACGATAACACAGATATCACTCATTGTTTCAAACATATGTTTGCTATATTATATAAAAAATACTACTGTCACATAACGAATTTTTCAATAATATATTTTAATATTTTTTACATAATATTTTTACATTTTTTAAATATCTATTTTATAGTTATACATTTTTTACATTTATAATTTTTAAATTTAGAAATAATGCTTGAAGTTTTATTGAATTTATCTGATTTAAAAATCATATATTAGTACACAATTATATTTTTTATTACAGCAGTACATTTACTGACAAAAACAAAATTGCACACACATTTCTTTATTATGTATAACTAAAAAAAATTTTTAATTTTTAATCATTGAATAGCTTAGTTGGTTGAATTGAATATATTGGTACACTTCCAACTTTAAGCTAACTAAAAATAGATCTTTTCTTGTGGCATAAGATGTCCCTCAAGTAACTAAATAGAAGATTGTAATAATGTGTTCAAATACGAGGCAGTGTACATCGTTTCTTTTATTTGCAATATGTGTTGCAATTATGTTGTGCTTAGCTGCACTAAAAACTCTTATACTAATTCGCATATCATCTATATAAGCATATATTTGTATACGTTTGTGATAAAAATAAGTATGTGTGTGCATAAACATGTGTCAATATAATGTAACAATGGTGTTTTAAAATTCGAAGTTATATTGAAAGAATTTTTTTCTTTTATATTTAAAAGTTGTTTTCACAACTTAAAAGAAAAAGAAAGTATATATTAAATAATACAAAACTATGATACTTATAAATTATAATAATTTAATTAACTTATTAATAGTAATATAAAATAAAGTACAAATCTTTTATTGTTTACATTGATATAATATTATTGGATAAAATGATTAAATTATTAATGATAATGTATTGGTTATATTTTCCTATGTTAAAATTAATTTTTGGTAACTAATATTGTAGCTTCGGAGACAATAATAAATGAAGAATCGCAAGGTAGTGTCCTGAGTACTGCTACAACAGAATCAGAAAAGGTCAAAGTAAAGAACCGAAGGATGGAAATTAATTTTGATCCTGATGAAGGACCCTTCACTGTTGATAAAATAGCGGAATATGAATGGCCACTGGATCGAAAGGGTGAAACCTTTATGATACAAGAACAGATATCACAATATCTCGGGGTAAAATCTTTTAAGCGTAAATATCCTGATCTCAAACGCAGAGTAGTTGATATGGAAGAGAGAAATTATTTGAGAGAAAATGCATTAGTCAGTGAAGCAATGTGTGACATGGGTAAGTTTTTCGAGATTTTTTAGAGAAGAAAATTTTGCACATAATAAAGCTTGTAATAAATTATACACTTACGAATTTATCTTATCTATAATGTAAAAATAAAGTTTATTACCATCTAAGATTTGTGATAAAGTCAAAAGTTACTTACATATTCAAAAAATGAATTGCTGTAGGATTTCTTTTTATTTATTTTCATAGAATAAAAATTATAAGTTTGTTAATATATATACAAAATTAAAAGGCTTTAAACAGATTAGAAAATTATATAAATTTTACTTTCATGCTCTCTCTGTCTTATATTACTCTGACTTTATTTGTTTTGTCACACACAGGACTAACCGCAGTATGCAGTTCAGAAGTATTGGATGTAATGTGTAGTGATTTTCCCGATCAATATGAAGAGTATCGCAAGCATATGCGCGAAAAACAAGTCAAGGAGCATTCCAAGAAGCAAAAGGAATTAACGGCCGCAGCAAATGCGGAGAGAAATAGAATAGATCTTGCGGAAATGGCCGTGCAATCGGCGTTTGCGTGGAACAGTAACTTAAATAAAGCTCGCAAAGAGAACCGCAAGTGTTGCTTAGATCTGCAGACTTTCACAATTCATGTTCCGAAGAAGCAACAGAAAGTCGAACAACAGAATGTTGAAAACAAAGTTGGTCATTATCCCGTTGCACTTATACCAGGACAGTATACCGATTATTATCGGGAATATACACCAGCGGAATTGAGATATTATCCACTAAATACGGTCTTGTACGGACCCACGCGGCCCAATGAACGTAAATGTGATAGCCAGTCGGAAGGTTCTCAGAGTGATAGCGATAGTGAATCGTCTTCCGACGACTCAAGGTTAATTTTAAGTTTTAAAATCAATCGTATATACGCAAAATAATTGCAGACTAAAATGCCAAAGTGTTTATGTATTTCTTTTTTTATTACCTTTAATAATTTTATTAATTTTTTATTAAAGCTCATTTAAAATTTATTTCAATTTTATATCTTATTTAAAAATATTCTGATATTTATAATAATTGTAAAGAAGTATAATAGTGATATTTTTTTAACAGTTCGTCTTCCAGCGAAGGTACGCAAGATACGGAAGGATCTCAGTCGACTATGGATGACGTAGATATGGAAATTTCGAATTCAAAGGACGATGTAAAGTTGAAATGCAAGATGTGCCTGAAAGTCCTAAATAAGCATAACAAGAATGAAATATTAATCCAATGCGGTACTTGCAACGGAAATGGTAAAAATTACAAACTTGCAAGAATTAATTTTGCGCGTAACTTTTTGCAGAACTAATCGAGACGATTATTATTATTTTAGTTCATCCATCCTGTATAGATTTAACATTGGATATGGTTCCGCATATTCAGTCGTACGCATGGCAGTGCACCGATTGCAAAACATGTGCGCAGTGTCACGATCCTGCGGACGAAGATAAGATGCTCTTCTGTGATATGTGTGATCGTGGGTGAGTTTCTTATTTATAAATTATAAGCTTATACTTCAGAAGCTTATAATTTAGAAACTATTGATACTGAAAAGAAAAAGAGATATATATTGTAAAAAAATAAATTATAATTTCTTAGTTAATTATTCCTGTGATGTAGATGTACATTTTATGAAGTTATCAGTTGAATCTAATTTAATGTTATATGCTTAGATACCACATCTACTGCGTCGGTTTGCGACGAGTACCACAAGGAAGATGGCATTGTCAAGAGTGCGCCGTATGCGCGAACTGCGGCTCGAGGGAACCCGGTGGTGCTAATTCAGATAGAAATAGCGTTGCGCAATGGCAGCATGAGTACAAGAAAGGCGAGAAGAATACTAGAGTGTACGTTTCAACGCTCTGTGTGCCATGTTCGAAGTAAGTAAATAATCAACATGCGATATTATTCTTTTAAACTATGCTGGGCTTCAGTCGCTTGATTTTCATAGCTCACACCATAACACTTTTTCAACATATCTTCTCGTTTCATTATATGTATGTTGATTTATAATATTTAATAGATGCATTCAATCAACAGGAAGGGGAACTTCTTAAGAATTTCTATTATTTTTTAAATTTGACTAGGCACTTTTTTTACACTATTTATAATTTTAAACATAGAATATCTTGGGAAATAAGTATATTTTTTTCTCTCTTTCTTAGATTCTCTTAAACTCTAACTAAAAGCAACTGAAACTAAATTAAATTAGAAAAGAAAAAACTAGTTTATTTTAGATAAAAAATATAAAGTTTTGTCATTTGTTCATATGCTGGAATTAGAATTTCTCGAAAAAGCATCTGTTTTAATGGTGTTGATAAAAAATTATTTGTATCTTGACGATTAAAAGATTTTTGTTTAATGATCGAATTATATAAGAAGTGCATTTCTTCAGAAGATATACTTGTAATTCTCCTTCTTCCTTCTGTGTACCGGCGCGTGAGCACCGCTATAATACATAATATACCCTTACCTGAATTCACTAACCACATGATCTTTCTGCGATAACAAGGCTGTGGCGAAAGGGTCGCTATTGCCCGCACTGCAGTCGCTGTCATACCGCCCAAAGGCTCGACCTGGAAGCGAATCTAGTGCATTGCAGCGCATGTGACAAATATCTGCACTTAGGTATTGACACCAAGTTTCATATGATTCTGTTAACATTAACATTTTGAGCGTCTACATATGTGTCAGCATGCTTGTTTGAAACGCATGAATGGTACAATTTAAAATCATTTTAGGGTAAACATTAGTTATGGTCAAATTGAATGAGATTTAATTGTTGAAGGTCGAACATGTGGATTTATGTAATTTTTTTCAATTTTATTTTTATTACGTCTAGATTTTTAATAAATCGCGTAAATTATAAGGGTTTAATTTGAACTTTCAACTGGCGCTCAAAATGTTAAGTTCATTGCATGATATAGGAGCATTTGAGCATTTGCACGTGCCATTGAGTTTGTTTGACTATCGCCACTTTTAAGAACCATATTTAAATTATTTGCTATTTATAATACGTAAATATATATATATATGCATTTCTATTTTTTTACTGCCTCTGTGCCAAACGAGGATGACAACTTGCAGAAAATACTATAGTGCAGAGATGTTTAAGTGAATTTGGCCCAATATATTTGTCTATTTAATTGCGAAATTTATCGAGCACAATAGTCAGTATTATTAGTCTGTTTATTGTAAGTATGTTTTTGCTAAGATAATAAAATAAGAAATCTTAAGAGAAAAGAAGGAAAAATCGATGAAAATAACTTGAACATCTCTGTTCTTGTGCAGTCTGAACGGAACATTGTATATCATATGAGGAAAATGTATGCGTAATATGCACACTTTTTTCAGAATGCGTGGAGACCAAGGGAGTAGCGGTTGACAAGAAAAGTTATCTTTGTGATTTTTGTACACCATCGAGCCGTCAGCAAGTGACGAAACCTTTGGTGTCGAAGATGCTTAAAACGTGAACACAATCTTTTCCCTACGAGCAGGAAAGTCCGTCGAGCTGTATAGTATTGATGCAGTATGTATTATATTAAAGTAGTTAAATTTTTTTATTGAATGTGCGTTTACGAGCGACGAGTATGCGCAAGATTTTTCTCGAGTATTTCATGACAAGTGGATCACATGTACATAGTCGCGGAATAAGTCATTTAACTTCTGATGCTGAATTTTTGCTACGTGTATGTTTAGCACAAGATAAACGGTGAATTGCCCGAAAAGACTGAATATTTCAGTTTCCATTATAAATGTTTTATCACAATTACAAGATTATAACATGCAGAGTTATGATAAATCGTACACTTTTTCAAAAATCTGACAACTTTTTGATGAATTTGAAATTTTTAAACATTATGAGTTCAAGGTGTTGGGTATTGCTTCTTTTTTTAATTCTCTCTCTGTACTTGTGTAATACAATTTTGTAAAATACAATTTATTTAACGTGCGCGTGATTTAAAAAAAGAAAAGTTATATATTATATATAATTATATATAATAATTATATAATTATAATTGTTGAGTATTGCTTCTTTTTGTAATTTTCTCTTTACACTTATACATATATCTTATTCTGATATAGATATATTACAATTTTGTAAAATACAAATTTATTTAACACGCGCGTAATTTAAAAAAAGAAGATTATATATATATATAATTATAATCGTTTATTTTTAATTTACTATAGTAATTATGTAAAGAATTTGCAAAAGTATGAGAATTTTAAAAACCATTTTTTAAATAATTGCTATAGTGAAATTAAAACCAAGCGATTTTTTCTAAACATTCGTATATGTAAAATCATTTATGTAGATTTTTATGATTTTATGTAAACAAGTTTGCTACCATTTTTATGTTTCCATCCAATTAGTAACAAGAAAGATTATAATGTAGTACAAAGTATATTCTTGTTTTAAATTTAATCAAGACTAAAAATCTATATTTTTTACCGCGTCTATTTTGCCGATATTTTAAATATTATTACCCAATCTGTGTACATATATGTATATTAGTAAAAAAAACTATATTACTTTTTCATTTTCTTCAAAAAAGGCAAATATTATAATTTAATAAATTTGTGTTCTTGCATTTTTTTAAATTACTAAAATTTTTTCAGTAGAGAAATAATCACACATAAATTGTTAACAATACTTTTATAAAGTATTGCAGTCTTTTTTGTCGACCTTTATAAATATATATATATAATAGAACAGAAAAAAAGAATAAAAATGTGGAATTAAAAAGAAAAGATGGCAACTTTTTAAAAATATATATCATTCTCTTTATTTTTTTATTTTTTTTGCGACATAATCTTCAGATTAATATTTTGTTGCAAGAGTTAGATGCGAATAAATATCTTTTCTTTTTTTCTTATGTGTTTTACATACTTGTCATAACACAGTATCCACATTTTGAACAATGACGCTTTCTTTCTCTCTTTGCTGTCAAATGTGTGTGATTTACAGTATATTTATAGAATATCGTATTAGATTACGTTGCATTTTATGTACACATACAGAATAATATAATTGCGACAGTTTAAAAAATGAGCAAGTTGCAAAATATAAACTTTGGCATATCGTTGCATCAACTTTGTATAATATTACGTCAAATAGTCTTATTATTATAGTTTGTAATGCAATCTGTACAAGATACTTCTAAAGCAACAGTGACGTAAGAATGTGAAGCTGCCGTGCAGCGTCTTGCCAAGTGAGTTAATTCTTATAAATTTCGCTTTTTTCTCTTTTTCTATGTAAACTGCGCGATGCAGTTTTCACGACGGAAACAATTGATCGACAATATAATCACATAGCGATATCGGCAGCATTATTGAAAGCCAAGAACTTCATCGTAAAGAATATATACTCTCCATGTATGTTTGAACGTTGCAATATCAAAATCGATCCACATAGTATCCTGTATTTTTTGTCGCACAATACGTTTTCTTCTTATTTATATATTGTTTGTTCAAAATTCAAGAGTAAACGTCCAGTGCTATTGTAAAATGGCTGTGCACGATTTAATTTGCTTTACAGAAACGTCACACACACATTAATTAACATTCCGCACATTATTACAACACCGTAAAGTATTTTGAGCAAAAAAACCAAACATCATAGCGTAACAGCAGTACAAGTCGTACGTATATTACGAGTATTATACCTAACGTGCAATCGCATTTTTAAAGAGCACTTACGCGCTAAACAGGGACGGGCTCATAGCTCGTGAATTGCACTTGACCCGTCATTGACTAGTAGTATTCGATATATAAGATAATATAGCGTCTGTTTTTTGTAGTTGCACTTTGCTACTTTGAATATATAAAGAGAAAAAACTAACGAGGAATTTGAAGGGAGAGAAAAGCTATTTTCGGGATTTGACGGAAGAAAAACAAGCTTGTGAAACAATTTATATGGGAAAGTGCAGCTAGAAAAAACAGCGACATAACTACATCGTCAGTAAATGTCGAGTGAACAACCGTGTCTCTCGCATATGAAACGCAAGAAGTACTCAAAATACATTCACCGATCCATCGGTGAAGCAAAATAGCGTCGTATAATTATTTGCGCACGTAGGAAAATTTAACAGTGCGTACTTTGGTGCTGTTGTAACCGCCGTTTAATTTTTTTTTCTTCAAACCGCGTTCAATTTGTCGACCGTCGAGAAAAATTGAAGCGTTTAATTATAAAAATGAAAACGCATAAGCAAAAACGCGGCCTTAAAAAAGAAAAAAAATACATTTACAGTTTCGATCTTGGTTTTGTTTACAGTAAATAAAATTATCGCACGCGCGTGCGAGTTGTTGTATTTTATAAAATGGAAACTTTAAATGCATTTTTTTTGTTTCAAAAAAAAGTTCTTTTGCAACTCGTGCAACTCTTGTTTTTCCATAAGGGTTTCAATTTTATCCTAAAGGCGCGCTCCAATTCTAATTATAATTGAATAATTGACAATGTAAAAAAATCAATTTGAGTATTTACTCATGCCTAATGCCACATATAGATAACAAAGTACTGAAATTATGTAAGTGAGTAGCCGGTATAATGGTGATCACTAAATTCTGCGTAGAAAACTTCGATAGGACATCATGAAGAAAATTCGGACCCGGAAAGCTGCCGACTTTATAAAATATTCGCAAATTACACGTCGGATTTGCATTCTGTGAACCTTTCCTAAGTTTACACAATAGATACTCGAAGGCTTCTGACAATTCATTTGCGTTCAGCTCCATAGACGGCAAGCTTGCCTCCGTTGTTAAATTACCAGTGGAATTAGATGAACCTGTCCATAAAAATTTCATAGTTAAAAAAATATTCTTTTTTGTACATAAGAAATATTTCTTTTAATTTACAATTAACAATTAAATTTAAGCATCAGTTAATAAAGTTATTAACTGATTTTAATACAATCAATTCTGGTTTATATTATTACCATAACTACCATAACTATACAATTTTATTTAACGATTTGTGCCATCTTTCAAATATCATTAATATTTTTAAAAATCTCCTATTTTTAAAAATGTTTTATCCATATTTATATAATAGAAAAAAATTACATTTTTAGAAGGAACTGTTTGCCAAGAAAAACTTACCGGTAGACATGTAGCACACAATTGCAGAAACATTATTTTCGTAATTCCACCTACGTCTGATGGCTATCCTAAAGTTAGCCACACATTTTCCTGTTTCTTCGTCTGCAATAGAACATACATAACAATCACTCTTTTCAGATAAATAAATTAAAATATGTACTTGTTGCAAGTTGGATTATAAAAGAAAATGTAAAAAGTCTGTCTATTCAACTCGCAACAAATATACGATTTCTTATTATATACTTTGCACTCACATTCAAATCGATTATTATCCCTATGAGCCCAAACGCACCACTCGACTTGAGCCCCACGTGGTAAATTTGGTACAACGACATAATCTACAATGGCATTTCTCGTCCTCCTTTCCCACTCTTTTCTCGCGTCCGCAATGTAACTAGAATGAGTCAGGAAACAGATACCTTGTACTATGTCTCTAAGCTTAGCATCCATAGCTTTGACGATGCGATCTATGTGTCTTAATGTTAAACGGCACTGCCGTTTAATGTTCATGTCTAGAAGATTCATATTACCAGGTACCAGAGGTATTTGCCCAGCAACTAAAATAATATCACCCACCTATGGAAAAGATTAAATTTTATCTTAATAACAAAGAAATTGCCTTCAATGTGTAAGTATGATAAAAAAATTAAATAATAAATTAACTGAATTTTTTTAATCAATTTTTAAGGTACTCGAATAATTTTTTTTATATAAGATTACTTTTATAATCGTATTCATTCCACTTACACGGGTAGCTTGAGAATAAGGACCAATATTAGCGGGTGCCCAATGACTTATGCTTTGAACATGCATCGTATGTCGCTTACAGACCCACTTATCACCGCAATCCTGACTTTCTTTATACGCTGTCGCGTCAAGCGCGATATGTACATTCAAAGGACATTCTACACATACACGAACGGGCGGACTTTTCTCACCCAACCAGGAAACATATACTTCGTTTATAGCCTTGTAATTCGACATATCTTTTATGTACAACGTTACTGCGACGATATCAGACGTGCGCAGATTTTCATTTTGTATCAGAGCTGTAATTAGACAAAACATGCGTGAAAAAAATTTATCGTTTGCATTATTTTTTTTCTTGCTATTAATTTAAATTTAGAAATAATTGCTAATAATTACTAAGCCAAAAGGTACGTGATTAAGATGTAAATTTTACTGCTTAATTTCTCCAATGCCTCTTCTACAGCAGGTGTGACGTCCGGATGTTTTCCTACAATGCCACCGAACCAAAACCACCCTGTTTGATTTCTATTAACCATCGGCGTATCTGGGTAATCTTCCTCTTCATATAAAATTTCCATTGGACTTGGAGGATGAAATTGACCTATTTAACATATTTAGAGATATATAATACATATTACACATTTTTTCCATATTCTTTTCTACATATTCCATTTTTTATACCTGAATTCGATGCTTTTAAACTATTGCTTTCACAAGCGTGTTCATCAGTTTCGTCTTCTGATAAATTACAGCCATCATGCAGCTCTGGACCAATGATTTCAGCAATGTAATCTTGTGGAGATTTTATCAAAACAGTTTTCAATCTTTCTGACAGGCTTAATTTTTCCATTTCTCCATTCTAGAAAACAAATTTTTTACCTTGGTTTTACCAGTGTCTTACAATTGTTTATGCAAGTTTACATGATATTCAGACACTCACATCTTTCTCTTGTAAATGGAGCTTTGTAAATCTAAGATATCCTACAGGAGCTACATCATCTCTTGTATTTACAATACTCTCATAATCGTCACTAAAAAGTACAAAAAAAATAGAAAAAACAATTATTCAAATTGTATATACATGAAACATTTATAAATATAAATATGCATATATAACTTACACTACAATACTTTTAGCAAACAAAGGGCAATCTAAAGTAAATGTTTCATATTCTCCTCCTTCTCCACACATATTCACTCCATATTTTTCTTTCTGTAAATAAAGTTTTTTTTTACATTTTTGTTATAAATCATTAAAAATATAAATACTACAGAGTTTTTGTTTTTATTCCAATATACAATAATCACTGATATGCTCTATTATATATAATAATATATAAACATTATGAATCTGAAAAAATTTATCTAAAATATAATTATAAAATTAATTTTAAAAAATCTGTAAAAAACAAAAAAAATTAAAAGAGAAATGTAGATTAATATATTAGTGTGGAAAAAATATATGACTTACTATCTTAACAAGATGAGATTGCATTTCAGATATAGATTTACCCAAATGTTTAATTTCAAGACCAAGAGCTGCAACTTTGATTAGCACTGCATTAATAGAACTCTGTATCATTTCATTTAAAAGCTCCTCCTGGTCCCTCCTCCATAAATATGATAAGGAAATGAGATTTAAACGACTGCACCTGAAACACAAACATTCAAAAAAACTAATAACAGCAATTACCAATATAAAGAATTTATAAATAAGAGATAAATAAATGATAATTACACATTTTCCACACGAATTCGTTGATAATCACTAAGAATAGCACCACTTGAAACAGCTTCTATATTTTCATGTTCCTGAATAAGAATATTAATTATTAAAGCATATATATAAATATAAATAAAATACATCTAATATTAGATAAACAAAAAATAGATGTATGTATATACACTTGATTTACTTTTACTGTGTTCAAAAGCTTAAAAAGATCCTCGACTTCATCATTTTCTGTAGGATAATAATATTTCTCTTGAACATTGGCTTTACCAAATGTCGGAGAACGATATAAAGGTAAGCCTATAGCCTGAGCAATATAGTTGATACCTTCATGTCCTACTGTTTGGAACATAAACGAATCCAGCTCATCTGGAAGCATTGTGTGTTATACCTATGTTACATCTGCATAAATTACAATATTTATATAAATATAAATTATAATATCAAAACAAATTATAACATTAATATGAAAAGTATAATTTTATAATATTATAAATTATATCAAGTTGAAAGATGCTTCAGTTGTGCAATATGCATTACTAATTTATAATAAAAATATTAATGTTTCATGCAATATGATCTATTTCAGTACCTTTTTTATAAGGAAATAAATTAGCCAGAGCCACAATCTCGTGACCAGCTGCTATACACTGCATCATATTGAAGCAAGAATCTTTGCCACCACTGATTAGTGCAATAACCCTCATTTTTGTTTTTTTTTTTTTTAGATTATGCTTGAATCTCTCCGTTGAAAAACAATTATAGTCAAAATTTAAAATTAAAACTGATTTATCTTGTTTAAATAATCATCTGCAATAAAAAAGATAATATTTATATATTATAAATGTTTCAAACTATATAAATAATATATATATATATACATGGAAATTTTGGATGACAAGTTTAAACAATTATGATTTGTTTTGTGTCCACATATATAAATCCATATGTTTCAAATTATATATGGAAAATAAATTATTTAAATTAACCAAATCAGAATTTAGAGTAACATAAATTTGTGATAAAAATAGAATATAATAGTAAATGCATCTCTTTCCTTACAACATATACAATTGTATATAATTTATATAATCACAATGAACAGAGATATATGAGAAAAATTTTATAGCAACAATAATAATAATTTTTGGCCATTTCTATAGTAAACAATTAACATGCAATATTAATGACACGATTGAGATATTTAAAAATAAAATCATCAAAACTATAGAATGCATCAATGAAGCATATGTGGAACTAGAAAGTCGTAAGTATAAAAAGAATAGATATTAGCATAAAAAAAGAGGAAGCATATTATTTATTAATATATATATATATCTATATATATATATATATATATATATATATATATATATATATATATAATATATATATATATATATATATATAATTAGATAATGAAAAAAATTGGTCATGAACGTCACGAATTACAAATCGGTAAGAAATATCAAGAATTCCTCGTTTTTTCGATCAGTACCGAAGTTAGATCCGCAAATCGTAAGAACGTAGCGATAAAGCATGGTTTTATCGCCAAAGGGAGAAACTGTATGTGTAGAGATATTGCTTGAAGGATTTTTTGGTTATTACAGGGACGAATGTGGAAAGAGAGAGACAAATAACGAAGTGACAACGAACAATGAACTGCGTAGCCAGGTGTGAACATAATTACGGTGAAATATGCAGCAAAATCAACGCCAAATTCTCGATAAATGTGATATTTACGTTAAATCGGTGGTAATAAACCTCTCACACAATACCATTGGCAGCCCATGGGAGACTGTGGGAGACTGATGGGGATGGGATCACGGATGATAGAGGTATGTGACAACCGTGATGGAGCTGCGACGGTGGCGCTACGAACGGAACGATAATTTGAGAGCGTCTTCCCCCCCCCCTTGCATAATCGAGGTTATTCCGAATATTAAAATTATATCGATTAAAATCATCGTGATTGCTTCATCATTTCTTTACAGCTAACGAAACGACTTTGTTGCACTCGTCAAAAGAGTCGAATTTATTCCTCGTACGAAAATATATTGACGAAATTTACAGAAGTGTCGAGAAATTTTCAGGTTGTAAATTCGCGCGACCGTACATCTTGCAAACGTCAAAAGGAACGACGAGTACTTCGTTCTGATTGGTTGATCGAACATTTCCAAGTTTTTGAATTTCAAGTGAAGTGTACCCTCTATGTTTGTTTTCACATTATGACATAATAAATATACACGTATCTTTCGAATTTCAATGAAGAAATAAAATTCGCATTCTCACTATACGTTCGTTTAGTGTACAACTATCCGATGATGATAAAAGATTATTATCTCATATTTTCATAATCGTGCTTTATATCGATTATATACTTTTGTGCATATCGATTTCGGGTGTGAACAAATTAAAAATTGTCGCGCAAGAGAAGCAAAAGTCGCTCTTGGCGACATTAATTTTTTCAAAGTTACATATTTATCACGTACAGTGAAAATTGACCCATTTTTTCGTCAAACACAACTCGCCGACCAATGAGAGATGGCACGCAGTGGGCGGCCATTTTACTTTCGCTACGGTCGCGCGGAGCACCGCTTTGAGAGATCTCTCAAACTCGAGATCGTCTTGCTGTTTCGAAGCGAACTGTGGTAAGCGAGCGTTTGCTCTGTCGCAGGTCCGTGAGAGATTTTCTGTTAGCATATTCTCCTGCATCCCACTACGCTAAATTCGTATTCGACTCAATCGACGAGAAAGCCATCGCCAGGATGGTTTTGGCGGAGAGAAACTCGGAAAATGTGCGAAACGGTCGCAGATCCCGAGGCCCCAGCCCCAACGCACAGACGGAGTCCTCCAGCGAAGAGGATGGAGGTATCTTATTTGTATACGCGATGTTTTAATTATCCTTATTATAATATCGCGCGGAGAATTTTTAGAGGACATTTTATCCGAGGTTTGTCGAATCCAGACAGTTTTATCTTAATCGAGCGTAAAAATCCGAGATCTTCAAACTACGCGCTCCATTCTTTTCCGTTTAAACATTTTTTTTCTAGATGCAAATTGCTCGAAATTACAAATATATTCTTTCGTTTTTTGTATTGAAAAAGTCTTCTAAGAAGAAATATTCTTTTTGGATAATATTAATAATATAGTTTGAAATTTCACAATTTTTCTATATAGAGATAATGAGAAAATTAATTAATAGTAAATATAAAAATTCATTTATTATTGCATAATCTGATAGAAAGAGTAACCATTAATGTTTTTCAAGTTCCAGCAGAAAAAATTAGAGTTGGACGAGATTACCAAGTGGTTGTTCCAGAATTTGTTCCTGTTAATGGTACTAAATTTTTTTATATATAATTTTCAAAAATATAGAATTAAATAGCCCAAAATTCGTATTCAACATACTATTATATATTCTAGAACGTCGATTGGATCAATGTCCTGATAGAGCATTGTTAGTTTGGTCCCCAACTACAGATATACCAGATCAGAAACGTAAGGAATGAGAACTTATGCATAAACCGATTAATTTATATAAACAAAAATTTATGATTAAGTAACATATCTTTTGCCTTTTCTAGTTGATGAATACATTATATTAGCTAAAGAAAAGTATGGTTATAACGGAGAACAGGCATTGGGAATGCTATTTTGGCATAAGCATAATTTGGAACGTGCAGTCCTGGATCTAGCAAATTTTACACCATTTCCCGATGAATGGACAGTTGAAGATAAAGTACTATTTGAACAAGCGTTCCAATTTCATGGCAAGAGTTTTCATCGCATTCGCCAAATGGTACAATTTTATTTATTTATATTATATAATATTATATGATATATTTAAATTGGAGTTCTAATTTCTATTTATTACATTTTACTATGTAATAATGCAAAATTAATAATATATTTTTTGACTAATTTTTAATTAGTTAAATTTGATGTTTAAATTGAATTTTTTAAATTAAAATTTGTAGTAATTTTATAGCAATATAGTTTAATAATTTTTCAAATATATTAAGAAAAACTTAAGATTTTTTAAAGATATAATACATGTTTTATTTGAACTAATACATATATATATATATATATATAGAATCTGAAATTAATTTTTTACATCTTACTAATGATGCTACAAAAAAATTTAAGAAACAAGCACCTATACATTGACACTTTTAGCCTATATTTTAAATAATTTGTAAGTTTAATTATATATATATATAATTAAACTTACAAATTATTTAAAATAAAATTTATAAAATAAAAGAAACAGTAATATAAAAAAAAAACATAATTCTGTAACATTTTAAATGTTAAGATTTATATGAGCAATTCTTCTATTTGTAATAATTTATGTGTACAGCTACCTGACAAATCTATCGCAAGCCTCGTTAAATACTACTATGGCTGGAAAAAAACACGAAGCAGGACATCATTAATGGACAGGCAAGCACGTAAATTGACGAGCGGCTTCAAGGAAGGCGAAAATGGCAGCGAAAATGGAAGTGAGCTCGGTTCCAATACAGATAGCGAGTCTGAAGAAAAAGTAAGAATTTTTTTTTAACTAATTTAAACAGTAAAATTTTTTTTTAATGCATGTGCTCTTTTTTGTACAAAAGAAATGTTCTGTCCTTTTTTTCTTATTAAATAATATCATTTTAACACAGATATATAAATCTAAAGAAGCAAAATCTAAAAGACAGAATGATCTAACATTAAATACAATAGTTGCAGCAAAGGGAGAATTTTTATTTTCTCTAATTCTTTACAATAATTCAATTAATATTTCTCTTTTTTCTTTCCATTCTGTGATAGAGATGTTCCTTTGTGTATAAGCTTATTCTGGCTATTTTGCGCGATTATGTTACAAATAATTACATTGTCATGGCAATACAAATTGGTAATAAGGAAAATAACGTAACTATTTTAAAACTTGCTATAAAAAATGTATCCACACGATAATACATTATGATTATAATTGAAGCAGCATATATAAAAAGAAGCTACCTTATGTAATATTAATGGTGGCAAGAAATCGTCGTATGTAGATATTTTTATGTGTATATATAAGATATAAAAAATTTATAACAAATAAATCTGAAAATTTCACGATATTTTTCACGCGCGTGATATTAAAAAAAAAGAAACATTAATCTAAAATGTTTTGCACATAAGAGATAAGCAATAGTTTAGTTGGACGGTTACGTCGGTGTGTGAACGTAAATGTGGAACGTTCCAGAAATGGACGATCCACCGCGGAATACGTCGTGGAAAGAACCAAGCTGTGCCAGGAAGCCAAGGCACTGACGCTAAGGCCCCATCCGACTCGGAAAACGCCCCTCAGGTTCAGGTACTCAGCCTAAACCTTACCCACACTCGCATACATAGTATAGTACGCTTCACTACTGTGTTTTGCTACTTTCAATGCATTACGTGGATTATTGCTACACTGGCATAATATATACATTTTTCTCTTCAAAATATTTTTTTATGTCGAAGTTGATAGGCTGAAACCTTACTGAGGAAATGAATAGAGTAGAAAAAGTTTCAAAATATATGTATACATTATATTTATCTCGATTGGTTTGAACAATATTGTAAATAATTGAACTAATGAAAAATATGCACTAGTTATTTGTAGAGAACAGGACACATAAATTATTTTGATGATTTTCTTCCAATTCATTTTAACTTGCATTCACGAAAAAAAGAGAATGAATAGATAATGATTACAAAGTATGAAAGGGTGGGGGGTTATCAAAATTTTTGTTTTAAAAAGGGTGTTATGTGTTGTAGGGCTCGTGTAGCAACTGTGGCGTTGCATGCCATAATATTCGTACGACGCCCAAAGGACACGCGTGTCATAGCTGCTATCTACATTGGAGGTCAGTGAACGTAACGTAAATTAAATTAACTCAATCTAATTAATGCCAATGTTAGCAAATAAATAAATCTCCTACGCAACTCATTGTCAGTAAGCACCTAGGAGGATATTCATATGAGAAATTAGTCAGACTCGTTGAAATTGATAATTCGTCGTCTCTTTAATCTAATTTAGAACATTTTTTTCTACAGAAATAAACATCGATATATTTATTAAGGTAACATTTATGAATATCCTCGGAAAAAGGCTTATTCGATATAATTGTTTTAATTTACATCCCCATTAATAGTTTTCAGTTGATTTTAATGACATTGAGACACAATGTAGTTTAGCCTCATATTTCCATAGTCTTGAAATTGTTAGTTTTAAACATTTTCTGATGGTTTAGGCGCACCGGTGTAGCGAGACCATTAACTTCCATGCCGGGTCGTACGAATAAAAGAAAACCACCGCGAGGTTTGGTTGTGAATCACGATGATTTGGCGGCTTTGGCTGGTCAACCAAACCAGGCCAACAACAGTTTGCAAGCGATCGACACTGAAATCGTTAGCCTAAAGCGTCAAGTATGTGTTGTGTAGAAATGAAGAATTCTCGCAATATATGTCGTGTGGATACATTTCATCTTTTATTCTCTATGTAATTATAACGAATGACGAAAGCGAATGCTCGTGTTTTAAACAGATGAAATACATACATATATTCGATTGAAAATATTTAAATATTTGTAAAGTAAGACTTTAAAACATTAGGGTTGCAATTCAAACTTTCGTCATGTATATTGATGTTTCGAGATTGTATATTATTTTATTAAATTATGATTACACTACTACATTATTCACACATAATTATGTAATTTGTGCATAATTTATTCAAAATCAGATACAAGCCAATAAACAACAAGTGAGTGCACTAAAGCGAAAAACTGCCGATGGTATCGATCATCTACGGCCGCCGGAGGTATCGAGCCGTATAAATGCTCGTTGGACAAATGATGAATTGTTATTGGCCGTTCAAGGTATCAGAAAATACGGAAAGGATTTCGCTGCTATTGCTGAAGTTATTGGAACCAAAACCGAAGCACATTTACGATCATTTTTTGTTAATTATCGACGGAGATATAATTTGGATGCTGTTCTAAAAGAATTCGAGGCTGAAAACGGTCCTATAGTGATTGAAGATGAAAAAGAGGAAAAGGCATGTTTTATTATAATAATATCATACAAGTTTGTTGTATTAGATTCTTGTTGCATATAAAGGATATTATAAGAATTATGAATTAAACTTTTGAACTCTTCACACTTTGATATCCTGTATCGAATTATATTAATAATTTAATGGAATATTTTTCATAGATGGATGTTGATCAATCAAACGATACCGCAGAGTCATCTCAGAAGGGAAAAACTTCCACCGGGCCTGGACAAGTTACTAAATAACAAATGAACACAATCCCAAAACGAGAAAAAAATTGCAGACTCAGCGATAACAATCGATAATCGAAAGGTACTTGATCAAATATATTAATTTTTTTGTCTTCTTATTTTATTCCATTATTATATCTACAATAACGTAATAAATGTGTTTGTTTAAAAAATCTAAATTTGAAATGAATGATAATATAATATGATGGTAATCCATATGTATAAATTACATAAGACTCGCATAAGTAATGAACAATTGATCTTAATCAAGATTAACGAGTCCTTGTGTTTACAATATGTTATATTTTTTTTTTTAATCTAATGCTGGAAATCCATCATTCATTTGTATAAAAAGATATTTGTATAATCGCATAATGTCAAAAATATGGAAGTTTACACTAAACGTGTATTAACAAAAAAAATGTATTTAGATGTAGGCGCAAAATGCTTCTCACGATATGCAAGCACTGTACATAGTATCAGATATAACTTACATAAAATGCAAGTAAATCTTCAATATTGTTTTCATGAATAGCATATTCGATATAGGAGATTATTTTTTCTCTTTTATGTCTCTTTTATTTAAGCATAATATTGGTTTATATTTTATCTTGAATTAATGGGCATATGAAACTTAGAATAATACAAAATAAAAATTTGATCTCATTTGAGGAAAGCACTATAAGATAATAAATTATCAAACACACATAAAAATGTTATATTAAATTAAAATAATTCTATAGATTAGAAATAATGTGTAAATAACATTTTAATGAATTGCAAAATGTTTTAGTGTTCAAATATCAATGAGATTTTTGCGCTCTCTGCAGTAAAGCTGTTACGTTTTGTATCAGTTTTTTTTCTCGTTTATACGTCATATCATTTGTCTCCTAATTAATCTCATAATTTTAAATGGTTTCATGTTTTTCTTTTTATTTTCTTCTTTTATGAAAGTTTTTTTATATATAACCCTTTTATACTCTAAAACTCTAAAGTCTATTAATGTATATGCAAACAATATAATCAACAATGTTGATAATTGTTTGATAATTTTCGATTACGCAAGAGCAATATATATAAAAAGATATCAAACTTTTAATTATACACACATCTTTCTTTCTATAATTACAAATTTCACATCTAACTTATATATTATATGCTCTTTATGCTTGAAAAAAAAACTCAATTACATGCGGTAATCACGATATCAATAATTTTTTGCATTGTAAAAGAACAATGATCGAAAAACAAAAGAGTATATCTCGGATTTAGTTTCATGAACAGTAAAACATACACAAGTATTATAATCTATTAAAAACTATGATGTTAAAATATATGGATATTGCCGTCGTAATTTCACAAAATGTACACACAAACATATATGTTAATAAGAAATCATTATGATGAGGAGATACTACGCGTGCCTGCAAAGAGATTTATAGAGTTTTTATAAAACGATGATGCATGCTTTCGCATATAGCTAATTCGATTGGATGCACTAGTACGCACTGAGTGCATACAAAAGTTTATCACACACAAATTTACAATGACACAAGTAATTAAAAAAGGAAAATAATAGCTTAAAAAGTTATTATTATCATTATTCATATTGAACAACAATAATAATAGCTCTTACTATTAATTATTTTCCTTTTTTAATTATTTGTGTCATTGTGAACTTGTGTGTGATAAACCTTTATATGCACTCAGTGCGCACTGGTGCATCCAATCGAATTCGCTAATAGGTTCTGAAAGCTTTCATGAAAGCTATGAGTTTTATTAATATAAATTTGTTATAAATTTTTATTATATTTCTATTATAAATCTATTTATTAATAAGAACACTCCAAGTAATAATAGCGCACATTTCGCAAAACTTTATTTATAAAATTAATAGCAATGAAGTATTCATGTTTTCATGTATCTGTGTAATATAGATAATATATACCAAATTATTCACACAACTGCACCACTTCCTGTTTAGGGACATATAACGGCATGATCGTGAACGATACACATACATGAAAGAAAATAGAATATAAGACTAGTGATTTATATACAATGCGATGCAGATGCTAAATTGGTTGATAATTTTTGTTTTTTTAATTTTTGACACTGAGGTGCCTTGTGTGACATGGGATACGCGAAATTATCGCATATACCACTTGAAAATCTCTCATTGAGTTTAAACAAGCGATATCTATGTATTGACATGTTATTACACGTTCAGAAAATATCAAGAAATCCAATGCTACTCTTATTAAACATATATTTTCACGACAAAATATGTATATAGCTGATATAATTGGTATTAGACACTAGATTAAGTATATAAGTTTAAATTAAAGATATAGATAGGTAGAGACTTAGTTTCTCAAATCTAGATTTAATTTTGATAGCAGTAGTAAACAAGATAATTAAATAGATGTCTATTAATAGATATCTGTATAGCAGCACCAAAACAATGCTGTACTAATTACGCGTATTTTGTGCGTGTTTCGATCTCAATCGCAATTATTTCACATAGCAGAATCAGATTTTCTAAATGAAAACGTATCTCTTTCTTTCATATACATAAAAGATAATAAAATAATAATTTAAATCATTATTTAATACTCTCAAAATTGTAAGAAAAGTTATAAAAAAAGATACTTTTTAAATATCAATAAAATTATCATATTGATGAAATATAATGATATAAATATATATGTATCTGTACAATATATAAATTATTTATATATATATAAGCTAATAAATAGCTGATATATAAATAATACATTTGTATTCTTATATATATGTACATGGAAACAGAAATGCTTTAATACATGAATGTAAATGCATGTCATGAGGCGTATATGGAAAATTAATATATACTTATTAGAGTTATTTATATATTAATACGCATAAATCGTGTGTTAAGGTATTCCTGTCACAATATGTACATATTTATATCACTATCGATAAGAGTGATATATATCATAAAAACGCGACAAATCTTGCCAACGATTGAGCTGATGAATATAAAAACGAACATCGATGTGTTTTATCAGTGTGAAAGATATCGTTGCATTGAAAAGAACTCTATAGTTAGATAAATTGTTAGTTAACATGGGAAAGCGCGCATTATCGTCGCACGAGAAATGCATGATTAATACAAAATCATCTCAGTTCTGTTTCCGTCACAAATTTATTTTTTCTAAAATATTAGATTTTCGCACATCCGCGAAGCGTTTTATAATTAACATATATATATATATTTGCGTTTTTATTTATTGTCACATTAGGTTTTTTTAAAACATTACTCTTAGATATATTTTTATGTATTCGCGCATAATATCCTTTTAAGAATTCATCGAAATAAAAATTTCAATATTAATGTAAACGATGAAAAACGATAGGATATCGTACTATTTGATAGATTCATTAAACGAGTATGTTAAATAAACGCAAGTTCTACTACATAGCTTCTTTATTTTATATAAGAAACAAAGATTTAATAAAAATAAATCTTTACTATGCGTATAACATACTTGGAATTGTTTGAAAAATGTCGAGATATAATTAGTGTAAGTCTTCGCTATCATTTCTAGCATGGACAAGCATTTATTAAGAAAATTAAAATCATATTGAAATTGAAATTCTATCTATCAATTATGTACGGCTACGTTATATATAGCGACGAGAAAGGATCATCTTATAGAGATAGGAGAAACAACTCATAGAGTGTTGTAATGTACATGTATAAAGATCATAAAACCTATATGTTCATACACATTTCTAGGAATGTGTGTCGCACATTTTTGGCTATACCTTGTGTTCCATCTGTAAGTTGTACACATGTAATTAATTAAATATGTCTTACGCATTGTGCGAGAAATTGTAAAATTATTTGTTTCTTATATTTTCTTTCAAGAATACAATATAATTAGAGTTAATGTTATCTATTAACCGGTATAGACTTAAAGTATAAAATCTCTCAAACATTTTGTCGCATAATTGATTTTCTAATTATGTTCATTCATTTTCGTATAATTTTATCTAAGAGATCTTGTATTAATTATTGGCACATCTTTATCATTTTCCTCTTCAGTTCTTAAATTATATCCGCCGATTAGTATGTTAAATTATATACGCCAGTTTATTGATGAAATAGCTTGCAATAATTGCAGCCGGTAAATGCAAAATATACAAGTTCGTTTTTAAATAACTGTATCAATTAATATTATTCATATTAGTTTCACTCAGTAATTATTTATTATATATAGTTGGTTGCAACTTATTAATACTTGTCTAACCACAATTCGCTGTTACATGTCGCTGTTCTCTATATATACATATATTAAAAAATTAATATCAAGTGAACTTAAATGAAAACGCAATTTTGAAAAACTACAATGATATTTTTCCAAATTCGAGAAGTTGAGATACTATTAACAGTTTTGTACACAGAAGTTGCATCATCTTATGATTATAGATACCTGAACTGATATAATTTTGCATTTTACGGTTTCAAACTAGAAATTGCGGATGATTGAGAATGACTATTTCGCTCTCGTACAACAATATCTCTTTTCCGCGTTAGATAATCCATCTCTTTTAAGTATAAAATCACTTGCAAATTATCGTGATTAAAGCCAGCTTTTTCTCGAAGTTGCTTAAAATGTCCTTTTTGTATCGCGCATATGGCATCTTCACGAATATCACAATTATCACTCGAAGCATTATAAAGGAGAAAACACATGTTTAAAAATTTAGATTCCTCTCTGTAAAAAGTACTGTCATCGTGATTGAATGGATTCTCGATTGTTGCGCTAATAAAATCAAAATCTTTGCGTATAGCGCGCGTAAAATATTGTATAAAATCCATGTCATCGTCGGCAATCGATTCGAGTCGAATAATGTCCGATAAGATACTTTGGTACACGATCTCTTCCTGTTGCAATCGACAGGACGAGAACACGTGCTTCTGCCACGCGGTTGACACGATCTCGCGTATCTCGGCAACTTCGTCTTTCAGTAGAATCAAGCAACATCGCATAATCGTCAATCTATTGCTATTTTCTAGTTTTGCGTGACGATAAAGCGCAAGCTCAATATATTCAGCTGCCGTCAATCGCGCAGATAACTTTTCATTCATACATATATTGAAAACGTACGACAGTACTTGACTTATCAGCGTTTCGCTCTTGGAAAAAGCTAGGATCAATGAATTTCTCACGCGAATCATATTCGAATCGGTCATCTTATCGAATTGTTCTATCATCTTGTCAAACTTCGACTCGTTACCTTGCGAACTAGCATGCTTTATAGTGTTCAACGCGAAAGTTATTATTTCGTCGAATAGTAATTGGTGACAATGAGTATTGCTCATCGATATCAAGTAGTTGAGAATAAATTCGAGCAAAGGAACGCAATACGACAAACCATTTAGGAATTCAATACTTTGTTCCGTACAATTTGATTGTAAAATATTGTATATTACCTGCCGCTCAAAATCGTCAATCGCACAATTTCTTTCAACGCATAATTTAAAATGCATCGCGTACAGTCGCGCCCAATGTCCAACAAATTGAAAAAATCCTGGTTGAACTTTTTGCGATGATACTATACTCTCGATTATCGGTAAATTATGATAGAAAACTGACGTATAAAAGAAGCACATCGAAGATAACGAAGGTGATTCTTGTAGAAATAATGTTTCCAAGATATAACATGGTTGCGCTGCTTTTTGTTGTTCATACATATCGGTCCATATCATTGATATTAAGATATACTGATCTTTCCAAGGAAATTCATAATCTCTTTTACTATCGGAGAATTTACGCCATATGGAATTTTTATCATTATCGATACACTTTCTTTTGAAATATCCATAAGTTAATAAATATCCATGCGACATATTGATATCGTGACTTGTAAGAATCACCTTTGCTATCGCGCTTAAATCAGAATAAATATTAGAGATAGGCGTGAAAGCCGTGTAAACTTTAGCCGCTAGTTGTCTGATATGCATCATCGGATTACCGAGAAAAGAGACGAGCAAACGTTTGACTTTCATTGTGAATACAATCGTCACGGGATAATCAACGAGATCGTAGTCGTTGGTCGACAACTTTGACAAAAGTACGAGGATATGCGCGATGCTCGAATAGGAACGTAACGCCGCGTTCGAAGTTCCATGGATCTTCGACACGTCTCGCAGCTGCGTATACATGCGGCTCGCCAACGTCGGATAATGTGTGACGAAATGATTGATGGAGTAACCGTAGCCAAAGTCCAATTCTCCGTCCAAGCTTCTCCCGGAACATTGACCCACCAATCTCGGCACCACCGCTCCATACAACTGTAAGCTCGCGTTCCTGAAATACGTGTATATGATGAATAGAAATGCTATGAAAAATTATACAAAAAATCGTCGAAATGTATAAAGGCTCAGAATGACAATGAGGCTCATGGGTCCTCGCCGTGGCTATGTTAGATTGTGACATCAGAGAAAACAACGTGATCGGTGAAGAGCTAGAAGCTTTAAATAAAAAAAACTACGCATTGCTGTTTTTACCTTACGGTCCAAACGTCGGACTTGATGTACTCGAAACATGTTAAACAAATGTCCTCCATATACGGGACTAATTGCGCGTGTATCTCCTTATCAATGACTAACATCCGCAAAAAGTACAGACGTCTCGCCCATGGTGAGTCCTGTCCAGCCTCCACCTCTCTAACAGCCGTCATCGAAAAGTCTTTCAGAGAGTCTAATAACATCCGCACCGCGAAATGGACTGTAGGTCGATCTCTTCGATTATCACTGACGACCAATCTATGAAACATAATTGACAATCCGGCACCCCGTCGTGTTAAATGCAATGATTTTTCTGTGTCTTTCTCCAACAGATTAGTCAGATATGCTTTTGGCAATTCAGAATATTTCTTTCGGTCATATAAACGTCTAAAACAATCATTAATTATGTAACAATTATTATTATATACAGAAAATAGATAATTTATTGTAGTTGATTATTACTGTAAAATTATTTCTATTATATATTGCATGATCTTAATAATGTACATTTACATATCAGCGAGATTAACACATTAACTATTATATTATATTAATATTTTATATCGGAAGAGAATCTTTACCTGGCTAAATTTGCAATCGCCACTCCAGCAGATTCTACTACACCTTTGTGCCGACACTTTAATAGAACTGTAACAATAATATCCATGGAATATTTTACTTGCGCATTCGATTGCATCAACATCCCAATTTTGCTGACTATCTCGCATGATACCTGTGAAAATTATATTATTCGTTTTATTATTGGAGATTATAATAATTATATAAAACTATAGTAAATTATCTTATACTGATGTTAAACTAATTATATAAACGCTTATATATTATATGTACCTTTAAAGACATCCAGATACAAGAGACAAGCACTTGATGTGCCGGCGATAATTGTAATTCGTCATAATTATTAGCAGTCTCGATTTCACTGGTCTTAATCTTTTCATCGATAGCTAATCCCATTTCCGCAAACGAGGATGAATAAACTAAACAAAATTTTATGTATACAAATTGCAAAATTATTTTTCTTTCTCAATAAATGAATAACAATATATCAATAATCCTACATAAGTAACCAATTTTACTTTAACTTTGAGCAATCTTATTAATCAAGAACATATATGTGTCTTAATCATAATTACTCTTATTAATTATAAGCTAATAAATTATAATAATTACTAATAAAAAGTAACTATTGATCTATAAATTTATTGATGATGATAATAGTTATAAATCTCGGTATAGCTATTATTATTATCAATATTATTCATACTTTGCGATGTATCTGATGCTTTCGCTGATAATGTAGATAAAAAGAAGTCGATGGCATCTTTTAAAAGGTGTAGCATTTCTTCTGTAAATTGCAGTGTTAAGATCCAATTCTCTGGGCCAGCATGAAAAGCGACTGACAGCAAAGCAGTCAGCACACCATAAAAAGGTCTATTCTGGACAATAGCTTTCAGAATATCGCTTTTCATCTGCGCCAATTGACATCGAGCTTCATATAATAGAAATTCTGAGTAACTCGAGTAAGCGAGAAAATTATTATATTCAGTATGAGATAATATAAAAGCTTCATCTTTGTAAATCTCATTCAAGGGCAACCAGTGTGCCATTATTTTTATGAGAGCTGCTCCACTTTCGATTTTGTAGAATTTGGAAGAATTGCAGTGCTCCCATGCACAATTATAGAGTACCTAAAAAAAGAAGTTTTCATAAAAGTTGAGAATTATATATAGGCTTTAGTTAATGTTGAATTTTTTCTGAACAAAAACATAATATAATTTTTGAATTATAAGTTGAAAATGCAAACGAAGAAAATCTTTGCAAATTAATCTATGTTAGACAGAAGAATAAATGACGTTTTATTCTAGATTAAAAAGTGAACTTTACTTTAGAATAAAATTTAAATTAAAGCTCAATTATCAAGATATTTTAAAAGTTAAAAATTATTTTAAAAATTTTAATAAAATTTTAACTAGAAAATTGAAAGATACATTTCAAAGTGTAGAATATTTAAATATAAGTACGTAATATATAATACGTTTCTTACCCGTTTTTCCATGGCTGATAAAACATCTTTTTCAAAATATTCCAGGATAAGAGCAGTAGCTAATTGTCTGATATCGAGAGCAGAATCTAATACGAGTCTCAATAATAGAAATAAACTCTCCTTGTCGGTAAATTTCCAACTATTCGAGATCTTCAAGTGCTTGTCGATCGCTGTGATGTAACGAAGACATTCCCTATGATGAGCGCAGCTCTCGTGCGAGTTCCCATTCATGAAAGAGAGCAGAATTCTGTACAAATTTAAAGCAAAAATCTTGCGTTGATAACACGAACTAATTTCGAAGCAATCAAAAAAAAATTCGTGCAACCATTCTATGAACTCAGAGATGGAATTTATATTAGCGGCTTTAATGTTAATCATTTTTAAAATATTCGAGCACAATAGTCTGAAATATTTCATTATCCCTTCTCTCATGACAATCGTTGCGGTATTCGCATTAAACCACAGAAATTGTTTTATTCGAAAGAATGGGTCCTTTTCATCTCCAACGTCTCCAACGTTGTCGATCAAATCGACAACACAATAGCAAAGCACAGCAAAGGCGTTTAATTGTACAATTTCTTCTTTATCGGTTAGGTAAAGATCGATTTCGTGCATTTCTGGTAGTTCTATGCGTAATTTAGCGGCCGCTCTTTGCAGATGCGAACGAAAGAAGTATCCTTGCAAATCGCCACATAATTCCCATAAAAACGGTAGGATATTCCTATACATTTGTATGGTCGGTTCGAGCCAACATTTAAACAATGATTGAAGAGCGTTGTGATCCTCACTAGAAAAAAAATAAATTGCGATTAAAATGCGTACTTTAATACTGTAAAAAATTTTGAATTGAATAGAATGTCTTACAACTATATAAAAAATCAAATATAATAGGAAGCTTTTCAGTATAGTTTGTAAATCTTAGAAGCAGAAAAGTGAATATAACAATTATCGATTATTATCAGAGAAAGTTATGACTGTAAAATATAAAATTATCCGGAAAACTTACTGCTCTCCCGACTCCCAGAGATTAATAATTGATTTCATAACTTCTTTGAAAGATTTCTTCCATTCATCCTCGCTGAGTTGCTTTAAAATTACCAGGTAAAGTTTCGTGCCGCCACAACGCAAAGAATGTTTCGTTAAACTAAAACATAGCTCAAATAAAAAATCTTTCCTTATCATTGCTTTACATTGATTTTTAATATCCCATAATTGACAAATTTCCGCCAGCATAATATACTTGATTTCGTTTTGCCACGGCATATTGAAAGTGCAAAGGTAAAAGCTATGTTGTACAAATGTTTCTTTATACTTCTGTAACATTATCCGAAGATATATATTGAAAATTTGTGCGTTTTGCTTGGATATATCATTAAGCGCATTTGACCAATTAGAAAATATGATAGCCTCCAATTTTCGTTCTATTATACAATTACATTTATGCCAAAAGCGCACATCGGACGTCTTCTTCAACTTCTTCAACCATACATGTAGTACTTTGTACGCGAAGTAAGAATATCTCGTGTACTTCATACAATTTCTGTATATCGTATCAAACATAAGCAAGAGAGCATCATATTCAAAATGCATCTCCTTCCGATTCGTCTGCAAATATCCATAAGCGTTCAGTAGCTTGAACAGTTCAAGATCAGAAACGATGTATCGCTTCTCGAGAAAGCACAAGTCGTGGGAATCCAGTCTTTGGAAATGCATCACGGTGTCCTCGAGATATCGTAAATCACAACGCGTCGAAAGCAAAGCATAGAACGCGTGACACGCTAACAGGACACGTTCATTTCCCAATTCAGAATTACTACTGATTATCTCTATCATGTAAGTCAGAATCGTCCGGCATTCTTTCACACCTCCGTCCGCGCAAGAATTGCGCGAGGATACAGTGCTTATCAATTTCTGAAAAGATAAAAAGATAAAAATATCGTTGCTAAATATAGCGAAATTAAAATACGAAATATTTCATTTAAATAGCGAAGAAAATACTAACGCGAAAGATTGGTACATCATCTTGGCAATTTTGTAATTCGTTGAACGCATCGTCCAATTTCATATTTAGGATTTAAAGAGTGTTATTTCATAAAAATAAAAAAATAACGCGACAATAGTTGACTTGATTTGGCGTCTCTTCCTATAAGACTCTTATTTCATATACATCTCTCTTAATATTAAAATATTTTTAGTTTAATGTAAATCTTTATTTGTCGCTTGTAAACCGAGATCTTGACTCTTCTTATCGAATTGCTCTGGTAAATCAACTCTTTCGGAACTTTTCGTCTCACCGTCGAGGCAATGTATCCTGCAATTAATGGAGAATGATCACGTTCTCATTAACAGTGAAAAACTAATCAAAGAGAGGAAGAAAAGATAATCAAGTTGTGATCAAAACCGCAAAAAGCTGTGCGACGAAGTCATATTTTATAAGAAAGAGAAATTATATTAGTTTAAGTATATATATATAGTACAAAAGCATGTGATCGAAATAACTATCAGATTAGCTTAGTATATTTAAGATTATATACTGAAATGAAAGGAATTTTAAAACGGCTTCACAGAGTTCTTTGCGAAATACCGGTTAAGGATAATAGAATGTCGCAATAAAACCATTGTCCTGTGTTATTTTTAAGCATTTTGTTTATTATATGATTTAACAGAATGAAAATAACAAGGTAAAGTCAAAAAAACATCCGTATGTGAATAATGTATGAAATTAATTGTTTAACAGTTAATATTGATAGTTCAATTGTAAATTGCTATGAAATGGAATACACAATCGATAGATTAGTATCTTATGTTTCCTTTGGTTCTTCAGGAACATACCCCCCCTTTTCTATTTGCTCTTTGAACTTCAAGTAATCTCTCTTACGATCAAAGTGTTTCACCTGCATAACAGTGGCATAGAAGAATTGTTAGATAATTAAAAAAATTCTATTTGTTTACCATCAATGTTAAGTACAAAGTATAAGTACATAACATACTATTTTAGAAATATTATAAGGATTATCATTTGTAATACATACCCATTGAGATGGGCAAAATTTTTCATATTGTTTCCTAAATTCTAAACACTCTGCTTGAGATTTGCCTTCGTCCAAACATTGCCAATATTCATCCCTGCGACTCCAGCAATTCAAACGATCCTCTTTATTTGGGAAAGACATTCTATAACATAAATATACAGAAAAAATTACTTACACATATATTTATCTTTGTTTATTATTTATTTAATTATTTCTTTCTTTTTCTAGACATATAAAAACTATATAATAGACAAATGGCATAATTATGAATTTTAAGGATAAATTTTAATGTATGAATTATATGGATGAACTTTAATGTAAGGTAAAGTTTCTTTAATTTGATAATAACTTTAGATTGACTTTCTTCATAATAGATTATCTCACACAAGATTTTAGATTTTCTCTGTATCACATTAATAATTATGTAGATAAATGTGACAGCAACATGTATACATAAGGAATACACTTACCTATATAGCACTTAGTTTTTATATCGGAACAATTTTATCAAAAATGCACTCACTCACTTTTAAACTACAAAAGTTATTAATGCATAATAAAGTAAATCATGGCAAATAAAATAAGAGAAAAGCATATATATTGAGCATATATATTTGCAAATATGAAATTTATTTTTATTGGAATTTTGATAATAAGTAGAAAAAGACTGATTTGAATTAAAATGCAATAAAAAAAATTATTTATTTCAAATGTTTTAATTAAAATTATAATAAGATAATAAACTACTGTATGATTTGTATTATGATTCTTAGACAAAAATTATTTCCAAAAGTATTAATCTCTTTCAGTATACTAATGTTTTATCAAAATCTACAGAATACTTTTTGTAACATAATTTTATTGAAAATATATTTTTTTATTTTCTCATAATCAAAAATATTAACAGATATGAACAATTAAAAGTAATAAATAAAACTGTATTAAATATAAAAATTGACAAATTTTTTACATCAATTGTACTAATATGTGATAAAATGTGACATAGATCAATTAATCTTGCATCCATAAAATCTATAAAAATTAAAGTAGATGCAAAGTAATTAAATAATATAAAATTTAAGATATATACTTCATAATATTGTTAACAGTAAAAGAATACAAAAATTATATCTGTTTAGTTATATATAGAAAAGTGTTTCCATTATATATATATTTGTTTGTGTGTTAAAAGTATAAGTTATTAGAAATTCTGTCACAAGTGTAGATACATATTTCTCCAATTTACATAATGTAATAGAGTATAATGCATACGTGACAGAATTATGAAATTTAGGAAACAAATACACATTCTAGCATAAAAATTACATATTCCTGCAACTGTTACTCACTAACTAGCTTTAGTAAAATTTACTTAGTTTATTTTTGACTATTTAAAAATAGATTTTCGAAAAAAGTATATCACACATGATCTGCTTATGTAATCAAAACTTCGAAAAGTATGTCAGTTCAATTTAATAAAAATTATTGCAAATACAAATTATCATTACATTTTGATTATACCAATGATAATTGTAATAAGAAAGCAAAATAATCTTTTATTTTTAATAATGTAGTATAACCTCTAAGATTAAGATATAAAAACGATTATGTAAATTGTGATAAAACTTGAGTTATAAATTGCGCAATGTATGTCATGGTAAGATGATTATTTATTGCATCAGGAAAACATTCTGTGATATATATTTATCGGATATATGATTCATAAATCTGTGAATTTAATAATTTATGCATATGAAGATTCGACTAACCTGACTTGATCAATGACGTGAAAAAGTAACAGCTGGCAATAATTCGTACTATCTATGTAAAGCAATCATTTAATTTTGCTTGTAGATAAAAAATCGATTTCGTCGTTTTTCGTCGATGATTTTCAATAGCTAAACTCGTCGTCATTCATCAGCTGTGAAGACTTCATTCTATACACAACCTGTCAACTTTTATGCACCACGTGCCATTCACTTATATTTATATCAATTTTAATCTTATTCTATCAAATTGCCATAATTTCTTAAATAAACAATACTGTGAGACAATTTTTTATAATTGTTTAATATATATAATGAATAATTAAAGATTTTAGAAGAATAAATAAAATAGATATGAGAAAGAGAGAGAAATAAAAAGAAAATAAGTTAGAAAAACACTTACAAATTCTAAATTAGATTTTTTTTTTTTTATCTTTACTTTCTATATTTGCATTCCACTTATTTGTTATATATTCTCAAAATAATGAAAATATATTTTCCTTTCATTTTAAAAACAAAATGCAACAGAAAATGATGGTATGAAGCAAGAGAACAACTATGAAGGGAATACTGCATGTAAATTTGAATAAAGGTTATTTACAAATGGAAGAAAAATAAGAAATTCCTGATTGGCTACGCCATGTTGTTATCACCATTTTAAATAAATCGCGGGAAAATCCTGATTGGTCACTCAACTATGAGAAACTCGTAACGTCAAACGAAACGAATCTTCAGAATCGCGTAATCCCTTCTCTATTATTTCTCATCTTCATGGTGCCGCACGATAGGGGAGCATAATCGCAGGCAAAAAAAAAAAGAAAAGAAAAAAAAGAATGGGAAATGAAGAGAAGGGTGACCGCGCATGTACGCGGTTGTCGCCAATTGTTCGCGAGTGTCGCGAATAAATAAATTTCTCGACGAGGAAGAAGAGTGAATAAAGTGGTGACGAGAGACTTGAAGTCATTCGACAGAATATAGAGTTTAGCGAGGAGGAAAAATCACGTTGCACCAGCAGAGAAGGCCTACGGCCGGACGATGCGCGCATATGTCTAGGCCCGGTGAGACCCAGGTTCTGGCGACAAGACAGGTGAAGAAGAGAGCGGCCGCCGCCAGCGAAACGTCACTCGCCGCCGCCGCCGCTGTCACCGCCGCCACAGCTGTCACCGCCGCCGCCGCCACCGCTGCTGCCGCCACCAATCTTACGGCGGTGCTGGATTACGCGAGCGCTGCCAAGCGCTACAAGCTGGCCGCGGCTGCCGCGGGCATCGCGCAAACGAACGAGATCGACGTGATCGGGGGCGACGACGAGATTATCATCATGACGGACACGGCGACCGACACGCAGAAGCGGGCCAACTTTTCCGCGTTGACAGTCGGCAACCCGAACGGCGTCAACAATAGGATTTCGCCGAGTCTGGCGAACACGAAACCCGGCTCTGCCAAAAAGCTCGTCATCAAGAACTTCAAAAGTAAGCGAGAGCGTGAACGCTCTTGCGCTTAAGACCACTTTGACATAACCTCAAAAGTCAGCCGTTGACATATCCGATGTTTGATGTTGAATATTTTCCTTCAGCTTTCTTTCTCTATCCTTCTTTATTTTTTTTTCTACTTGTGTCAGAGATCTTTGACGTTTTTGTTTTTATATGCGATTGCTTGCGCGAGCAGTGTTTTTATTCGATTTGACGAAACCTACATAACCTAATACATGAATCTCGAAATATTGTAACTCGAGAGATTAACTTTTTTTATGTTATTTGCGTTATTGAATTATATATTATTGCAATTAATTGCGACATTTAAACGCGATTTATATCGGAAAACATTGACGCAATAAATGTCTATTTATAGATATTGTGGTAATAACGTTATAATGCAGAAATCTATAAATGGATACTCACAAGTTTGACTTGACATTTTGTTTCTGTCGCGCTTATATATGTCGATCTCACATTATTCAATTCCTATTTCGTAATTAAAGTAATTTACGCCAAAGTTTATGTAAAATTTAATATTAAATTAATCAAAATCTTTTAATTTTATGTAGCACAAACATTTATTATTGTTTATACTATAATCTTTTTAGATTGCTCAAAAACCGTTTTAAATTATTTATTTTATTATTATTTATATTGAAAAAAGTTGTTAGACAAAATTTCTACTCTAAATGTGAAAAATTGTATTATTGAAATATTAAACAAAAAATATAAATAGATAAACTTAGGTATAATTATATATACTATATAAATATGTAATAATTATATACAGCATATATATGGCAAATTTTAAAATTTTATAATTAGCTTTTAAGAAAGAGTTTTATAAATGTATAAATCTGTGTTTTATTTTATTTATTTTTCAATATACAATGATTTTTTTCTAGATAAACCCAAATTACCAGAAAATTATCAAGAACAGACATGGGAAAAATTGCAAGAAGCTGTGATTGCTATACAAACTAGCAAAAGCATTCGTTATTCTCTAGAAGAACTTTATCAAGCAGTTGAAAATATGTGTAATCACAAGATGGCATCAACACTTTACTCAAATTTGACTATTCTAACAGAATCTCACGTAAAGGCTAATATTGAACAGTTTTTGGCAGAATCCATGGACAGACATATATTTCTGAAGAAAATGAACGAATGTTGGCAATCACACTGTAGACAGATGATAATGATCAGAAGCATCTTTCTATATCTAGACAGGACATACGTTTTACAAAATCCGAGTATCTCATCAATATGGTAATTATATGGCACAAATATTCCTTAAAATAAACTTCATAAATAATTTGTTTTACTCAAAAAATAATTTGTTTTACTTAATTTCCGTTTCCAGGGATATGGGATTACATCTCTTTAGACTACACATTGTATTGAACAATTTAGTGCAAACGCGCACAGTCGAGGGTCTTCTTATGCTCATAGAAAAGGAACGACAAGGCGACACAGTGGATCGAACACTCCTTAAGTCATTATTAAGAATGTTGTCGGATCTGCAAATCTACCAAGAGGCCTTCGAAACAAAGTACATTGTTTATGAAGCTAATTAAATATGTTTATTAATATATTATCTATGTTACTATTTATATATTAGCAATAGTAAACTAATGTAACTTTTATAATTATGAAGAATTTAGATTGATTTCATCGAGTATTGCTGCTACAAAAATATCTTGATACATACATATTGTAATATACAACTTTATTTTTTGTTTAGGTTCCTAGTGGCTACAGAAAGATTGTATGCTGCTGAAGGTCAACGATTGATGAACGAGCACGATGTTCCTGAATATTTGGCTCACGTGGATAAACGTCTACAAGAAGAAAATGAGCGACTGTTGCATTATCTTGATACAGCAACCAAGTAAATTTCTTTATTATTTTCATATATATTATTTTTAATATATTTTTATATATCAAATCAAATATCAACACTTAAATAGAGCATATTGTTGCAAATATTTCTATAAAAATAACTTTCAGGTGGTCACTCATACATACTGTAGAGAAACAATTATTGTCTGAACATATTACTAGCATTTTACAGAAAGGCTTAAGTGGCTTGTTGGATGAAAATAGAATTAGTGATTTATCATTACTTTACAATTTATATAGTCGGATAAAGAATGGCCTTGTGGAACTTTGCTTGAATTTCAATTGTTATATTAAGGTATACATTTTTGTGCTAACAGTATATATATATATATATATATATATGTAGTGTTATTGTTTAAATTCGATATCGTTTTAGAAAAAAGGCAAAACGATAGTTATAGATCCTGAAAAAGATAAAACAATGGTACAAGAATTATTAGATTTTAAAGATAAAATGGATAATATAGTTAATACATGCTTTCATAAAAATGAAAAATTTGCAAATAGTTTAAAAGAAGCTTTTGAAGCTTTCATTAATCAAAGAGCAAACAAACCAGCGGAATTAATAGGTAATATATGTATAATGTATTAATAACAATTGCAAATGTAATACAATATATAGTTATTTAGAGAATTGTTCCAATTAAGTTATTAATGTTTAAACATTGATTATTAAATTTGAATAGATATTGAAAACATTTATATGATTTCAGCTAAATTTGTCGATTGTAAATTACGCGCGGGTAACAAAGAAGCAACGGAAGAAGAATTAGAGAGATTATTAGATAAAATTATGGTACTCTTTCGATTTATTCATGGGAAAGATGTTTTCGAAGCGTTTTACAAAAAAGATTTGGCCAAACGCTTGTTGGTGGGGAAATCTGCTTCTGTAGACGCTGAAAAGTCAATGTTATCCAAATTGAAACAGGAATGCGGTGGTGGATTTACCAGTAAATTGGAAGGAATGTTTAAAGACATGGAGCTTAGCAAAGATATTAATATCGCATTCAAACAGGTAAGGAAAATAATTCATATTGTGTAAAAAAAATTTATGTAATATATTTTTTATTTAATTTGCATAAACTCGACTGTTCGACTTTGTATTTTCATCTGAGATACTTTGTATTTAATGCTAATTATCAATCTTATACAAGATTATTTTGATTTTTGTTTTGTTTAGTATGCAGGAAATTTACAGAGTGAATTAGTGGCAAGTAATTTGGACTTGACTGTATCTATACTTACTATGGGATACTGGCCTACATATCCTGTGATGGAAGTTACCCTGCCGATGGAGATGGTGCAGTATCAAGATGTGTTTAATAAGTTTTACTTAGGAAAACATAGTGGTAGGAAATTGCAGTGGCAGCCAACTTTAGGACATTGTGTATTAAAAGCATGGTTCAATCAGGTATTGCAAAAAGAAAAACACCAATATTATATTTGCAAAAATAATTATTAATTAATGCATAATTTTCTATACGAAAATAGGGTAATAAAGAGCTACAGGTGTCATTGTTTCAAGCATTAGTCTTAATCTTGTTCAATGATTCCGATAACCTTTCGTTAGAGGATATTAAGGCTGCGACAAATATCGAGGACGGTGAATTGAGAAGAACTTTGCAGTCATTAGCATGCGGAAAAGCGCGTGTGCTTCAAAAAAATCCGCGTGGTCGAGATGTCGCCGATAATGACAGATTTGTATTCAATGCGGAATTTACAAACAAACTGTTTAGGATTAAAATCAATCAAATTCAAATGAAAGAAACGGTAATACTCAACAACACATTAAATTTTATATCTTATAGCATATGTTTATATGTGTGTAAAAAAATTTATATTATGCAATATAAATTGATTAAACTTATCCTTTTTTTTCTTTTTTTTTTCCCCAGAATGAAGAACAAAAAGCAACAGAAGAAAGAGTATATCAGGACAGACAATATCAGATAGATGCAGCTATTGTTAGAATTATGAAAATGAGAAAGACACTGACACACAATCTTCTCATCAGTGAATTGTACAATCAATTAAAGTTTCCTGTAAAGGTATATACATACTTTTTTACATAAAAACAATTATAAACATTTATATATTTAGCATAAAATGTGCGACATTCGACATTTTTCAATCTAAAATAATATTGTACATGATCCTCTTTCTAAAAAAAATTAGATAAGCAAATTTATAACATTACATGCAAGATGAGTAAATTGCCATGTTTATTCCTCACATCAATCAGTTAATATTTATTTTTTCAGCCTGCAGATTTAAAGAAACGGATAGAGTCTCTTATAGACAGAGATTATATGGAACGTGACAAGGACAATGCAAATCAATATAATTACGTTGCGTAACCTAAAGCAAATGCCAAAGTTACATCATTAAACGATTGGATTGATGCTGATTTTTCTAGCAAATTGATTCTATCGGTGTTTGTCTATTGTGGATGTGAACAGCTAGTTCAAGCAAGGTACTATATAACTAATCCGACTGTCGATATAAAGTTATAACGCGTGTGATCAGTTTATATAAAAGGAAAAAAGAAAAAGAAGCTCAATATAGTGTGGACTTTCCCCGTTTTGGTTTTCATAGTGCATAAGAGACGCTGAATGATTGCAATCCTCCTTTGAACAGTGTTTTTTCTGAATTTTGTAAGAAAAGAAAGGACCAGAATGCTAATGCAACATATTAGAATATAACAATTTTTTATGCCAACACAGTTTTTCACAGCATACTTACAATTAAGAGGATGTAATAAAGGATGTAAGATGTAATATACATACAGTGACACTACCATGAAAATAGAGAGTAAGAGTGCAATTGCAATATAATTAGTTAATTCAAAAAAATGAACAACAGTGCAGTATTTATAATGAAAATAAAAAAGCGTACTACGTCTTATACATATGCGATCGTGGTACTTATCTTTCGAATCTACAAACTATTTCTGCTGTATCTTCTTATCTCGCCTTCTCAGATATTAAAAGAAAAAAATTATAAAATTTTTCTTTGGATTTTTTAAAACTATAAATAAAAATGAAACATATATACATATATATTGCAGCTATAAACCTTAAACATAGTATATATGCAAGTTTATAATTTTAATCAATAGAATATAAAAAATAGTGTCCAGGTCATCATTAACCGAACCTCAGTTACACATAAAGAGATAAATAAGATTTCAATAAGCAGAAAACTTCTATATGATATAGGATTCGCGATTGTTATTAAAATAAAAAATATATGTCGTCTAATTATTGAAAATGTTGCTATGCGAGAATAAATGATCATTCAGTGGTTTGTTTCGTGTCCATATATTTGTAAATTAAGTTAGTAAATGATACGAATGTGTGTATAAAGAACAGGAAATGTTCTTTTTGACGGAAAGTTTTAAATCCAAGAAACATCGATATATAAACGCAGTACAATGTAAATACATACCTGATCAGAAAAGATTTTGAAATTAGTTTTTTAATCGAAAAGACAGTACTGCCAGTAAACTGTTTTGGAACATCGTTTATGCTCCCATAGATCATAATTTTATGTTGCCATGTACAGATTTAGGATAACCTCAGGGGATGTGAAAAGGTAGAGTATACATATAAATTAATATTTACTCACAAATTACCTTATACTGCGTTTGAATTATATGTACAATACTATAAAACTTATTTTTTTGTAATAATTCATAAATTTAACATTGTACATAGAAAATATAAAGGATTCTGTACTTATAATAAAATACAACTAAGAAAAAAAAGAAATTAATGCTGCTTAATAGTATCATATCAATTATTTATAATCTCATGAGAAAAATGTAGAAAAAATTATATAGAATTCCATTTATTTACTATGTTTTTAATAATTGTTTTGATATTGAAGTTAATTTGTAATTAACTCCTAATTAAAAATAAATCAGAGTCCTAAAAAAAAGAAATATATAAATGACAGAAATATACTCTTCTAATTAAATTTAAGTGAATTTTAAATTGTCAATTTTACATTGAAATTCAATTTTAATTCAAAATTTTGTTATAATGTTGAAAATTACTTTAGTAAATAATTTTGTGATGCAGAAAAATCGATTAATCATATTGTTATTAAAACGTAGTAGGATATACAGAACTATCTAGAAACAATCTATGCAGTATATTTTATTCATACTTTTTTGTTATAAAAATGTATTCTATACATCCTATTCTGAGGAGTTTGTTATACAAAATTGTACAACACATGTGCAAAATATCACATCTGCTACAATCTATAAATTCTGCTATATTGCAAGTTATGAAAATTTTATACCGTTACGTTGTTTTATGGTTTCCACGTGCAGATTCTTCATATCTACTTCGTTAATTAACGATTTTGCAAATGTAGCAGCATTAGCTTCCTTGTTCAAGAAATCTGACACTAACTGCGATGCTGGCTTACCGCCTCCATGTGCCAAGCATTCCCTTCGATAACGATTACCCGCTGATCGACAAAAGGGATCGTTATGGAAATACGTTTGCCAAATCCAGGCAGCGATTGCACGAGATATTAGATAAGAATAATATTTTGCACCGTATCCAACCAAATGAGAAAATCTCAATTGCCACGCCTGTTAAATATATTAATTATAGTATTAAAAATCATACAATCTAATTAATTGTGTCAACTAAAAATCCTAATTTAAATCATTCTATTATTTAATCGCAAAATTTATTCTAGTTGTTTGACCAAGTTCTTATATAAATTAATTTTGATAAATTAATTTAATAAATAATTTAAAATATAAAAGACATTATTCATACAAAAGAAATATTGTATCTTTTAAGATTTTTAATTGATTTTATAATTATCTACTTTTTTTTATAAATACGACCTTATATAGATTATTTCATAGAGTCAATAGAAAAAACACATGAAAATACATACTGTGTTTTCTACATATGGAAGACCATAATATTCCTTTTGCACATCCGCTAAAATCTTGCTAGTGGATTTTGTTATTTTACCACTATGATACACTTGATCTAGCATACTGTAGAATACTTGATTCTGTAATTCAGAAGCGCAGAAAATGTTTTTCGAAGCGCACAGCTTGTGCAATAAATTTTCCGGCATTGGTTCTTGAGTTTGAAAATGTTTTGCAAATTTTGATACAACCTGTGATTGTGCAGATAAATTAAAACACGTTATGTTTAAGTACGAACAAACTTATATACACTAGAATTTCAATAAGCCTAATTTATATTATTTATAATATTTATGTTATTAATGTATATTTTTTACCCTAGGATCACTTGCAAAATACTCCATCAGCACACTCGGAACTTCTGCAAAATCTGTGCTGCATCTAGTACCAGTAACATGCTGATATTTTGTTCGCCCGAGCATAGAATGCAAGGCATGGCCCATTTCATGAAACAGATTGTCCACAGATGATGGACTTAATAAACATGGATTTGACCAACGTGGCTGCGGTAATGATAGCATAAGTACAACTATAGGATTCTAAAAGCAAAATGATGCTATGATAAAATCGTCAAAATTTCTGCAATTGTATGTATATATCTATGAATAACAACAAAAACTTGATAATTCTGCTAAATTATTAACAATATACATAGTTATTAATAATTATATATATTTACTTGATAAGAATCATCTGGTAGTTGCTTTCCACCTTGAATTGTAAAATGACAGTCTTGATTAGGCTTCCCTACTCTTTCATAGAAATCACAATAGATATAACCCAAGATTCCTTCCTCTTCATCTATTACAGCTAATTTATGAATGTTATTCGCCCACACTTCTCCAGATAACACTGGGACAGATTCAAGCTTAACTCCATACAATGATTGTGTAAGGATATTTAAACCCTCCATACAAGCACCGAGGGAAAAGTATGGAGCAAATTCAGTGGAAGAGGTATTTAACCAAGTTTTCTTCGCTTTTGCCATGAAGTAGGCAGTATCCCATGGCATCAATTTCTGTTTAATAATTCAAATAAATAAATAATTTTACAATTGTAAAACATATACCCCCTAAAGATGAATACGAACTTGTTTCAGATGCGATTCAGTATTTTTCATCTTTTGCATTTCTTGAAAATCTTGTGCTGCTTTAGACTGCAAATTGTCATTCAGTATATTAAGAAATTCTTTCACTACAACAGGCGACTCGACCGTGCTCCCTTTCACAGCTCTATAAAATAATAAGTTTTTAATCTATGTTTAATTAATCTATGTTAATAATACGTTTTTAATCTATGTTTTAATATATATTTAATATATGTTTAATATATGTTTTAATATATGTATTTTTTTTATTCATTCATATTACCTGTGTGCATATGATGGAAAGCCACAAGATTCTGCTAGTAAGTGTCTGGAGCTCAAAAGTTCGTGTAATAGATAATCTTGCTCTTTATCCGGGAAAAGAAACAATTTATACGCCGCTTCGCGAACAGCAGTGTTGGAGGAGTCTGTATAAAATCCTTGCACTAATATCTGACCGTTGTCCGTCACAAAACTGTGAAACGTATCCGATATCAACGAGGTACCTTTCTAAAGCTTATACCTTTGAAAAGTTTTAAACAAAACAATAAAATTGTTTTAACGGAGCAACGCGAGTAATCGATTGAAATACCGCACTTACTATTGTCTAATAACATCGGGTAATGCGTCAGCGTCAACTGTCCTCGGAGTCACAGCACCAGCCATAAATCTTTGACCCACCTGAGAGAAAAAAAGAAAAAGCACATATGAGTATATGGTGATTAAAAATATATCATTTAATAATACTTACTTGCAAAATATAATCATTTAGCTCAACTACTTTTCTCCTCTGCCTTTCTGGTAAGTGTATACCACATTGTTCGAAATCAAATAAAAATAATTTAGCTACATGATTATCTATATTGGATGTCACTTGAGTATCACCGTTATTTGTCACTTGTTTTAATATATCATACAGCTCACGATGTGTGTTTAATCTATTAAATATTGAGTTAATAAATATAATTGAGTCATAGTTTACAAATCAAGCTTACTGTGGTACCTCTCTCTCACAATATTCATTCAAAATTAAAATTATTGAATGCTTTTTATTATACCTTCTTATATTACTTAAAAATTTTCTAGTTCAAATAAGAGAATACAGTTCAATAGAAAAAACTTCTATAGCAGAAATTACCATACAAAATATATAAAATATAAATTATTAACATTTTTAATTCTACAATGATATAATAAAGAAACATTCAAAATAAAAGTAGCTGTTATATAATACTTAAATGTATAATTAATAAATTTATTGTATAAGAAATAAACTTGCTTTTCAACTACACCACTGATAGTTATACAGGCATCTTCGGCAGCTCGAACATACTGTTGATCAGGATGTGCAACTCTAATAAACTCAGCCATATCTGCTACTTTACATAGTGTATTAGATAATTCATCAAATATTTCCACCATTTTTCTCTTTCTGTTCTTGTTTACAGCTTCATCAATAAGAACATTTACATGTGCTAATGCACGATTTTTCAATATGTCAAAACCATTTTCATCTTTTAACTCCGGAATACCAAATATTCCCTTTAAAAAATGTTTAAGTAATAAAATATATGTTATAAAATGTGATATAAAAATATAAAGTCAATACTACATTATATATTAATTCTGTTTAAATTAATTATAGCTTAATTCTGTTATTATAAATTGAATACTACTACTTGACTACTTACTGTTTCTTTCTTCAATAAATTTACTGAGTGATTTTCATCATTAATAGTTGAATTAAATGCTGTGGCGAGATGTGACCACGTGTTTAGTCTTCTGCCACTTCGTAGATGTCGAAAAATTTGTCTCTCAAATATTCGTAGCATCTTTCAGAAATGTGAAAGTTATATGAATAGACAAGTCATCCAGACATTAACATGTATTAATACAATCTCTATGATATAATACAACACTATTTTGTGTAGCTCTAAATATTTTATAAAAGAAAAAAATAGAAGCAAGATAATTTGCAATAATTAAAATTGTGTATAGTGTATATTTATAAATATTTCTAATAACTCTCTTCACAAACTGAAATATGCGCAGAGAATTTTCCATATAAACACATGCACATAAACACTCTATAGTGTACTAAAACGAGCCTTTCCTATACCATCTTATATATAGAAAATCGGGGTCAAGAATTGGATTTTGACCAATCAGCTGACAAGTTGCTTTGCTCCGATTGGTCAATCCACAAACGTTAAACATCATCGATAATCTCAATCGTAGTGTAATATAGCCTTTACGTTTGACAATTTCGTTGCAAGTTGCAAGTTATGAATGACATATCGTCTGTGTGTGACTGCGTAGTTTACTTATTTACAATATATACGGAATAATTCTCTCTTTCATAAACAAGAGAGAATATATATATTTTCGCCCACATTATTTATATATATTCCCGTTAAATTATTACGAAGTAAATATTTCATTTCGTGTTAGGTTAGCCGGTATTTAGCAGATCGTGAAATTAACAAAAAATATTTTCAGTGATGAGAAAAATATTATTGCGGTTTGCTCCTTGATAAATTATTATAATAAATTACAGCCAAATTCTTTAAGTATTCATTATGGCAACACCAAAATTTCCTATGAAAGAAACACAGTTATTACGTATGTATTATTAGATATTAAATGCAATTAATTTGAATTTTATATTATTAACATGTATTGTATTATTTTAGCTGATCAACATGAATTTGTTGTGCCAAAAAAGCATATCAAAATTCCGACTGACATGGCAGCTTGGCAAAAGTCTGAAGCATACTTTGTAAGATAATTTCTGTAGTTGTTTTATTGTAATTTTAGATTAACAATATTATTAAATAACCAGAATAATGTATATATATATAAAGAATATTTTATTTTCAATAGTCTTACATAAACATTTAATTTTTTTCACATTTATATAATAAAATTTTATTTATAGGAATATTTGGGATTTATTTTAACATTAAATGAAGCTGTTCAAGGCAAAGCTTTAGATGCAGAGTGTTCACAATCTTCTTTAGTGAATAATGTTGTACAAATGTTAAACAAATTTGATGAATGGATAACAGAAATTCCACCCACTGAACAGCCCCAACGATTCGGTAATAAATCATTTCGTACATGGCATGAAAGACTACAACAGGTATGGTATTAGTGCTTTATTTAAAAATAATTAAGATTTATAAGATAACTTATGATAATTTTACTTTATGACTGATTTTTTTATTACAGAATGCAGTAGAGGAATTGAAACAGGTATTGCCAGAAGAATTACATCGTGCAATCATAGAGATAGTTCAGTATTTATGTGAGAGCTTTGGAAATCCAACTCGTATAGACTATGGAACAGGCCATGAAATGGCTTTTCTCATGTTTCTCTGCTGCATGTTTAAAATAGGCGCATTTAAAAATGAGGATAAAGTTGCTGTTGTAATAAAAGTATTTAATAGGTATTTTAATTTTTAGTAATTTGTCTGGTTTGTTATACAAAATTGTTTTTAATTTTATTTTTTGGGTCAACTTTAGTTATTAAATTTTTTTATATATTAAAGGTATCTTGAATTGGTACGTAAACTTCAGTTGACGTATCGTATGGAACCAGCAGGTAGCCATGGTGTTTGGAGTTTAGATGATTATCAATTTGTACCTTTTATATGGGGAAGTGCTCAGCTTATTGGTATTAATTTCTTTTTAATAATATAGTAATAAATATTATTTTAAAATTAAACTTTTAATGTATTTTATATAATGTAATATTTTAGGACACGCTCGGATAGAACCTCGTCATTTTGTAGATCAAGGTATTGTAGAAGCTTACAGCAAGAAATACATGTTCCTTGGCTGCATTGAATTTATTTCACAGGTATAAAAAGAATTTGTACAAAGATATAATACTGTGTTATTATTGTGATATACATTATCTATAAAAATTTAAAAATCTATGTTTTAACATTTATGTTTGTTTCATTAGGTGAAAATAGGACCTTTTGCCGAACATTCAAATCAATTGTGGAATGTTAGCGCAGTATCCTCATGGCCAAAAGTAAACAGTGGTCTTATCAAAATGTATAAAGCAGAGGTAATTAATCAATAAAATAATCACATATCAAGCTCTAAATGAAATAAATTATTGTTTTTGCTTCTCAGGTATTGGCAAAGTTTCCTGTTATACAACATGTCTTCTTTGGCTCCTTGTTACCATTAACACCAATGAATGCTCCCCCGAACAGAGGAGCTAGTCTCAATGTATCATCACCACCATCAGGAAAAACCTAATGAAAACGAAATGGCATGCATATTAAATATGTTTATTCTGTGTGGATTGTTTTATTCCCACTATTTAGAATAAAATTATACATTATTCTTACACATTTCAACATCTCATTCTATAGTGCTTTTGATAGCTGAGGATGTGTTTATTTAGTTTGTCAAAAATTCGTGCATTCATAATTATATGAAATATAAAAGACAATATTTTTATACATTGCGAGTGTATAACATGATAGATAATATAAAAGTTATGTTATTTAATGATACAAATTTATTTATGAGATATTGCGTTTAATTATGATATAGACATAAAATAATAGATAATTTTGTAAGCATTTCCTCTCAATAAAGATATAAAAACTTGTTTTATACAAAAATCTAAATTTAACTCACAAGAGTAGAGTAGTTTATTTTGAATATAATGTTTTATGTAATATAGTTATTATTATATAAAAATAAACTTCTTATGTCTGTAATATAGTTAAGTATGTTTTATGTAATATAATATTTGTAATAATAATAATTCTCAATTTTAAAATTTAGTGCCATATTTGGCCCGAGCAAGAAACAAAATGATTGGTTATCTTTTCTGATGATGCTCCAATTCTTATATATTTTTAATCAATGCTTGTTTCCGTAGAAACCAGCTGTTGTCAAGTCAGGTTTATCACGCATGCGTCACAATGACACTAATGGAAAGTGGAAAAAATGTGCCTGAAAACAAACGGTTTACTCGTCGTTTGACAAATATAATTCTGTTTCTGTGACAAGAACTTGTGCAAAATATTCAAAGTTTTATATTGAAATTATATATATTTTATAGAAAGTTAAGAATATTAAATTTAAGTCATTACAATGCTCAGAATATCAATTTTTATATTATTTTTGATACACGTCGCCTATTGTCAAAATCATGACATTGACATAAACGGCTACATTGCTTTTTGTCCCTGTATGGGACGTTTTGGCAATCAAGCGGATCATTTTTTAGGAGCTTTAGGATTTGCCAAGGCTTTGAATCGTACTCTCCTGTTACCGGCATGGGTCGAATATCGTACAGGAGAAACGAGATCCGTGAGTGACATTTCTATACAATATAGACATTGCAATATTTATTAACATTATATGCAAAAAATCCAATTTAATTTCTAGATACAAGTACCTTTTGATACCTATTTTAACGTCTCGCAAGTACAAAGCTGCCACAAAGCATTATTAATGGAGGACTTTATGAGAGACGTTGCACCAACGTTGTGGCCACCTGAGGAAAGAGTATGTAAGTTTTACATATTAATTTATATAAAAGAATAAACTTCTTATGTCTGTAATTTTTCCCTTAGCTTTTTGTTATTCGTCTCGTACAGGAAGCGAGGGAGAGTCCTGCAATGCGAAACAAGGAAATCCATTTGGTCCTTTTTGGGACACATATAATGTAGATTTTGCTCGATCAGAATTTTATGGTCCGCTTCATTACGACGTGCATCACACTGACATGAAGGTGCAATGGCGAAAACGCTATCCAGCTGCGACTTGGCCGGTGCTAGCGTTCACAGGCGCACCCGGCAGTTTTCCGGTACAATTCGAGAACAAGTATCTACAGAAATGTCTTAATTGGAACGACGATATGCTCGATAAAGCAAAGGCGTTTATAAAAGAAAAATTACCAAAAGGTGCATTTGTTGGCATACATTTGCGGAATGGAATCGATTGGGTAATTGCACTTATTAAATTTTAATGCAAAGAATACAAATTTTATCCTAGAAAATATTTTTCTGTTTCCTTCAGGTACGCGCCTGCGAACATATATCGTTCACGCCGAATCTTTTCGCCGCACCTCAGTGCCTTGGATATCGCAACGAACGTGGTAAAGCAACCATGTCTATGTGCCTACCATCGTTCGATTTAATAGTACGTCATCTGAAACGTGTCATTCGCAATGGCAATGATATCAAATCAGTATTTGTGGCTTCTGACAGTAATCACATGTTAGATAAACTCGGAGAATCTTTGGCACGTATGAAGGTAAGCTTTTATGTTTATTATATTATTAACACGTTATTAATGATATTAATTGTTAATATTATTAATATTAATCCTTTCACATTGTCATCTCTATATTTGTAGATACCAGTATTTCGGCAAGAGTCGTCGGCATCGCCTCATTTGGATTTAGCAATTCTTGGAAGGGCTAATTATTTCATAGGAAATTGTATCTCTTCCTTCTCTGCTTTTGTAGCAAGAGAAAGAGAAGTCAAGGGATATCCGACATTCTTCTGGGGCTTTCCTAACGAAAGATCTTCTACATTTCATTCAGAATTGTGATTTTTGTAATTTTTTATAATTTTATATATTAATAAATTAGTAATTAAACATTGATTTTGGAAAAAATACAATCATAATGCATACAGAGCAAGCCAGATCAATCAGAGTGATATTCTGCAAAGTATTTTCAGTCTGTAATACAAATTATTCCATAAAAAAGTAGAAAACACGAATCTACTTGACTTACAACGTACTCTATTTTACTCATACTTATACAAATATTTGCATATAAAAATATGAATCTCGACTGAACATTGATCGCAGTAAAATTGCATATCTTATAATATTATTCGCTTCCTATATCTCGCATGTTGCACAATGTTTCTTGTAAAACACGAGCAAAATCCTTCGTGTTAGTCTTTTCGCAAGCTCTAAACGAAGAACAGGCGAATAGAATATCTTTTGCTCGTGGATTGTAACAGCAACCATAACCGTCGGGAACAACCGGTCCATAGCACATGAAAGAGGCTGAAGTATATGGTACCTTTATAAGAAAAAAAATTAATTTGCATTAATTTTCATATCTATAATTTTTTATAAAAATATCAAACTTCTCACATATTTTAAAAACTTTGTTTCTGAGTTACCTGACTCGATGTTAAATTGAAATATGTACTTTTGGTATAACCAATATCCTTATACAATTCTGGAAGCTCCATTCCTTCACTCTGCGCTATCATTTTTAAGCCGAATAAATGTCGATCGACACCTTGGCCTAACGCAGCCTGTGCAAAAGAAATGGTGAACTCTAATTTATACATCAAATTCTTAAAACATTGATTGAAGATACGCTTTAATTTAAGCAAAGAAATATATCTTACTTGTCCAGCTATATTTTTATGAGCATTTATAGCTCTGATCATTGCTTCTTTCTTTTGTGCTTTAGTTTTGCAACCAGCATCGTAGAGCATCATTTCTGCAAATTCGACAGACTCGGTGCTAGTGGATCTGATGCACTCGGTTCTGGCATTAATAAATCTTCGTAATGCCGCGCTTTCGTAATGCGCTGGCGGTTTTCTTTGCAAGTTGTAGAAAGTTACTTGCATTGCGATCTGGATAAAACTGTCGGGACTCAGTTTAATTGCTTTTATCGCGTCCGCACCGAACTTATCGAATGTAAAACATTCCATGTCTATGTCCTCTGAAAGTCTGAAAAGATCGTATTTATACTTTTGATTATTCCAACATAATATGTAAATAATAATCTTGTAGATATAATCACCTACTTGTCTACTGAATCAGTAGCTTTCTCGATTGCATTCTCTATAACATCATTAGTTTCAAATTTTAAGAGCTCTGCTCTAGAGACATATTTAGAATCTTCACACTTTGCGCTACTTTCTCTTACCGCTCTGAAAATAAATGAAAACTTTATTTACATATATTATAAGAGAGCGGAATTACTTAGTAATTATTATTTACATGTATTTTAATACATAATCGTGAAGAACAGCAACTGGAACACCCTCACATGGGCAATGTTCATATTCCATACCAATGTAACCATCCGCGGATACTATATACTGCAAAAAATGACCTTTGTTTATCTCAACATCAAGATATGATTTCGAATATCTTATCAGTTTTAAATTATATTTTTATTTTTAATTTATAATTAATATTTATCAATCAGAGATACTTCACCTGTACAGTTTTATCATGCCACCTATTGCCTGCATTTAAACAGCTGTTGAAGCCTGTCAAAGCCTGAACTGCTCTAACTGAAGCATTATTTTTTTCCTTAAAAGCATCTTTAGGTATATTTTTGTCCAGGCACAGTATAAATAAGGATGTTTCTATATCCTTGATTATACTTCTGTTATTACCCAATTCTGAAACAAATACAAAATAACAGATGACACTAGATGATAATTATAAACAAAATTATATATGCAGAAAGATGCAGTTTGTTGCAAAACAAAAGTAAATTGAAATAAACCTATAAGTAAGCTATGGTCCTTTGCCCAAGTATCTCTGTCGTTTCCAGTTAAAATTCCTACAGGCTTCCCTGGCATACATGAGCGATCTGCAATATCTTTTATAGCAGTCACGAGTTTACCCTCACTTAAAATGCCATTTTCGTCGACAATGCAAAGTTTAAAAAACTGTAATATAAAATAAAATGTATTCAAGTATATCACTTTCCATTTAAATAATTATACTCACATGATTATTACTTATGATTATTATGTGTTTGGACTCATCTGTATGCAACAGTTTATCAATATTTTTGTTGGGTTGCCTATGTGTGCCAAGTATCATGCCGTAAGGCTGCATGTCAAGTGGATCATTGCGAACCATTTCTTGTTTCATCTTTCCACTGTAATGTCACAATTACAGTTAAGTATATTGGAAAGACGCACAAAGAGAATATTATAAAAAACTATATAAAACTTACCTCTTGACCATTTCATTGTAATTACAAACTGCAGCAACGAGACGTGCTGCAAATAGATATATATCATCCGGTCTGTTGAAAGTAACTGGTGGTCCAACAGTTCCAGGACTAGAATGTACAATAACAGGAGCACGATATCCCAAGTATGCAACTTGCAACCACCAATCTTTCATCTAAAAATTATTAAATATTAATTAAGTATATTATTCATCTAATCAACAGATTAACCGATTAAAATGTATAAATGCAACAAGTACCCAATTATCAGTGCTTTGATATTTCTCCAATAATTTAGCATGTAATTGAGGTCCTACACCAGTGTTGCTTATAAATTCATTTACAATTCTCTCTGTATTTTTATGTTCTTCATTGGTCAACAATGGCTTCAAAGACCTATAAATTATAAATATAAGGTATTAATAAAAAATATAAATAAATTAACATAAAAATAATGTATTTAAGCTAAATATGTAATAATTATTTATATATTTATTGATATATATGTTAAAAAAAATAAAAAATAAACATATAAAATAAAACAAATAAACAAAAAATAAACCTCAAATAACGCTCTGCAGTTTGCTTGAGATCAGGAACAGGTTGTTTGGGAAGTAGTTGCTTATTTAGATTTAAGGTTGTTATAGATGGTCCACGAGAACTTGATGGTGTTCTACGCAGTTCATTGTAGACCTGTTGATTCAACTTTCTTGAGTTTTTAGTTCTATATGAAAAATTGATAATTATATGTACTTACTGTATACTTTGACACGTTAGATAATACTTTGTACATAGTTGGTTTCTCTAAAAAACTTGAGGCTGATCCCACTGTAATACTAGAGAAATAAAAATTGATATTTTCGAAGATAAACAAAAAAAATGAGAAATAAATAATATAAAACGGATGTTAAACGAGACGAATGTTTAATGTAGCACACTATTTGCAAAGTAGGTCATCTGTCAAAAGTGTCAAAAATATCTCTGTAGAGAGATGTCACTCCCATACGTGCTTAAATACGCGCGTTAATCAATTGACAACCCTACCATTATCTAGGTTTACATTACATTAAATTGTTAAATGATACACATTGTGTATGTGTGTGTGCGATGGACATTGGACCGATCATCATAATTGGAATCATCGTATATTGTATACATATATATAGCCTATATTCATTTCGCGAACTTATTATTAAGAATAAATAATAAATAGAACAAAATATACATACGCATCCATATGATAAAAAGTAAAATTCCTTTCTGCTTTAGCAAACGACGCAATAATTAATGCACAAAGTCGTTAAAAAACCAATTAAATCTAGAAAGCAGAAGCAGAAATGTCATATGTACGTCTTATCTTTTGTGTGTAAGAATACACGTATGTATACAAGATTTCTCCAGTCACGTTTGATAAAAAGCGCTATATTATGCATTTCAAATCATGATATCGACAGATTGAAAATGTAAGAGAAAGAAAACCGGTTGTTTATTTTTTTACATTATTTATGGTTGACGACATATGAACTGATGTATAAATCGTGGTTATGAGATTTATCTGCAGAACAATTATATAGTTAAAAGAGTTTAGTAAAGTTATTTAAATGTGTATATTACTTATTAAAGAATATATATATATATATTAACTGTTTGAAAAATATATATAATATTTATATAATAATATAATATATATAATATATAATGTATTATATAATAAATAAATACATATATATATTTTATTATATATATATATATATATATATATATATATATATATATATATATATAATATAGGCATTAATTTTTTTATTCAGATTCTTTGATAAATTTAGAATCGGTTTTTCTATAGCAAATATATCAAATAAAAAAATTATTTATCGATGATTTATCGCTGCTTTCTAATCTTTATGAACATTTGAATTTCCTTTTCAAAATACAAGTACACTCTTTATATATCTCTCTATTTAAACAACTCTAGGGAATTTCTCCAATAAAAATCTACTTGTTGAAATATAGTAACTTTTCTAGTTGCTCTAGTTACCGGAGATGGCGTCGTTGTTTTTATCTCTCTTTGGAATTGATAATCTATGTTTTTAGATTGTTCCAAGATTGTTGTTCTACATCGGTGATCGGTGTTGATTTCAATTATCGGTGTCAAAGATACTTATTTACGATACTTTATTAATTACAGTTTTGATATTTGACGATTTTGCAATAGTTTGGAGCAATTTACGGGATAATCGCACAATAAAAATGGCAGATCCTAAATACGCCGATTTACCTGGAATTGTAAGTGCTTTTCATATTTTCTCTTTTGTCTGCTTATATTTTACTGTCAATTATATGTCACTGATGTGAGAGTGAATACAATTTATACAATTTGTACATTTTTAGGCATACGACCAGCTTGATGTCTACGAGACGAGCGATTTGCCAGAATCGGAGCAAATGCGAATGTACTGTGAGGTAAGTTACATATATCTGCATATTACATATATTTTAATATTCAGTCTATTAATTGATAATTGATTTTTATTCAGGACGAACCTGATAGTTCTTGTGTGGAGCAGTTACACATCAGTGCTAAAGAAGCATTCAATAAATTTAAGGGCAAACAAATTGTTGGAAAACCTGTTGATTTTTCAGATCGTTTGTCTAACAAGCCACGGACAGGTTATAAGTAAGTACTGATGAAATTAATGAAATTTTATATACAGAACGATATATAAGAGAACATTTTTAGATTTGGAGATTGGGAACTTGTCAGTGAAGGTGAGAAGGAAACTCCACTTCAAAAATACCAGCGACTACAGTGTGAAGTTAAGGAATTGTTTGAAGAAATAAATGAATTGAAGGTATATTGTTGTCAATATAAGATGCTAAAATTGTTTTATTGAATAATATAGACACACATGTATATTGATAATATGTGCAGGAGAAATCTAAGGACGAAGTAGAAATCAAGTCTGCAAGTGAGATTATTTCTCAAGCACAGCAGATAGAAAAACAATTAATCTCTCTAAAATTAGAAGACTGTCTAGGACCTGATGTTGTTGCCAGTTTATCTGATCCACAAGGCACAATGCTTAAGTATGGCATTTAAAGATTATAATTTATTATATATAGACATCTTTTTATAACAAATTATATTAATACTTCAGGCAATTGATATCACAGATAGAATTATTTAAACAAACCAACATGCCTTCACCTAAGTCGTCATCAGAGGATAAGAAGGCAGAATCAGGTGAACATGGTATTCTTAAATATCAAATGATGTATTTCCCAGAAAAAGCAAGAATGCAGGAAGCTGCTAGAATTGCACAACTCGAACAAAGACTTTGCTGCCTAGAAAATCTTGTAGGGACAAGTAACGATAAACTTTCTAAATTTTCACAGGTAGGATCACTTTTTAAGTATAAATGCTTCAAGTAGATTTATAAATTCATTCTTTTTCACAGAATCTTAAATGTGATGGCATAATGGAAGCTGTACAACAACTAGAAGCAAGGACTTCATTGTTAGATGTTAATCAATTGGATACCATTGAAACAAGATTAGGCACTTTAATGTACCGAATGGACAGCATTGCACAGAAAAAAGCGACAGCAGAACAAGATTCAGAGCAAGAGCAAAAGGTGATATATCATACAAATTAATACTAATATTATAATTAATGATTATTAATTCTAATAATAGTATTAATCATTTATATTATATTTTACATATATATAACATTAATATCTTGTGTGAATCCTTTTCATAGATCTCAGAGATGTATGAAATTATGAAAAAACAGATGCTATAGCGCAAATATTGCCACAAACGGTAGAAAGGTTATTGACATTGAGTGATATTCATCAACAAGGTAAAATTATTAACAAACGTATAAATATGTGTACAAAGATTATATTCTAAAAGAATGTATTGAATTTTAGCTGCTACCTTCAGCAAATCTTTAATAAGATTAGAAGAGCTACAAGCAGAAATCTCATCTGGATTGGATAGTAACAAGTCTTTATTGAAAGGGGTGCAGGAAAGTTTTGCTTCTAATATGGAGGTTATAAAGAGTAATATAGCATTGCTCGATGAACGTATTAAAAAACTTAAAAAGTGATCAAAATAGATTAAATCTAGTTACGAAAGTAAGTATTGCTGTACAACTATATTGATATTATTTTCTAAGATTATTTTATTCGGAGCTTTATATACTCCCTATTATGTTATTTATTTTAGAAATTCTATTTCCTCTTTATACACGACTGTTTTGTTCTTACACATTTTGCAAGTGTATTATTCAATTTCTAAAATATAATTGCTAAAATAATGAGCCTACTAAAATTGTTCAGTATAATGCACAAGTTAAAAATATATAATAACTTCATATGTAAAGCATGCAAACTAAAATAAAGTAAAACTTCAGTAAAAAAAAAAGTTAAGTTTTATTGAACACTTTTTTAAATGAGGTAACTGTAGATTATTAGCTATTAAATAATACAAGTATTAAAATAATTAAATTAAAAGCAAAAAAATAAATAATTAAAGATATAAAGGTTGATATATTTTTACATAGGATTATGTATGTGATGGAAAAATGTTCACTTTTTTTATATCTGTATATCAGACTTTTATTTAAAAACAATTAGAATCTTAACTTCTGGAAGAACCACTTGTTCTTACCATTTTTATACCTGGAAAGAAAAAATAAATTTAGATAATAGCACATTACAAATATAAATTTTGCAGTAATGACAAAATATTGAATTACATACCTCTCCTCAAATTTGACACGTGTCTGGAAACGGACCTTCTTGCGTTTCATTGGGTCTTTAAGATCTTTAGGAGCTACTTTATCCAATTGTAAATCTACTGTGTATCTCGTTGGCATTAAATGGTTGTAATTTAGAATCTATAAATATAAAAAGTTGTATTAAGATATAAGTCTTACATATATAAAAAATTCTGAGACATTAAAAAGTTCGATGTTTTAAAATATAAAATCTATAAAGGAAAAAAAAACAAATTTACCTTAACAAAAGCTTTGATTTTAGAGCGTTTATGCAACTTTCCCTTTCCCATTCTTTTGTGGACCTTGCGTGGGTACCGGTCAATGCCTGCAACCATAGCATGTCCATACTGTTTTTCTGCAGTTCCATCATCATAGTTGCGCATAACGATGGCTTTTCTCCCTGCGTACCGGCCACTGAGGACCAGCACGACTTTCCCAGTCTTCATAATCTTCACCATGTTGGTGATGTGTACTGTAAAGGAAACAGACCATGTAAATAATCGCAGCAAAAGGATTTCAAACATAAACTACGCACATGCCCTAATAACTTTCTCTGTACAATTTCATAAGTTTAGCACAGTATTATTTTTTTCTTTTTAAAGAAAATGCTATCAAAATATCTTTGTTAATAATGTAAACATTCCAGGCTTGAACACAACATAATTACTCGTACTTCTACATCGAAAATCTGAAATTGTAAGAGAAAAAAAAGAAACGAAAAGCGTTGCATTATCTTAGTATAACGAAAAATAACAATAATCGCAAAAGATTGACCAAAACCGAACAGTCGGTTTTATTGACAAATGTGACGTTCATGGTTAGAGTTAACCTCTCGCAATTTGGTTCACCGACAGAAGTCTTGAAAAACTCGAGGACTCGAATATCAATGTACGAGCGAAGATCGCAGACCGTGTTAATTATAAATGCGATGCGAATACAGAAAGAAAACCTATCTAATTTACGATGTCTAAGGATTTAATTCTCGATGTGACGAGTAACACACACCTCACAATTTCTCGTACCGGATAAAAGGAAGTTAACCCCACTTTCGCGCGGGATTATCACGAATTTAGAGCGATAGATGTCGCCCTGTTCACATCCGGTAATCTCGGCGCGCAGAAAAGAAGTGAGAGAACAATTATTTGCTCCGGAGACTTGAGAGAGGTAACATATATCTTTAATTTAATTATATGTTCTTTATTTTGTTTTTTAATTCTGTTACTGGTAACAGATATATCTTACATCTTTTAAGCATATTTCGATTATTGATGATTATTCATTGTCTGCAGCAAAATTTCTATACATTATATTTTTACTGTATGTTTTTTGTCTTCTCTCTCTCTCTCTCTCATTTTTCTAAAAATTGACCGTACGCTAATGCCCTCTCGGTAAATATTGCGCGACACAGAGTATCATATTCTATCTTTGTTTGCTGGTATATTGAAAGAAGATAGATATACGCTATGTCGTTTGGTATCATTACTAGAAAGCATCCTATATTAAGTGAATTTTCATGGGTATACGTGTATATATATATACATAATAATAATAATGCAAAATCTGTGTGATACAGGAGGAATTCATTTGTTGTCCTTGGACAGATACGGACGTGTTTCGACAGGTTTTCACGCGTGAATTGATGTTTGGATTATGCAGTAAGTGTTGAACCGACAACCTTTATATATTAATCCGAAGCTACTAAAGAAACATTGATTACTATATCAGTCCATCATTATGTTATAACAAGTTATGATATTGCTATAAATATTTGAAGGAAACAAAGGAAAGCATTATGGCCGATTGGTTGGGGTTGAGCCAAACCAAATGTCGATTAAAGGAAGAAAAAAAGGAAAAATGGTGAAGGCATTATTTATACTAAATTGTCGTCAATTCAATATAACTACACGACAAAATGACAATTCTGTGCACAACCTATCTGAATAATGTGTGTAATTATCGATTTATGGACAAAACCTATACAAGATAGAGGTCTTTTTTGTCATATTCACATCAAGCATATTTTTTATGTTGTAAGTACAATCTCTATCTCTCTCTTCCTTCTGTCGAGTAGACGAGATATTAGTGAACAGTGGACAAAAATACATTATGGGTTATGGGATTGTGGGGTAGTGTTGTAGTCATGGTATTATTGCTATATATTTCTCTCTCTTTCTATCTTTCCATCTCTCATTTTTGTCCACTAGCATCTCGTCCACTTGTTAATTATATAAATGCAAGGTATCTTTCTACAATTTTATTCTTTAATATTTTGAATCCTTTTTCAAGGTTTATTATATATATGTATATAATATTTTATATTTATTTTTTTTATTATTTATAATAATTATATTTTTAATATTAATTTATAATATTATTATTTATAATATTTTATATTTATGTATAAATATATATATATATATATATATATATATAAATATATATATATATATATATATATATATATATAAAATCATATATGTATAAATTAAATGTCAATTGTGTGCAATTTGGATCTTTTATGATCTTATTTTAACATTCAGTAAGAATTTATAAAAATTGAAAAAAGCAAAAAAAAAATATATATATAAAACTAAATTAAAAACAAAGCTTATACATATATATTTTAAAAGTGTAAAAAAAAAATTTAATACGCCAGATATGTCTTTGCCTGGAGAAATGATTTTTGCAATCATTCATTTTTTTTACTCTTTATTATTACCGTTTCTCCGATTAATGACTGCTATCTTTCTTTCAGTTTTTGTTAGAGAATCAGCATAAATCTTTCTTTTTCTATTTTCTTGGAGAAAGCGTGGGAGAGAACATCACGCCTATCCTCGGTTCACCCGCAACAAGTGTTCCCTAATCGATATCACCCTGCGAGAAGACAGAATCTTTCAACGAGGTGTACAGTTCCAGGAATTCAATCCATCTTGTTGCCAGCGGTCGTATATTATATTGTCTCATCATGGTATTATATAATTTTTTATTCTCTTTCTTTTTAATGCTATTATTATATATATATTAAAAAAAAGAAACTAGATGAATAAAACGAAACTATGCAGGCAACCGCGCCAGCTGTTCTCTTTCCGACAATTATAATCGCCTCATTAAAAAAAAAAGAGATATTCTATTCAGATAAAAATCTTTTCTTAGTCTTCCGTCAATTTTATCAAGCGACGATTTACTTTCTCACTGGATGTTCCTCTTTATTGTCGTCGACGACAGAGTATGTATGCGCGCCCTTTCTCCTTCTCTTTCACAATTTCTCCCCTCTATCTTTCTCTTTCATCCCTATTCTGCGTCTTCGTGCAATGGTGGTCCGCTGCCGGCGCAATCGATTTCAAGATCCGACGACGCACGGCCTGCGCGCCGTCGCCAAAGGCCGCCTGTTGTACCTCTTCCACCACCTTCTCATCGGTTTTGCCTTTTCAGTCAGTGCCATCGCTGCGGCGGAACCGGCGGCCGTCCACGGGGACATGGTCCAGGAGGTCCTCGCAGCCAGCACCGCCGAGTGGTGATCGTCAGCTCTCTCTCGCGAAGCGGAACGACGGTGTTTCTCGCGGTAATGTGCCGCAGGGTGTGAAGAGGGTGCCGCGTTACGTCACGCCCAGGTGAGGACGGATCGACGTTTATATACACCGCAGAATTCCACTCTGCATGATTTCTCTCTCGCATTTAATTTCTTTTTAACGTGAAACAATCTGGAAATGTGTGTGAATTTATACGTCCAAAAGTTATCTAAAAAAAGGCATTTACTGTAATTTATTTTCGGAAACAATATAGATTTGCGTGTGCTAAAAGATTACTTTGTACCAGATTTTTGTTTTTAACGCTAAATTAAGAATTGTGCAGTTAAAGGGGCTGTGTCAGGATATACCTAGTAGTAGCTCTCCTTTGCCGGCATTATAATCGCACGCGCTACCATATTTACATTGCGCATTCCTTGTCAATATGTTAGGAGCGACTGGATACATTGTGGATATTATTTATTATGCGAACAAAAGCGCGAAAATCGAGCTCCGGGAATTTAATACGAATCGTAAAAATCGTCGTCGTGCTTCCGATAATATCCGAGAATAATCTTAGGAGCTGGAAAGTTAAAACCGGATGGTGTGACGGCGCGCAAGTTTCCCAAAGGGATGCTAATTTGTCTTCGGAGGAGGGTGAACGCGACTACAACCTGATGCTTCGACTACGAGATATATAAATGTAAAAGTGATCGCGGAAAAAGGATACTTTTTCGAAAGTAAATGGTAGAGCGGAAGTCATCCGGAAGCGAAAATCGAAGGACAGGATCTTCTCTTGAAAAAATAGTAGTGAGGGTGAAAAGTGTTTTTCTTATGCCTTTAATACAATGCTGCATATTTGGGGAGCTTGTATTAAAATGTCAAACGGATTAACAAATTCTTTTTTATTTAGCAGAAAGCTATTTAGATTCGTATCGTTTTTGTTAACGAGTTGCTGAAAGCAGCGTGGATTATACCATGTTGGCTTTTGTTAGATTCGCATTCGATCGAGTACGGGCGATGCACTCCAGGGCGATGCACCTGGAAAAGTACTTACACTAGCTTTCTAGAAACTGTGTTGCACAAGTCCGAATGTACTTTTATATCGAATAAACAGTTGGCGAACTAGAGATCTTACCGCGGGAAATAGAAATACATCCCTTTATAAGATTTGAGAAAATGTTTTATACAATATTTATACAATATTTTATTCAATGAAACTTTTTAATCGTCAAAAACTGTAACAAAATATACTATTGAAATTCGCAAAACAAAAATAATCCACAATGCTTCGGCGTTACTTATTCGCTAGAAAACCGGTTGCACGTTAGTTTTATTCTTTTGCGAGATAATTTTATCACACTTTATACGAGTGAGATAAAATTATCCAACTGTAGAAAGAGCATGAAAGAGCGAACGGAGTGACGTAAAGTGGATTCACAATTGCAGGAACATCTATGGGCCGTAAACGGTGGTGGCGAGGAGGTCTGGTGGAGCTGCTGGTGCTCTGTGTCCTCCACCACGTCGTCGTTCTCACTGACGGCAATGTCGGTGAGTATTAAATATTATTATTCCAAAGAGCAAGAGGATAATGGCGCCTTCGTCCCTAGACAATACCTTTAACTCTCGATGTGGATACTTCGTAATCTGAATAAAGTCATACGACAATTATCATCCATGCAAAAATATATATTTTTCGAGAAAAGAGATTATTAATATTATGAAAATTCACGTTCTTTGAAAATTTTGAATAGTTTTTATCTATTTTTCAATCTTAAATGAATGTAAAGCGATCAGATAATTAAATATTCAGTTCTGTATTGAGTCCTCTGGAATGTCTGTCGAAGAATATGTGACTGCGTTTCTCGTTTGAATTAATGAAAGGATGAACTTTGAGTCTCCTTATATATAGATATATAGAAAGAGGAATATACGATAAATGAGATTTTTAAAGAGATGAGAGATATAATGTGCAGTTTCATAATGAAGTGATGTATTCAACACGTTTATTCGCACTGTAGGTATAAGCTATCGTTAAATTGCGCTTCGCGCAATCAAGCAGAAGCCCTTTGTGCGTGAGCGCTAAACACGAAGATATGACAAAGGATTGGAGATATACTAGTTAGATATAGTGACACAGAACGCTGAGAGAGAATGGTATGGACCAAGTCCACAGCAAACTTAGTTAATAGAATAATTCTATCGCTGCTTTTAAATTATAAAGTAACAATTTAGTAGAGAGCGAGAAATTGAATAAAGGAAGAACTTGCAAGACTCGCTTGGATAAATTTTCTTTTAATTTACTTTCTAAAGTAAAACTCTAAAAATCTCTCTATAAAGTCTTCAAGTCTTCCCATATAAATCTTGAAATCCTTCTAAAATAACATCCGAAGTATATATTTCTCGCAACTCAAGTTAATAACATTTTCTTTCGGTGCTTTTCTGTAAAAATAAATCTTTTATCTTCTCAATCGATATTTTTCTCGGCGATACGAATGCTCACCTCCAAGTGTTAACATTGATCGCGCGAATAATGGTTGACGCCCCATCAGGTTGTCGCGTGATACTATACTTCTTTAAGTGCTGTTTGGTCACGCATTTGTGTGAAAGTGCACTTATCGATTAATAATACGTTGGAAGAAGGAGCGGGCAAACCACTTTTTATTAGCCCCAAAGGCTATTGTTTACGTTTCACCAGAAGAGGACTATAAGGCGCGACGATCATTCAATTCACGGGTAAAAGTTACACAACAACGCGTAATAATAGAGAAGAGGAATTTAATTAATTAGCGCTAAAGAACGCAATGTAGACAGAAAGGGGCTGAAAAATTCATCTTGTATATTAAAACTTTGGTCGACTAACTTTAATTATTTGTATACATCTATATTTCTTTGTTGGAAATACGATAGCCATAACTACGGAGAAAGAGAGTTAGCGTTAATTGATGTTGGGATACGACTTCAAAGTTCCGCGAACAAGTTTTCCAGCTCGCTATAGCGACTTCCGGTTGACGTCAACGCGAAGAGCTTTAATGTTATCGTTTATACTTTTATGAGAAACCGGGATTAGGGTCGTCGATCCTTATCGATCATTCCTGTTATCGTACTTGTATCATCATGATGCTCTTCATCGCGCGATGTGTAGCTCTTATACAAGTTTACTTGCGTCTTTCATAACTTCCCTCTACGAGACAACGTAAAAGCTTGTCTAAAGGATTACCGTAAGAAATTTGATATCGTAAAACACGCGCTTCTCCTACAATAGGTATCTATCACTTATAGCAACTAAGGAAGATAAGTCGCGCTCTCTCATGACTATACATCACTTAGTTCTCTCGACTATATCATTTGTATTCTCGCTCTTCACATCAACTGCTTTGTTTTCATATTGAAGTATCGATCATTTTGGAGCATTTATTATAAGCACTGTTGAGAGGAATGTTTGATACAAGAGAAACCATAAAATCCGTATTTAAAGAAAAAGATTCATAAATCAAAATATTAATATAATAAGTCATGATGATAAGATAATAAATTTTGTAGAAAGAAGGAGAAAGAGAAATATTTAAGATTACATCTAATTCTCCGACTTGATAACATTAAGTAAAACATTTACACGTAAAATACAATTCTCTTTCCTGCTTTCTGAATTTTTCAAATGATTATTTCTCTTTTCAACATCACTCATTTCCTGCAACAATGACATAACTCAAAAATAAAAAAATTTTGAGTTATTAGTACAGGAAGAAAGGTTGCTACGTGTATACTATTATGTAATCATATTTCCTGAAAAATTATAATTTTTGAGTTATATGTCATTTTTTGTTGCAGTAAATGAGCGACATGTTTCTAATAACAGTTTTCAATTAAAGGAACTACAAATAACAACGAGAAAATATTGGATGAAATCTGCAAAGAATTTTAAGATAAATCTGTGCTGACATTCTTCGGATTCGGTTATATTTCGGCGTCTAAAGATCAAGAGGACCTCTCTCTCCCTTTCTCTTTATACATACGCACATACACATAGCAGAAGAAGTGTTCGATTTTCGCCCACGACAGCAACTCGACAGTTATCGAGCGTTCATCCCACGCAGCCACCGCCTTCGCGAGCTTCGAGATCTCTCTATCGCGCGCGCGTAACGCGTCTTTCTCTTTCTCTCTTGTGCTCTTGCAGATATATGACGCGATTCTTTGCTCTATCTCGTACCATCTACCCCTCTCGTTTCGTCTAGCCCTTGCGATCTCACGCAACCCTTTCGTCGAGGGTATACACATTCACGTGTATCTCGGTACATTGTTTCTACATTTCAATTTTCTTCTATTTTTGTAGGTGTGTGATGTATGTATGCATCCCGATTCACCTGTTCGACCGAGCCACCTCCACACATTCGACCCTGGGCAAATATATTTTCTCTACGTATAACAGAGTGACTCGGTTTCATTCATCTAGAATGGAAGATGGATGTTATATTTGAAATACACAATAATGCGAAGAGATGATCCTCGTTGATTAAAGATTATATGTGTATCATGCGAGCTGTAGCTTAGCTATAATGCTTCGATTATAGTTAATCCTATTTATGATTTTCTCGAGAAGCACAAAGACATCGTTGATCTTCCCACAACACGTATATATGCAAATATACAGGATATATTACATTATGAAATTTATATAAATTATATAAATATATCTCTCGATCTCTTCCATCGAATTCTTTCTCAAGTGATCGCATAAACATTATTGTTTGGATTTGTTTCTGCAATTCGTCACAAACATTTAAACAGCTTTTATTCAACTTTGACACTATTTCTCGACAAGTGTTTATCCTATACCCTATCGCATGTTTGCGTGTTTCATTTCATTCTGCTTTTTAGTGTTAGATTTCCCTAGCTTTCTCTCTCGCATATATATTATGTTCAAGAGAGATTTATTTTTTCCCCTGTTAATGGAAAACTAAAATAAATATCAATAAATACGAGAGATATATACATATATAATGGAAAATTAAAATAAATATAGATACATTTGCGTAACATTTCTCTTTCTTTTTTTACTATATTATTTCATTAATTACTTCAACGCAGCTATAACTCATAATTTCCTATACATGCTGAAAACTCAGTTATAACATATCAAAAGGATGAGTGCGTTCACTCATATAGTCTGTGATGTTCATTAAACCGTGCTCTATATATTTTCTCTCTCTGAGCTGCGTGTGTATTATACAATATAAGCACGTGCGTGCCCTATTAATCACACACGATCACCCACAACCGTCCCTTCCTTTCCCTTTAATCTTTTATGCGTCGGATATCATCAGTCGTGAGAATATAATTTCGATATAGAATTGCGCGACATGATAAAGAACGGCTCTACACGTAGATAGAAAATTTATTTTCACAAAGAATATGAAACAATCTCTGAATAATCGTGAAGTTTCGGAGAACAATAGGGATGACGGGTTGAATGGTGAATTAAAATCATTAAGCAGTACAAAGGACTGATTAAAAATCACAAAGAAAGGCAGAAGCTAAGGTCAAATGAGAAAGAGAGGCTTTTCTTTCTTTTTTTAAATGGTTATTAAATGTCGAAGTTTATACATAAATTTTTAATAAAAATCTATTAAATAAGGCACAGATCAACTGTTTTACGCGACAGAACGATATACTACTATTATTAGAAGGTTCTTTCTAAATTTATTCACGCTATTAAACGCAACGCCAAGTTATTTCGGGCGGATTACAATCAAACTTTCTCTATTATAGACATTTCCAGCGTAACGCTATTTTCATTCCATAATAATGTGTTTCGTGAGTTATGTGATATGACGTGAGGGCGATCTAGTCGATTCCTATCGCGAATGCCCTTAGATAGGACTAGAACCGGTTACACACCTGTGTCGAAATATTCACGCAATTTTATGGCGTATGACGCAGATGCTTGGAATTATGCCTACGAGAGAACATTAATTGTTTTAATTTAATTGTTATTGTAGTTTAGAGAGCTTTCGATCTCTTTCTAACTTCTTTTTCTTTATTATTATACAGATAATTTCTCTCGACTCTCACCATAATCGTTCTATGTGTTTTCAGGATGCCTATTCAGTGAGAACATATGTGATCCCGAGGCGGAAAAATGCTTTGACGGTAATAACTATACGATTTTAATTAATAAATTAACATAACATTTTGTCTCAATCCTGACTTCTCTTTTATTTTACGATTATATGACGTCAATCGATCAAGTTAAATTTTGCACGATTAAAAATTTATTATTAACAAATCACAATTATTATTAATAGAGAATTCAATATTTTTATTTTATATTCATTTTATATTCGAATTATTCTCATATTAATATCATTTTTTCAGATTTTGCGTTCGGCAAATGTATACCTCGGTATACGAATTTAGAAAACGACGATTCATATCGGTAAGTATCTGTAGTTGCAATAAAAATTATGATAGAATTGAAATATACTTTTATAACATTTATTAATTATTCATATCAACATTCAATAATCTTTCATAGTTTTCCTCTCTTTCTCTCTTGCAAACGTTAATCCGATATACACGAGTGCAATATGTGTGAATTAAATTCTCATTCCGATCGATTAATTTTATCACCAGGTCGTCAAACGGTCTCATTACGTCTTTTATCGGCTTTATTACCGTACACCCACGTTAATCTGTATTTTACGCCGGATCGACGCTTATAAAATTGATGCATTTTATATAAAATACGTGCTTTATTTTTCACAGATACAATCTCGATGCCGGTGAATTGGAGTTATTAAGACTGCAACTAGAGAGACTGGAATCCGATGAGTACAAGTGGCAGCATCCCTTTACACAATGTACTATGCAAACCTCGTTATATAATCTCCGACGTGGGTACGTCATTCTTTGTTGGAGCTAGTAGTTGTAATAAACGATTGCATCGATAAATTTTAATTTGACGGTGGCTTACGTGCAAATTAACACAGTTCTTCGTGATTTTAATTTCAACATGCAAATTTTTTATATGTTATTCCCTTTTCTTTTATGCAAGATTACTTAATTACTATTTTTTATAATATTGTCTTTTAAAATATATAGTGAATATATATTAACTCATCATGCTAATTTTGAATAAAATTAAATATTCCAAGTAGAAGTTGTAATAAAAAAATTATATAGATACAATAACAGCATTTCATTTTCGAGTTTGGCAAAATTTATGAGAAACAGTTTGTAAATCATATCAACGAATTATCGTGGTTTAATAAAATTTAATCTGACGAAACTTTTCAGGCGAGACGATCTCCGCGATATCCGCCTCTGCGAATATCTGAAGAAATCAGATCTCGATGAACAAAATGAACTTATTGACAAGGTCAGCATAAATCACAATTCAGTTACGAGTAGTTTTTCTTTGTATCGATATCATGAACGTATGAAAACGTATACGAAAAATATGCCTGATCAGAGTCTCCTAGCAACGCCATCGACGTTCTGATCGCGATTATCTCTCCCTCCAAAAAATATCAACTGCTCACAATATAATATTCGAGCCGATATAATAATCAGCCGCCATCGATTTTCTTTTTCTAGGTAATTCCGGTCGCCATACTAAGAATATCCCCGGACAATGAGACTCCCGAGAGTAATTTGGCCGATATTCTATATCGCTCCGCGGATATCGAGAATAAGTATGTTTCATCTTGAAGAAAAGCCAATAATGACAGTAGCAGATTCTAACGTTTTATATAATTTTATCATAAGAAGGCGTTACATAATTTAATTAATTTCTCAACTAAATTTATTTAGATTTCTGCTCTTATAGAAAGCGCATTCTATTCAATTATTATTTTTTAAATTTTATATTCTATTGTATTTCTGAAAATATATACAATTCCAAAAAATAAATAAAAAATGAATCGTTATCGCTGAATGTGTATATTTATACGTATATTATAATTAAAATAAAATGAAATAAGAAATAGTGAATTTATTAAATAACAAATCGAATAAAAAGACTGATATATATATTCGAGTTTTTTCTAATCTTATCGGATTTTTTATTCAGGTCACCGACTTTCTATGGCGAACAAGAATTACTGCCGTACAATTGGCAATCCGTTGGACCTGCTTACAGAACTGAATATAGAACTGATAAGAACGAGCAGGGTTTGGTTAATGACGCGGAATACAACGAGTATGAAAAATACTCGCCGAATGACGTAAGCGAACGATTGTATCCGCGCAGGATGCGTCGTTATAGCTTTATTGACGGATACAAAAATGATGATATCGAGCCACTTGAGGATGTAGGAGAGATATCGCCCGAAGATGTCAATGATAACGACGACAAAAACCTTTACGACACGCAACTTTTGCCCGTCGACGAATATGAAATTTTGTCAAATGAGAAATCGCCGGATTATACATTGCTGGAACCTTTTTCCGACGACGAGAGGAACGAGAGGGAGTACGAGAGAGCGTTTTCAAAGAAATATAAGCACCGAAAGAAACCACCGCAATTTGAATTTCTTGACTCCGACGTATCGACGAAGGATAACGAAAAGAGGACGGTCGTCGGACGCGAGGGTGTTGACTACGAGGACGATGGAGCCGATGAAAATAATTCGGCAGAGATCGAGAGAGCCGATGATCCGAAAATAGGCGGCATGTACACCGAGGGAGGAATCGTATCTTTGAAACATAAAGCTGACGCGAGTGGTGGGTTTATCGTGCTTTATTAGATTGCCTGGATATTTTAAGTTTTTATTTAACTGAAATATATATATTCGACTTCACAGGGACTACGTACGACGAGATGTACAACGACAACGATCTGGACGCGCTTCTATGGAGACGAGAATTGGCTGGCTTCAAGCGCAGAGAACGTTTGGATGTTAAGAAACCAGGACCGTTATTCTCAACGAATAATTACGCATTTAAAACCCAATCTCCGCCTAGTAAGTGAACTTAATATTTCTACATGTAAATCTTAATTGTCGTCTTACGATGTTTTTTATCATTTTTAAGATTTTTATTAAATATCTTAAAAATAAAATTATTGCTAAGATGAAGCAATTATTTCCACACAGCTATTGAATTATTTAAATGCTTATTTAAATACTTTCTAGATAGCAGAAAATATTAAAATTATGCAATGTTTTTATAGTTTCTCTTGACAATGATTATTCCGTGGCGGACAATCAGGATGTAAGTGTAATCGAACTCGAAACCTCATAAGCCTTTATTAGATTTTTATTATAGACATTACATCGGCATTGTATTTTAGAATAATGAAGTTTACGCACCGTTAACAAAAAAAGAACTACGTGGTACATACAAAGCGAACGAGGATCCTTCACGAACTTATAAAAACGTTGATTTGGATTATGTTTATATCATGTTTGAACAAACATTGCACACGTGGCCCGAAGGAGAACACGTGGTTGAAAAGGTAAAATAGAATTGCACTAATTTAATATAGAAAATTAAAAAAAATATAATCAACGCGTTAAACTAAACGCGAACCTTATGTGAATTTCTCCAGATCGAAGACCTCTTAGGATTGCCTCCTAAGACTTTGAGAGACATACGAGTAGGCCGCGCAGAAGTAACATTCAAGGTCATTCCAAACGAGAAAAATTATAATGCTACTGACATCGTCAACAATATCGGTATAATTTATATATTTATTTTATATCTCATTACGGAAATATAATACAATAGAATACGACGTAAAAGTAAGTTCACTTTTCTTTGCGTCCCATAATAAGATGTTGTATTTTAGATAGCATACGTGGCGAATTACAAGATGCACTAGGAGTCAGAGTCATTCGAGCGGGTATAGGCGACAAGGTATATCCGTAATAAAAATTTCCTTTCAAAAAATAGATCAACCTGAAAATTTTGCATGTACGCGAGATATCGTCAACATCACATAAATCTTTCCGTAGGCTAAATTACCAGCCACCTTGGAAATTGCCAGGAGAAATGAGATGAATTCTAGCTTGTTCAGTGCGTTAGTGGCTGCCGGTGTCGCAGCCGCAATCGCGGCCGCGGTGGTTACACTGATAATCGCACGTCGTCACGCCAAGTGTCGAGCAAAACTCGCCGGACTGACCACCCCGGACCCGGAGGCGTCCAAGGACTATCAAGATTTGTGCAGGGTGAGGATGCAGGCGAAGCAACCGAGCGAGAAGGTGGAATCGCCGCGTATCACGAGCTTGTCGCGCGAAAGCGATTGTAACTTGCCTTCCAATCGCTCCAGCACGTCCTCCTGGAGCGAAGAGCCCACCTTCTCCAACATGGACATAGCCACTGGTCACATGGTTCTCGTAAGTATAAAGATTAATTGAAAATGACAAGAAAAGGCGAGAAAGAAACAGAGGATAGATGTATGTATAGAAACTTGAAATCTTGCAGAGTTATATGGAGGATCATTTGAAGAACAAGGATCGTCTGGATCAGGAATGGGCGGCGTTGCGTGCCTACGAAGCCGACCCGTCGTCCACGGAGATTGCGGAGAGCGAAGCGAACTTCCAACAGAATCGTTCCGGCGCGGCACTTCCCTACGATCATTCTCGGGTAGTTCTGAACGATCTTGCGAATGCCAATAATTCCGACTACATAAACGCTTCCACAATCGTAAGTAACTTTTACAACATCACTTTCTTATAGTTTGACCATTTCTTCATTGTATTCTCCTGAAGCCCTTGCTGAAATCTTTCCTTTTCTCTTCCGGAAATAGATGTATCATAATTATGTTTCAAACAATTCGCAGAACTCGGGAAAATGATAAGAATAAATATTGTCGCTCTTTTTTTAATATAATTCTATCAAAGAAACAGTGTACAGCAATTAATGTCATACAAAAGGAAAATCAAATGCATAATATTTTACAAACCAGGACTCAGGAGGATATCATACTATTTCAGTACGCGAGAAGTTTAATATATTTGTAAAAAAAGAGAGTATTATTATTTCAATATGTGAAAGTTGCGAGATAACTTGTGCAAAAATAAAATAAGCATTTTCGTTTTCACGCGATAACACATTGCTGAAATACGTACGACATTCGATTTTCCGGCCGCCTCATCACAATATATGTAGAAGTCGGTAAGTCACAGTCGAGATGGGTATGTCAAGTTGATCATTTATTGCAAAATCGCAGTACACGACACAATTTGTCAAACTAATATTGCTTGCAGTAGATTTATTTTTTTTAGTGCATCACGTAATCATAACGCAGCGAACAAAATCTAGCATGTTTCTTGTGATGAGCAAGCCTTATATATTTTTTCAATTGCACAGTTGGCGATGTATGGCCGTATTATTGTTCCTCGTGTTGTATAAATGGAAAACCCGAACAAAAAAAGAAATTGAAAGCGATGATAAAACGGGAGCTTAATTGAAACCGTATCATTCGACATGCACGGTTCTTCTGCTGTGAAAACATACGAAGTGTTGCACAAGTGACCCTGTTCTTCTGAGTATGACATCGAGTACGAAATGGTCGAAATCAATTTAGATTGATCGAATTTTTCGTTTTCTCGACACACAAAAATCCACATATCAAAAGAAAGAAACAAAACAAAACGATTTTTTTCGATTAATCTAATATTGTTTACTAAGTGTTAGGTAATATTTTCGCCAAAGTCGTGATATCATGATTGTCTTTCTTTTGCAGACGGATCACGATCCCCGAAATCCGGCTTACATAGCCACGCAAGGGCCGCTACCGCAGACCACGGCTGATTTCTGGCAATTGGTTTGGGAACAAGGCAGCGTGGTGATTGTGATGCTGACGCGACTCACCGAAGAGGGCCGCGCCATGTGTCACCGTTACTGGCCCGAGGAAGGATCGGAGCTCTATCACATCTACGAGGTGCATCTGGTGTCGGAGCATTTCTGGTGCGACGATTACTTGGTGCGCTCCTTCTATCTAAAGAATCTGCGCACCTGCGAAACCCGCACCGTTACGCAATTCCACTTCCTGTCTTGGCCGGAGAACAGCGTACCGTATTCCACGAAGGCTCTACTCGAGTTCCGCAGGTCAGCATCGATCTCATTGTCCTTCATTAATATTATTATTCGAAAAATTGTATCTTCTTATCGTGCAATTTATTATATAAATTATTTATTATAAATATTTATAATATTGAGACTCTAAGAAAACATTTGCAAGGATTTTCTTACCTTTTAAAATTATTAAAATTATTTTCGGTTTTCTTGTTGCAGGAAAGTTAATAAATCATATCGTGGAAGATCATGTCCGATAGTCGTGCATTGCAGGTGAGTGTATAATTTATATTTTTCAAAATTAATTGAGTAGCAATGATCTGTGTATTCTTACGTGTGATCCTACAGCGATGGAGCTGGACGAACCGGAACTTACTGCTTGATTGACATGGTCCTAAATCGGATGATAAAGGGAGCGAAGGAGATCGATATCGCCGCCACTCTCGAACATATTAGGGATCAGAGACCCGATATGGTTGCTACGAAACAACAATTCGAATTTGTTCTGATGGCAGTGGCGGAGGAGGTGCATGCGATCCTCAAGGCTTTGCCGGCACCACCCGAGAAACCTGCCGCGGCGAGCGGTTCCTCGCCACCCGTGAAATCGGAACAGTGAAGCTAAACGCTCGCAATGTGCGAATTCAACCCTAAACAGTATCAAGAAATCTGAATGATTTCTATTTTATTTCAATGAACTTAGAGAGCAAGAACTTTGTCATTTCTTTGCATTTTTTCTTATAAATTCAAAAGGTTATATTTTTTAAAATATTTATTGGAGCTGATACTTTTATAATTTAAGAGGGATATCGATGTACGATAAATTCAGAATGATATTGAACAATTATATCTATTATTTGTACTATTCGGGGTTAAAATCGCAGTTGAGACGCGAGTAAGAGATAAGAGGTATATCTATTCCATTTATTTCAATGTGTCACGGGTAAGCTAAGTACTTTTACTAGCTGTTTACTACGATGTACCCTACCGAGGAGTATATAAAGAGCGAATTAAGTTTTTTTTTCTTTTTTTTTTTCAGTTAAAATTTTCTACACGCTCGGTACTTCCCGATTAATGCACCTTCGCGTGTCATTAGTTTTAGAGTGCACCAAAAACGTGAGCTTCTTCTTTCGTATTCCGACTATTGTATTTCTCCGAAGCGCGAGAAAAGAATGATAGTCAAACTTTTAGATCGTGACAAATATATATGAACGTAATAACCAAAGTTTGCAGTATTAAGTTAAACAATCTATAAAGAGGAGAGGAAAAAGTAAGAACGAGAGACTTGAAGAAACGTATATATACATACATATGTTGAGATAATCTCAAGTGTGGTGTATTATTTTTGTCTTATCGCTACTCTATAAGGTGATACCGTTTTATTATCATCGCGTACATCCCTTTCTGCTCATTCAGACGCGGCCTATTTCAAGGATCAAGTACCTGCAAAAGAGAACAGATGACAGATGCAAATATAGACACGAGACACGGTTTGCTACATACAAATATATCAACGACTAAGCTCTATTACTGTGCGATCGATCGGTGATACAACGGAACATTTTATACTAGTAGAGTCTATCTAGTCACTTCGTTTAGCGTTAAACGCGGCCGTTTGAGATCGCGGAACTTTATTCATTTGATACAAGAATTGCACACGGTATTAATAATTGTGAATTCAACGATCAGATTGGCTGTGTTTAACATTAAATATGCGACATAAATATTCTGATTCGGGAATTTCATTGTCTGTCGAAAAAATGTATTATCTTTCGAAAGATAGGAAATGAGTCTTCTAAGGAATATCTCTATAAAATCAAGAAATTGTATCGAATTTTAATAGTTTAAATGTACCATACCGGCTCAGTCTAGTCATGCTTAATTAATTTTACTTATTTGCAAAACACACATTTGCACAACAATCTATTCTTGCGTGTACATAATATTTAAATACGTGTGTACACCTCAATTGAATTGCATTAATGTGCCCTTCGACTAACGTGCTTTAAAATAGCTTTAAAACTTTGGATGAATCTTTCAACACTCGGAGAAAGAATCGGTAAATAATAATCAACGGAAACCAATCAGCTAAGTCAATTGCATAATACCAAAATATATATACATATGTGAGCACAAATCTATTTTAATGCAACAGATCGAAACACAATTTTGTTCTCGTTTTTATAAAAGAAAAACTAATATATTCTGTATATTTATTTTTTATAGAGATTTTTTGACTTACTAGTCAAAGTATCAAATATATATCGAGCTTTTGTTACGTCATAGAATTATCAGGAACGTGTTTAAAGAACACGTGGATGATCGATCGGACAGCCACAAATTGTTACACGAATTCGCGTAAGAAGCGCATTTAACATAATTGTGCAATTAAAACAACATTTTACTTTTCGAAAGTTATTATAAGAAAATTGGCTTGGTGTTTTAAAATATCGTATGTGCGCGATCGTTTCGATGGAGAATTATATATAGCTTGATGAACGATGTTAAATGGTGCAGATTATATACGTAAATATATAATAAATCCATGCTTGGAGTATCCAGGCGTATTGTATCAGGGTTCAGTTCTGTGTTTGGCGATTGGAAACTCGTATTATATTGCGAAACTTTTATTCTATATATTCTAATTCGATCGTTAATTTTTTTCCCGCAAATATATTCTATGTACATATCTATTTAATAACGCATCTATTTATTAACTCGCCGAAAAATATTAATTTTTAAAAGAGAGAACAGTATCTTAATTTTAAATATATCTTTAAACGACATCGTGAGAAATTGATATCGAGTAAAATCAGAACTGATATCAATTAAATTTTCGCAAGCCTATGTAATCAATTGCACGTGATAGCGTTGTGAATATTATTTGCGAGAGAATTTCGAAAGAGGCAAGAGAACACTGATGTACCTTGAAACTGTGTCAAACTTCGCTTGATCACTGCAACTAAGTTTGATTAGCCTTCTTTAGCACCGACTCACAAAACAGATTCTATATTTTTATGTAAAGGGGATGAATCTATATATTAAAAAAATGAAATTATATAGTTATATATATAAATCTATACTATGTTACCCCCAAAATATAATACTATATACATGTTGTAAAATAATAAATCGATCTATGTTCAAGCCATGGCCGCATTTACAATTCCCCTCATTGAAATCTCTTAACGTATTTATTATATTTAATTGCAAATGTTTTATATTTAGTTGTCTAAAGTTTTACTGAAAAACAAAGTATAATAAAATGCATGTATGTGTGTATATATTCATATGTATCAATTATATATATATATATATATATATATATATATATATATATATCATTATTATAATTATGTATTCATTAATTTATTATAATTAATTATAACAATTAGGCGTAATGTGAAATGTAATCAAACTCCTTTATTTTGGAAACGACTAAATTCTCTTATATTCTGAACATTTTCTTTAATCTCCATTTTTCCAATGGCATATGTACAGAATGTATGTATATGTTGCTCGCAATCAATTAAAAAAAAAACCAGAAAATTGAAAAGACAGAGGAGACACCAACCATAACTTTATATCTATATGTATAACGCGCAATTTTACAATATGGTACAATGGTAAATGTGTAATAAGACAATAGGCGAAAAAATAATATAAAATAGAATTCTAAGAGTACAATTATTCAACTGTGTTTTCTCAAAGAAAATATGGCAATGTGTAATAAGACAACAGGCGAAAAAATAATATAAAATAGAAATCTAAGAGTACAATTATTCAACTGTGTTTTCTCAAAGAAAATATGGCACATACAGAGAGGAAAAAGTTACAGTTTTAAATTATAATTTTAAAGCCTCAATATCTATTATTACACTTGGTTACCGTTTTAATTAGAAAGAAATAATGAATCTATTTCTAGATCTCATCATGATTCTAATTTATTTTCAAGATAGAAGTGTATCTCTTTCATGAACTATGTATAGAAATGTTACAAGGAGATTAAATGGCACAGCATCTATTCTTATTCATTATCTAATTGATTGTGAGTAATGATATACATGTACATTGCCTTGTGATCAATATCCAACGCATATTGTATAGAAATCTGCATGTGATTCGACAAAAATTCGAGCATACCTCACGTATTATTTTGCCGATATGTGCTTGACGTCTCAGGAAATTCTGGATCCCAAAATCCTTTAAAAAATATCACATTTTATGCAATGTATCACAGAAGCGATGAAAAACACATTCAATGTCTTACCTTCTGGTGTATTTGGTCTCTCGTACTTATGCCGGTGCCGCGAACATTGATTCTTTCTTTTCTGCAATTCATCCTTTGACAGTGGCAGATTTTTGTAATACTAAAAATTACATAATCAGAAATTAATACTTTTTTTAATGAAGAAAATTATATTCTTTTTTCAGCAATATAATATAAATATCTTTGCTTTTTATGTATATATTTTATATAATTAATGTTAAAATTACTTTTTCACATTCCCAGCAATCCCAACCATTAAGTTTTGCTCTGTCAGCTTTGCATCGCATATTAAGCTGTTCTGAAACTTCCTTTTTCTTTGACAGTCTGCAAATAATATTTTTATTTAAATATATATATAAATATAGAAGAGAGAAACTTACTTTATATAAAATATATCATAAATATCATATAACAATAAATAATATTTACATGTTTTTAATCGGTAATCCTTTTTTTATAGGTGGCTTGTTCTCTGTATCATCTAAATTGAAATGATCCATGTCATTTTTATTTAAAACTAGCTGGGTAGACAGAAAGAAGCTATCATCTTCATAGGTAAAATTATTTTTCTTTTCTGCACTATTTTGTACAATATTTACTGTCAGTTGATCTTCCTTTTTAATTGGAGCATTGCTACACATTTTCACTGGTGAAAAACTATTTACATTAACTTTATTTCTCGGTGTATTAATTACAGTATTAGTCATGTTTTCAACCAACGGTTTATCATCTTCCACTTCTATAGAAACATGTTTTGGCGAAGGACATAATGCAAAATCCACAGTATCTATTGTTATCTCTGGAAGATTAGAAACAGGCTCATAGCATTTATATTTATTCTGAGGATCTTTTGTTTGCCTTGCAAGAGTTTTTCTCTTAAGTCTTAAACGGTGCGTAGTCTTATTAAATGTAATATTTTTCTGCGTAGGGCTGATCTCTATTACATCCTCAAAAGTTTCATTGGTATTTGCGACATTACTTTCTGTAGTAACAGATGCCTTTGCTACAGAAATATCTTCTAGAGATTCTTGTTCTACTTTTGACACTACACTGGCTGGCTTAGGTACACTTAGAGATGTCATCTTTTTGGTACACTTGATTGGTTGAAATACAAGCCGAGATTGCTTCAATCTTCTTCCATCTGATAGAAATGTCGTCTCCACATGATGTGATGTACTAAGCTCTAACTTCTGATTACATTCTAAGGGAATTTTTTCAGAATTACTATGTGTCTTCATGTCTGCTGCTAAATTCTTACAAATCGACAAATCTGCTGTAGGCAATTGTGCGAATTTCTTTACAGAAATACCGCCGATCCTTTGACGCTTCCCGGAGAATACTGGACTTTTTGATGGGCTTTTATCGTCAGTGTCTTTGCATGGAGATTCTTTCAGATGTGCAAGAGAGTCGGGTCCAATGTTAGATTTAAAATTAACAGAAGCTATGTTTAATGTATCTAATTCCAACAATGAAACACTTTCTTCTTGGGCGATACTGCTATTATTCAACTGTCTTTGAGGTGTTAGATCGTCTTCTGTTTTTGTGCAGGGTTCATCAACCATCATTCGGAAGGAAGAACGTCTACGAAATATTCATAAACGTTACATAATTATCTGTGAATTCTGTTGTAAATATATTTTTTAATTATATAAATCAAATTTAAAACTTACACATTGCATTGTTCATATTTCTCTTGCAACTTTAAGTAATTTTCCCACAAATCTGTAAAAAAATTTAAGTCATTTATATATCAATTCTATATAATCTGCTATACAAAATAAATATTTAAATTTTTGCGCGCTTAGTTCTTATAGTAACTTTTGTTAGAAAGCGCGAATAATATTTGCTAATAACTAATTATTTTGCAGTTTAAATTTCGCGCTATTTTTATATTTAGTTCTTTAATTATTTACAGAGAGCGCAAATATCTGTACAAAAGTTTTCCAAAGCGTTGAAATGATTTATAACTCAAAAGATTACAAATTCAACAACTTGAAAAATGCATGAATTCATAAAAAAATGCTGCAGAAATTATACATATATGATTGTTATTTTTAAAAATATTTAGCATTTTTCTCTCATAATTCTCATAATTAAGAGAAAAAAGCAATAAATAATTGGAGCATTAAATATTATATTATATTTATTTATACTCACTTTGATATTGCTCGAATGCTTCTTGCAAAATTCCGATATAGTTGTCTATTGCTTTTTTGGCAATTTTATCGTGTATGAGACAGTTGAATTGTAGAAACGTTGACATTATTGGAGCACACTTATCGTTTCGAAGCAACAAGTATCTCTCCTAGTTTTTCAGGGAATGTCTCTATCCTGAGAGATATATAAATCTTTTCAACAAATTATAAACCAAATAAAATATACACTTTTTTATACAATTTCACTAATTAGATGTACAATCTTCAACATTTATTTACATGTCATCACACATGCATTTCGACACAATCCGCCATAACAGTTTGTCATGCAGTATGAAACGAAAAAAAACTCAGGGCCGTCTGCCCCAAAAAGTCCCAAGAGTCATGTGAGAAATTTTAAAGGCTGAATATTTTTAAATTGTATGGGAAATAAAAAAATGTATTTAACAATAACTCATAAAAATGTTTATACTCCAATATCAATATAATTAAAAAAAATTTAATTACTTAAACTAAATTGTAATTATATTATTAATTTTTTGAAATGTGAAATTTAAAAATATAATTATTAATTATATTATTAAATATAATTATGTTATAAATTATAAATATAATAAGAATATAAAATATAAATAATATAAAATATAATAATGATATAATATATTATTAAAATTCACATAAAAAAACATATATATATATCTTACGTACTGTGTAATATTGCATACATGTTTTAACAATGTTTGAAGACATTTTTCTATCGATATCTTTATTGTATATCCTTAGCACATAAGTATGTACATTGTACACCGTAAATACGTTTATAATAAATAAGCGCTAGCGTCTTATATAAAAAATCTTAAGCAATAAATAAATATTCACATTTTTTTCTTAGCGTTACCACCACATTGTTACTCAAATCAACCAGCTTTCTTGCTAGCGTGTCTCGCTCAACTTTTCTCGAAAATAAAATTCTCTCTTATTCGTGTGATTACAATAGAAACAGAATGCAAAATCTTATAGAGATCTCGCGTCGAGTATTGCGAACGAAAGTCTTTTTTTTCTTTATCGGAGAATGAGACAAAGCGTCGGGAAAGATCGAACTCCATTTGAGAAATTCAGGTTTCTACACTCGCAGTATATGTATATTTATATATATATCTAAATGTAATGTATGTATATTTATATACACATGTGTATCACAGATCTTTCATAATATGATGCGGGAAAGAAATGTCAGAGAACAACGTCGTTCAGCACCATGACTGATTGAATGATGACTTTGAAAAACAACCGTATCGTTAGTAATTCAAGGTGTGCACTATAATGATTATAATACCACTGTCATTTGGGGAGAGAACTCGTACATCCTAATTAAATATCTAGTCGCGTATCGTAATTTATACACAATTATACACTGAGTGTGCACTTATAATTAACGGAGTGATGATAACGAAGGCTATAAACAGATCGATGATATGGATGATACCATCTTTCTCTCCTGTTTTTCCTATCGCTAGTATAATTTAAAAAATAGCGATATATTTATATAAATTTCTCCTTCTTTCTCATCCCTTCCGTGCGATTTTGCGCGCACATATCCATACGCAGGCCCTTGGTACCGCATGATGACTTTGCACAAATCATTACGAGCTGAACGCGGATTGCTGCGAGGAAGTCGAGGGCAAAAAAATATTCTGTGCCAGGTTTGCAGGCTGCATCGGCGGTTTACCTGGCGGTAATCGGCCGATCCCAGGGGCGGCGGAGCTGACGGGATTGGTGTAGATGTTATCCAGACCGTAATACGAAATAAGCGCCGAAAGAGCGTTCCGGACACCAGCGGTGGCCAGCTGCGACCACCTCCCGTGGGAGCTCACGGCGTCGTCGCCGGCGTACACAGCATGCGCATCGAAGTTACCCGGTCCGTGCGGCATGTTCGTATCTGCAAGAAAATGCGAGATTTGCAATAATAAAGGTAATAAGAGGTATAGGACTATCATAGAGATGTGCGAATCAAGATTTTCTAATTCGAATCGAATCGAATCGACAAAAATATCGCCGAATCGAATCGAATCACCCATATTTCGAATTCGAATCGAATCAACGCGTATAGAACGGGTTTTAAATTTTAATTTTAAGTCTTCTTATGCGGTTCTTTGATTCGAATTCGAATTGCAGTGATTCGACGTTATCGAATCTTTCGATTTCGAACTACGTCGATTCAAATTCGAATAATTCGCACATCTCTAGACTATCACTACGTATCACGTACCTAATAGAGGCGGGTTCAGTATGGGAAGATGAGGATCCAGTTGTCCACCAGGTCTGGCGTTCGCAGCGAGACGAAGTTCCGCGCGTAGATCCCCCAACAATTGCACCACTTTGGGATCACACTGTAAATATATATACATGTATAACATATTATATAACAGATATTTAAAATTGTTAAACATATTATATGGTATTATCAAGAGAAATATATTTTATATCAATGAAAAATTTTTATTCATAATAAAGGGATGGGATATTAAAAGACTACCAAGGTTTATTGTAGTCGTTATAATAATAAAAAAAATTATAATAATTTATTTCAACATATATTCATTTCAGGAAAAAATGTATGCAATTTCTCATATTCATAATTTACCTCAGTTTGGTCCGTTCGAAGCGACAGAAGGTCGTCGACACGAATTGGTTTTCCCTGATTCAAGGAATTGGTAAGAATCATCAGCCTCCGGGCGAGATTACCTTCGGCGCACATTTCTAATGGCTGATTGTCTCCCTTCAGATTCGATTGCGATTTGACGGGCGGTGAATTGTTGAAATAATACGACGGCGTAGACACTATGTACGGTCCACTCTGATTAAATAAATTGTCTTCACCGTAATGACCTTCAGCACCGAGCCTGTTCGGATGTGAATTATAGCCCGCTTCCATTTTTAGCCGCTTGGAGGACCTGTAACAGTCACAAGCTACATGTGGAGATTCAATAAAATACAATAAATATACAAAATATAATTCTCCTTTATTTATATATATATATATATATATATATATATATATATATATATGTATGTGTGTGTGTGTACAATGAACGTAATAATATTAATTTATTTGGATAATTCTCACAAAATATATTATAATTTAATGTGATAAAAAAACTCTGACTTTTTTAACTTTAAATCGTGAAATGTATATGAATTCTATACGAATCAGAAATTTTATAACATAGTATTCAATTGCATTATTGACTATAATAAAATATTGTCATATCGATTTTATAATAATAATAATAATAATAATATGAAGATCATGCAGTTAATAAACTACACAAATGTATCTTAAAATAAGCTAGTCTGATGCAATAGAATTACAGATATACATGCACATTAGCGTATTAGCATAGAAATTATCGTAACATTTTTATTTGTTATTATCTGTTGCCTAAAGCAGCAATCGCATGGCGCAATCTTCTTCATTTAATGCATTTTTCTACTAATATATTTTATGTTATATAAAACAGTATCGTAAAATTTGATTATTATTCGGTTAGCTAAGCTCAAGCACACATGAAAGTGGTTATATGATTCATGTACTTGATAGACATGATAATAAGATTGGACACTCTGGGCGTGAACACGTATTAAGATTTGGAACTTTCATTACCTATTATATATATTCTTATAAGTGTTACAAAATTTGTCCATCTATTATTCAGCCACAATATTATATTATCTCCTGAAACATAATTTTCTCCTATTAGACATTATGCCAATTATCTTGT